TAAAATTAAATAGACTGTTGAAAATATTTACAGTGATAATAGTATAACAGATTGAAGATGCTTTTTTTAAAAAGTTCTAATATTATTACTTTTTGAAAAATACCAATAATACAAATTAAAACAATAAATAAAATATTAATTAATATTGTCCATGTTATGTATATTATTATCATCACTGCTATAATATTTAATAAAATTGTTACTTATTTTGAGTTTTTCTCTACATAGTTTTGATTTACTGCACTCTTCTGACGTAGGTGAGTCATGTTGTTATAGTTTTGTGCTCAATGGTATGAATCGATAATATCTCAGCAGACAAACAATTTTGTCTTTAAAGTTGTTTTTGAATGAAGACATGGGTCAATGAAGCTGATGAAGATGAAGTCTGTTCAATAAAGTTGAACTAGAAAAGTGTCTTTGCTTATTTTAGGAAGAACACACTTGGACGGTTGCATTTATAGTGTAAAAATCATAGATGCTTTCCAGCAGCTCAATCTTTTATTCTGAAAAAGATTTGTTATACTGATTCTAAATGCATATCTTTATTATATGATAACTTCTTCGTTATGCACTAATGTTGATATTCTCCAACTTTAGTTTTCAAGTCCCAAGCCTAAAAGAGACGCCACAGTTTCGAGGAAAAGAGGAGGAATCACGGATGAAGTTATTAAAAGCAATGCAACAGTAATTTAATTTAATCAATACGTATGAAAAGTTTGCGATACACTTAATTTGAGAGGATTATTATGTTCTTTGTTAGTATTTTTTAGTAACTTTTATTCTTATTTTATAAAGCAGGCATTGTTAAAGATGCTTCATGTTAGCTAAAAATATAACTAAAATACTCCATAATTTGTTGGGTCATCCACGTAAGTTTAATTTTACAAATTTCACGTAATAGAACTCCAACTTATGATATATTTTTTTTAATAATTAAGAAAATTTATAGAAATATTAATCTTAATTTGAAAGTGAATACTAATACATGCTATTAGGATATTAGCTAAGGAATTAAAAATAAAATAATATTAATGCATCTTTCTAATGATTTTCAATGTAATTTAACAAATTTTTAAATAATTAAATTTTAAGTTTAAAAAATAGTATTTTAAAAATAAATATAAAGTATTATAAGATAATAAATGGACTGATTTAATATTTTTTATTAAAATAAATTTTAAGAAATAAAATATATTTTTTAAAATAGCCTTAATATCTCATAAATATATGTTATAAAAGATGCACACGATATAATTATCATTTTAAACTATATGATATATTTTTAGGAATTAAAATTTAAATAATTAAACTTGACCAATATGTTCTTATGTATATAAAAATGAATATAATTTTTAGGATATATGTAACACTTATTAAATGTGAAAATGAGTGGAACAACAAAAATGTGAGAGATGTTACTCTTGAGGAGTACAATGTTGTGTGGGTGGAGAGTGGGAAGGACTGAGGGTTGAAATTGAATTGCTGACAGGAAGAATGAGAGAGGAAGGAAAGAAGAAAGAAGAAAGAAAGAGCAGTGAAGTTGTGAGATATTATTAGGAATGAGAATGAGAATGAGAATGAGAATGTGAATGTGAATGTGAAAGTGTTGTGTTATGTGTAGCACCGAAATTGGAACAGTGCAAGTCAAATCATTCTTCTCAGTTCTCACTCACCCAAATCACATTGCTCTCTCTCCCCGAAGTTTCACCACACATCATAAATTCTCATTTTAATATGTTCTTCTTTACACTGTTATCTGATATAGTTATCAATTATCATACAATTTTTTTTTTTATGATAATATAAGCATTTTTAAGTTAAAAAATATTTTTATAATAATATAGCAAATTTATTGTACAGATAACATCTATAAAGCGCGAGATAGCCTTGACTATGACCATCGTTCATCTCCGCACAATACCGTACTGCGTTCCCTTCACCCCATATTTTGACTCCTCGGATTTTCCAGTTTCCTTCTCCCCACTCACACCAACTACTCATTATTTTCTCTTTTCAAGATAACGTTTTCAAAATTATATATTATATTATTGAAATTTTGTTATTAAAAGAATTATAACTATTCTTACAAAACTATTTAAATGTTAATGACATATAAATAAATGATAATAATAATAATACCAAATAACGAACATTTTCTTATTTTTAAAATGATAAATATTTTGCAATAAAATAAATAAGTTCAACTATACAAGATGAGAAGTACTCTCTCTCAATGTGAGACACCGTCGAATGTAGAAACCAAGATTTAAACATATTTTTATTCAGTCGCGAAATAATCTTAGTTGAGTTAAACTTTTTAAACAACTATTTATCTCTGTAATTCATTAACTAGTGTGAATTTGAAAAAAAAAAAAAAACAAATTTGAATGTTCCTTGAAACATAATGATTAAATAGAATGAATTTATTTTTAAAAATTTGAAAAAAAAACTGCACTAATAAAAAAAAATACACGAAATATTTGATGAATTCGTTTATTTTTAGAATTGAAAGTTTTAAAAGAAAATATTAAATTATACAAGGAAAAAATAATATATCAATTGACATATTTGGTCATATAAGAAGTCTTCTTTTTCAAAAGCATATATTATTTATAGAATAATGTCAACAATTTAATCATTGCTTTAAGAAAAACTATTTTTCAAAATTAAAATTAATAAAATATTACTTTAGATTGATGATGTCTCAACAAAGATTAAATATATTAAATTTACTTTTAGTTAAAAATAAATTTAAAAAACTAATTATAATACCTTTTCATCTCAAAACTAAAAAGTAAAGTTTAGATTGAATTACTATAATTTTGATTCAGTTTAGAAAAACCTAATCTTAAACTTGTTTAAGATACACACACACGGGCTGTCCCTAAAAATATTATATTTACTAGTTAATCTTGAAAATTATTAATCAATGTCCTGAAATATAAATTTAGAAGTACTTATTAAAAAATATTTTTATATTTAAGAATATTATATGAATTCAATATAAAATTTATAAAATAATTAAAAATATTCAAGAACTTAAATCAAATACTACTCAACGCAATTTTCCTTAGTTATAATTTAACACACATTAAACTGATCACTTTTAACTATTTTAAAAAATAAATATTAATTTTTTTTATATTTTCAATTAAATAAATATGTTATTTTTGTTTTTACTTCCTTAAATAACACCTTTATTCTCCGTTGAAAAAAAAAACATAAAATTACGTTCCATCATATTACATACATCCATACAATATAGTAAGATTAAAAATAATGTTTGAAAATAAGATGTTAACGTACATATATTAGGTATTTACATTAATGCCCTTTTATATTTATCTTCAAATGCATAATACAATAATATCATGCAACGTTTTCAAACCCTAACTTGACCAGCCGTAAAGACTGTAAAACCTGGGCTTGTCATTCTATGGTCATTCTATGGGTCCATTAAACCATATGCTTGAAAACTATAAATCTGTTTTCTGAATTGGTCACCGTTCCCCAATGTGAACAGCCTCATAATTAAGTTTCGTTTTTCAATTGTTTCAATTATTTACCATTTAGATTCCAAAATTTACCTACAGTCAGCAACTAAATATACGAGTCTCGTTAATTTTCCTAATTTGAGATTAATAAGAGCATATATAGATTGCAACGATGATTTGGCTAATTAAATTTACTGTAAATATTGTTTCTTTTCTTTTCTACTTGTTTGATATTTGAAACTATCATAGAATGATAATATTTACTTTTCCTTTTTATTTATTTAATTTGCAGTAGCATATGCTAAAGGCATATAATGCAACATTTTTTGTTTAATACTTCTTATATACGTAATTAACTATGACAGAGATATATTGTCAACATTTTCATCCATGACTTTATTTAAACACTCAACGTGAGCATAAAACATTTTTTTTTACATTACTTCATGAGTTTATGTAATATACACTCGTGTATTGAATAACACCACATGACTGTCAATCTGTACTTTGTTCTTTTAATAATAAAAAAATACAGTGGATTATAATTATAAGAAAGAGGGTTTGAAAATAATTGTAATATGAGTAAAAAATATTATATATATTTCAATTTTTCATTAATAAAAAATATTTACACTTTTATCATTTTTGTATATTTTTAAATATGAAATAATAATAGTTAATACTCGTTTTAAAATTTAAGAATTCGGACTACAAGTTCAGAACACATAAACTAATATACGAGTACCACTAACCGTGATATACTCCTAACATTGGGATAAAAATATCAAATGAAAAAATGATCATTTTACAATTAATATTTTTTTAATCACAAATTTATAATTAACTTATGATGTGAACCCTTACATCTCAAATCTCTCTTATTTGGTTGAATGATTAGTTTAATTTGGTCATTTGAACAATAGTAATAATACATATTACTCATTTGAAAAATTTCACTGGTTAAATATCAAACTTCTTAATTTTACAAAAGTATCCCTTTTTTTAATATAATTTGTTTTAATTATAAAATGTTTTTTTGTTTTATTCTTTTCTTTAAAATTTATTATTTATTTACTAAAAAAATATTTTTAAATTTTGTTGATAATAAGCACATATATTTATTTTTAAAAAGATAAATAGGGATGATAGGATGGGACCAGAAGTACAGTAATGCGGTTACGCGGTGCCACAGACCATTAAGGAATAAGGAGAGACAAGACAAGGAAAGTGCGAAAAAGCACGTGTGTATTCGACCTTTGAACTTTCTACTTCGACGGCAAATGACTCAGATGCTATGTTGCATAGTCAAGACCCGAACGTCATTCTTGTGACGTTTTCAGTTTCTCACTTCCATCAATCACACTCAGCCCTTTCACTGTTTTGTTGTCATTACTCTCCCCTTCTCTGTATATATGTCTACTCATACTCTCTCACGCCATTGTTCAATGCACATCAACCTCCTAAACTCTCCTCAAAATTTCAGGTTGAAAATATTACATCATTTTCATGGATCACCCAGTAAGTCAACCCTCCTCAACCAAGGTTGAAAGAAGGCTTGTTGAGAAAAACAGAAGAAACCAGATGAAGATCCTCTACTCCAAACTCTACTCTCTTCTCCCTAGCTATAACCCTAAGGTTTTATTTTCTTTCTTTCTTTCTTTCTTCATGTCAGCCATATTTCATGCATGGAGTCACATTAAAATAATTTTAAATTCTCTTAAGAATCTTCCTTCTAGTCTTTTTTTAAAAGATATTAATTTCAAAGAGCTTAAAATTTAAGTAATTAATAATAACAAAATTTTATTAAAAATTTAATTTTATATTTTTATATCTTTATTATAATTAACATGTTCATACATAAATTGGTGGCATTAACACAATATATGTAAAGAAACATAACACAACACCTGGAATCTAAATTCTGTTCTTCTTGGAATTATACTGTGCAGTGTTTAATTTGAATTCGAAATCATATTTAATGAGTTGATGTGATTCAATGCAGGAAGCGTTGCCGTTGCCTGACCAAGTAGACGAGGCAATCAACTACATCAAGAGTTTGGAAGCAAGGGTGAAGATGGCGAAGGAGAAGAAAGAGAGCTTACAGGGAAGGAAAAGATCACGTGGTGACATCTCAAGTAGTGCTTTTGCTGCAGCGGGTTTTGCAAAATCGCCACAACTTGAGATTCACGAAATGGGTTCTTCTCTAGAAGTTGTTCTCACGTGTGGGTTAGATAACCAGTTCATTTTCTATGAAATCATTCGAATGCTGCATGAAGAGAAAATTGAGGTTAGAAGTGCCAATTCCTCACTGGCTGGAGATTCAGTGCTTCATGTTGTGCATGCAGAGGTATGTATATATTATATCATACTTGGTATTTAAATTTTACCTTCATATTTTCATTCTTGAAGAAGATTTAAAATTCTAATTTTAATTAATATAAAACAATACCAATACTTAAAGATGAATATAGAAATTTTGTCTTATTTTCATGTGTTTGGTCTTCTTAACTCGTAATATTATTGCTTTAATTTTAAGAAACTAATGAATTAATCAATTTTCTTTGTTTGTTTATGGATTTATGCAGATTCCGCAATCCTTTCTTCAATTCGGAGCAACCAAAGTAAGTGAGAGATTGAAAAGGTTTGTGAATGGATCGTCCAGTGACGTGGAAATTCAGCCCGAGTTGTGGGATTTTGAATATGGTACTGATGATATGTGGAGTTTCTAAATCTTACATTGATAAGCAAAGAATTAGTATTTACCAAAAAAGTTTTGTAAAATAAGCAGAAAACATTAATATTAGCTAAGTTTTAAGAGTAATCGTGGCCTCTGATCCCGTGACACAAAACAACATCAAATTAACGAATATGATCTTCTCTACGTCAAAACCTTAGTCTTTCCCTCTTCAATTATCGTGAAAAGATCAATTTAACTTTTGAGATTTTGTAACCTATATTGACCAGATAAAAATCATGTCTGAGAGAATCCAAGCTTAATTATACACCTATTTTACCTGTGTTCCAATAATTTTGACTGAGAATTAACTAAACAATAAGATGATTTATCTTGTTTTTTCTAAAATTTTCAACTCCCAACATTAATTCAGAAAATTAAATTCATCGCCTCAAATTAAATTGATAGTAGCAAGTACAATTAAGAGGTGGACGGTGGTCAGTTTCATCAACTACTACTGTCTTATAAATGCATACTATATACTATATGTCCCCTTTACATCTGAAGCTAAAAATCAGGTTTTGAAACCTTAAAGCACGCATATTAATTAAATGCTCGGATCATCAACTGAATTCATCCAAATGACAAATTTCATAACCTTCTTCTAAACAACTCTGTCAATATGAGGTTCTATTTGATGTCAGTAAGCAAATTAAAAATGTTGGAAAAGACAGTGAACCAAAAGAAGATAAATGGATGCAAATAATCACAGATATAGCTTCTTTGGATTAGACAGTACACGGAAGAAGATGCAATAGAACTTCATTTATGAAATATATATTGTTTCCCATTCTCCAATTGTTTTTAAATGATCAAGATTGGATTATTGCGGGTTGAGATTAGAAAATGTCCACATCTCGCATCACTGCTTTTTGGCCTTTGCTAAAACTTTAGAAACATAATATAACCAAGTAACATAATTAATTAGAAAAATTCAATTCTAATTAAGAAATTAAGCCAGTCTTTTTTGTTCATACGTTGTTCAACGTACCTGTCTTTGTAAGAAACAATAGGCAAATCAGGTAAACTGTTCAAATTCAAGGCAGTTTTTTTCAACATAGGGTTTGAGTAATGCAAGCTAGATACATCAACTCTTAAGTTTGTAGGAGCCAAACTAAATTTGTAAATGCTTTTTGCTTAGATCCTTAAGAAGTGTACATCTAGGGTTCTGTATGGTGGGTGGAAATCTGTTAGGTTATTGATAATAATATCATTTTGTTTAGAATTTAAGAGAGAGAGAGAGAGAGAGGAAACGTATTAAAACGTGTATAATTTTCATTTTATTGTCCAAAAAAGAAATATTGATAACGTGCTGCATACATATTGACAGGTAATTGAAATTTGACATCTTATAAATGAGTATGATTTGGGTGTGAAAATAAACAGAAAAAAAAAAAGCTTGTATATTGCATTGACTTATGTTTACGTGTCTATGCTTTGCTGCTGATGCTATAAATATATTTTCGTTTTATAAATTATTTTATTTTAGTAGTTGGTAATATTAGAGTGGAAAAAGTAGAAAGAACTAACATTTTATGCATCGCATTAGGGAAGAAATTCATGTGAAGTACTCGCTACGAGGCTGCAGTTAGCATGCAAAACCTCATCCCTGATAAGCATCCATTTTTGCTAATTAAGCAGTTAGATATTATGAAGAGAGTATACGAATATCAGCGAAAAGACGAAAAATCCCATTGTTAGTGTCTCTGAACTAAAGAAAAAAACTAATTTTCCAAAACCACAGAGGTTAAGGAGTCATCATGGCTTTTACAATTACATGGTTAAGAGTTTAATCTTTGCACCTATATTATTATTTAAAATAATTACAGCATAGTTAGTAAGGCAATTAAGATAGGTTTCAATTTTTCCAAACTTCAAGCCCAAATTAAAGACTTCGCAAAAGAATGTTAAGGATAAAAATATTCACATATAAAAGCTTTTGGAAAAAGAAAATTGATATTTGTTATTTTGGCCAAATTGATACTTTCCTTCTGTATGTTTCCAACTTCAGACTTGCGCCGCTTTTTCTTTTTTCTCTTTGGGTGTTTCAAAGTCCTTTGTGTACACGACAGAATTAGTATGCTTTCTTACTTTCATTTGCCAGATTAATCAAAAATGGACATCCTGAATTAATGTCTTTGATACAAGAACGTATCATTTACTGGTTTTAGAAAGATGAGTACCAAGTGCCTTAATTACCGTGCACAGAGTTTCACAGCTAGTTGGAACTTTTTAAACTTTTTAAATTTATTTTGGGTTTTTTTTTATATTTAAGATATATTTGTGAGATGTGTGTATACAAAATAAAATAAAATAAAAGATAGAAGCATAACATTGTACAATGTCGCATATAATGTTTATATTTAGAAACTCAAATATGTTTAAAAAACATTATATGTGACGTTATATAATGTTTCATCCTAAAGTACCAATATAAAGTAACCTAAGCATGATTTATGTTGGATTTTACCCTCTCTAGAAGAGAAATTCCAGTGAATCTACAGCTTGATATCCATAGTCATCAAAATTAGGGATTTACTTATTGTTGATTCTGGTATGTCTTGTGTGGAAACCTGATTCTTGAGGATTCTGAAACGTAATTGCCTATCTAATTGTTTATTCTCTCCATTCTTAGAAGTTGTATTGCTATACTAAATATTTTTTTGATAGGGATCCATCAGTTTTATCCATTTGTTGCTCTATATTTAAACGCCACAGGCTACATGTTACACAATTACCGGAATCCTTAACTGTGATTAAATCAATAGAGCTTATATAAAATATGAAAGTGCATAATGTCAACAGTTAGGATGTTTGGGGTTTTCAAATTCCATAGCTATTTACTAGTTTTTCTTCTTCTTGTGATTTTGCTTCTTGTTATGTTTTTTAAACGAGTTTTTCTAGCTAGGTCTGGCAACATCCATGATTTTGTATGCACAAACGACTTACATTACATTGACTATGAAATTCATATTTCTTAAAGGGCAATGTTCAATGGGCCGGCAATGAACGAATCAGAGCATTGACTTGTGAGGTCTTAGCTTATTGAAAGGCCTTCTGTAGAACTAGAAAAATAGAAGTGATTCATTTCATTAGATCGCAAAAATAATTATTATATTTAGTGCTATACTGGTCAAATTTTTTTAGTGCTAGTTAGTTTCATGGAATTGTTGGCCAGGTTCTATTTTGGGCTTAAAATATTCCGTCGGTGAAAGTTGGAAGGGTTTGAAGGGAAGAAAGATCTAAAGACTAAACGTGAAGAAGAAAAGACGAAACCAAAGGGAAATTCAAATAGTAAAGGGAGAGTGCATATCTGATAAGGCCTTGTGGAGGGAATAACATTTATCAACCGTGTTAAGCAAAACCTCGGAGGCTTGAAGTGATCATTAGTTGAGATTTTAAAGAACCCTATCATTAACCAAGAAACTTCAGCACATAAAGTAAAAGCAAGATGACCAATCACACGACCTTACAGGTAAACGGCATCTTCTACTTAATAATATAATTTTTTGGCTCAATTCTTATACATTAAAAATGTATAAAGAATCTTGCTTATAAGTGATAAAATCTTGCCAACCAGTATCCTTATCCATTGTAAGTCGATGTTCGAGACTGCGAAGTAAATCACTACTTTGATTCTTGAAATTGCAAGCATTATTCACTTCAATCTTTGACATTATATAAAAAAAATTACTCAGGATTGTATGTGTTAGAGAATCCCAGTCTTTCCGTCAAGCTCCTTGCTGTTTGCTAGTGCTACATTAATTCAAAAAATTTAGGGTATAAAAATTTGAATTTTACATGTGCCATTCAATTTTAAAATTTGTCGTGTCCCAGTAACAGTGTCGTATATGACCTATCAGTGCTTTCGTTTCATACTAAAATTCAGCTGTGACTATGAACAAGAAACGGAAACAAGAAAAATCTGGAAAATTTGTGCAGTCCTGATTGATAAATTAAGAACGACAAAAATGTCTATTCAAATTCTTATTGCTACATAAATGCCCATCTCAAGAGACAGAAATTTATTGCTCTGGTTCATACTGAAATTCACCTGACCCAGGAAAATGGAAATGAGAACAATCTGAACGCCTCATCGTAGTCTGAACGCTACATAAATTCCAACCTCAAACAATCAGCAATTTCAGAAGGGCACGCAAATCAAATAGGCAATGCCTCCCATTCAAGGGTTTCACCAGCAAACATAGGAATAATATCTCCGAATGGAAACGACAAACAATCAGGTACCCTCCAAGGAGCTTTCCTCAGTTTAATTTTTGACCTGTTTCTTGGGAGGCCATAGAAGTCAGGTCCATTAAAGCTTGTAAAAGCCTCCAGCTTATCAAGTGCGCCGGCCTAAAACATGCCACAGTTTCATATAACAAATTAAGATTAAACGCCACCCACTCTCAGAAGGAAGCATGCAAAATATGCATAGCTTCACATACATAAGCAATTAAGCATACTGTCATACCATAAAGCACAGATGAGAAATGCATGTGTAAATTAAGAAATGCCAACACGGGGCATTTTAGAAATAATATTAGCTTGTTTTGCAAACCTTTTGGAAATAATATTTCTCGTTTCTAATCACTAAAAAATTTAAATACTAATCAATCTCAGAGAAACTTGGGATATTCCAATTGAACATAAATCCTCCTTCTGAAACCTACCCAAATACACATTAGTGAAAAGATGTGATACAAAGTTCGGCATATTATAAGCATCATAATGTAAGCGTTACCTCTTCAAAAACCTTGGCATATAGTGATAAAGCAACCAGGGAGTTGTATATGCCGGCACATCCACAGGAACATTCCTTTTTACGCCTATCATGTGGAGCACTATCAGTTCCAAGGAAAAATCGTTTACTTCCACTAGTGACTACCGAAACAATAGCCTGTCCTAAAAAAGAAAGAAACAATGAACCCAAGGTAAGATGCCCAACACATGTACAGTTTGGTAGCACAATTATCAACATGATGACCCATGTTCCTAGTGACATTTCCTCAACCCAACTTAGGAATTACTACAGTATAGAGTCTGAAACTCTTCAATGGGATGGTGTACTACCCTTTGCAGCAAAATTAATATTTATAAAAGTGTAAAAATGTTCAAACATCACAGGCACTCAATGCACTGAAAAACATATTTATCTTTTCCCATGAAAGTCAAATCAGTAAGGAAACTGATTAATTAACTGCAGGCAGTGTAACAACACAAGAAAATTATGATTCTTATATTTTAAATCATTATTTTATTTTTTCTGTTTTTGACAGAATCAATGTTTCAAATTGTAAACTAAAACTTCTAATATAGCACCAAAAAGATGTTGGAATTTACTAGATTGTACATGCAGAAAAACAAAATTACATACTATGAATCTCTCTTTTGAGCACTGGAAGACAGTAATTGTGAGGCTGTAAGCCACCTTGGAATAAAGCATTACGATTGAGAAGAAGATGCTGTGGTGTAACAGTTGCTGCTACATGACCTAATAAATATAGCAATCCATGAGATTAACTTTACAACTAAAAGTTCAATACAATGATAAATTCGCTCTTCCAAGAAATTTATTATAATACCTTCTTTGCAAGACTCGACAAATTTAACAGCATCCATGGTAGTAATATGCTCCATCACAACCTTCAGCTTTGGAAGCCTTTGAACTAAAGGCTCTAAAATTGTTTCAATAAAGACCTTTTCCCGGTCAAAAATATCAACGTTTGAATTAGTAACCTCTCCATGAACCTGTCAAGTATACTGATTCACAGATAAGAAAGCACAATGTAAACTTCTAAGTCTTACATATAAATAAAAGGCAATAATAAAGAAGGGAACATGTCACTAGGCCACACTTGACTTGCCACAAGTAAAACTCAGCTCATAGTTAAGGGTTGAAGTGTTAGTAGATGTTTTCGTTGTGAATATGTTTCAAAATTGGTGCCAAAATAATACATTATATTACAAAGGTGAAACAATTAATTCATGAAAAATGTGACTAGTCAGAAGTCAAAACTGATTTTGAATTAAAATCTTTGATCAGGGCAAGCATGGCAGAATATGGAACGAAATACATTCTTATACATCAATGTAAGAACAATAAACATAGTCACTCACACACACACAATGGGGGTGGGGTGGAGAGGGGAGAAAAATGTAAAGAAATAAACAAAACTGAACTAAATAAATAAATTACCAATAATGGTAAACCTTGCTCAACCATTTCCTCAAGAACAGAAAAACATTTTCCAAAAAGATCTGTAACACCATCTTGGGAGTTTGTTGTAGCACCAGCAGGATACAACTTTACACCATAAACAAGCCCACTTTTTTCTGTCAATGTGAGTAGCATAATCAAGTAGTGTACTACGATTATTAGGGAATTGGGGGGGAACAAAACTCAATAATCATGGAGGGTGTAATCTAATTAAATGATAAATGATCCCTGAATGTCTTGGAATCATGGCCCAAGAGAAAAATAATAGTTATATAGAAATGGATGGACAACTTAACCTTACTGATATAATAAAACTTGTTTCTCTTTCATATTTCACAGGTTTTTTTTTTTTTTAATTTGCATCCCACTGATTTAACTCACTTGCAAGTTTAATCTCGTCTCGAGTAGTAATGTCTGTGAGGTAAAGTGTCATGAGAGGAGTAAAGTTGCTATCTTTAGGTATTGCTTTCAAAATGGACTCTCGATAAGTAACAGCAGCAGCTGTGGTAGTGATGGGTGGTTTCAAATTTGGCATCACTATAGCCCTTCCAAAATGCTTTGCACTGTGGGAACAACAGTTGTGAATCAGAATTCTCATGAAGTTCGGCGGGAATGCCGTAAACAATATGAATGCCAAACTATACAAAGATGTCATTCAAAAAATTAGGAAATAGTAGGCTATCACTGAGTGTTTTTTTGTGTCTTATGACAAGTGAGATGACCTGTGAGGGAGTACAGCTTCTAGAAGGGAACCATCACGGAGGTGAAGATGCCAATCATCAGGTTGTGTAATAGTGAGCTCCATATCAACCTTTTCTTATTAGAACCTTAATACCTAAAACAGAAGCATAAAAAAAACAAATTAAGCACTTGCAGAATCACTATGTCAGATAGAGAACAAAAGATGACCAATAACTTCACCCTCTAGTAACAATCAAGTATCCATTAAATCGACTATTTAAAACTTAAAAATACCAAAAGAAAAAACGACCAACAGCAAGAAGAAACATCAAAATTCAAATTCATCCTAAAGCATATTACAAATACAATAACACAATAGATACAATGCATCACACACTTACGTTACAAACAAGTAACCAAATCATTGAGCAACAAATACATCCTTGGATAGATAGTGCTTACAGAAGATCGAATTCTGCAAACATTGCAATGTCAGTGTATCATTTTAGATTTGCATTGAACGAATCACGTGTGTTTTCAATAACGTTCGTAGATTCAAAATTAAGTTTGAAGAATAATAATTCCACTGATCCTAACAATAACGCTGATTAAGATGCTCCCGTGATTTCAAAAGTGGCCGAACGAAAATGTCCCAAAACACGCACATAACATATTGCAGGATACGAATAAAAACAAAGAAGAAAAACAAAGAACAAATCATAGATGGAACAGAGGATGAATGAGAAGATAAGAAAAGAACAAAAACCGGTGCAAGTAGGATTAGAAGCAAATGCAAAGTTGGAAGTTGAAATGACGACTGTAACGGCGGAGGATCACGACGGAGCTGTGGACACGCGACGGAGCACTCTTACACTGATAGGGTTTGGAGGCTGAGAATTGATGAACAATGAACCCATCAGTCAAAGTCGGGTCATGGATATAAGGGTCAACTCGAACCGACCCTAGATTGAACTTTAAAGTACGAGCTAAATAAAATAATAAAAGCTTATAATATTTTATTAAATGATTCTAGGAATAATTCTAAAACTTGTTGTTTTTTATGTTTTCAAGATGATAAATATATATATATTTTTATTTAATATCTATTAAAACAATAAGAAAATTATTAAAAATATAATAAAATTCGGAAAAATATTACTGAAATGAGATAGCTATTTTTAATAAAAGAAATGTATATATACAATAAAAAATTAAACTCTAATTAATACATTAAGCTCAAATTATCTAAATTATATATAGCTTCTTTTACGCAGCTTCCAATACTTTTTCTAAATAGCTCCTAAACAAAGTTAACAAATATAAAGGAAGATGAAATAATTGTGCAACTTTACTTTTATATTATTATTATTATTCAAATTTGTTTTTTTAATAATTTTTTTATTTTTTTAATAAAATAAAATAAAATATTTATATAGATAAAGTTATAAGTAAATTTTTTAAAATATATTTTTTTAACAAAATCTTATATCGCATATGTAAGTCATACTTGTGTTTTTTCTTTGGACAAAATATTAGTCAGAATAACTTTTTAAGTAACTAAATGGCACTTTCACGAAGGAACCTATGTTTTTTTTCTTATTAAACTAAGAAAATTAACTATTAAAGAAAGCTAGGAGATCTTCTTAAATTTAATTCCACGTTACTATCTAAGATTTGAAATATAATAATTATAAAAAAAAATATGTATCATTTTTAAATATATACATATAAGAGAAAAGGAGTGCACGAATGAAGAGAAATGATGAGTTAATGGATGTTAAAATTAGAGTCGTTTGAACTGTTTTTAAATTGATAAATAAAAAACATCATGCCAAAATAAAACAATAATAATAACAACAACAACATTTTATTATAATTTGGTTTAGTTTTAATTCATATTGTTAAAAATAAATCAACTGAATTAAAATTGTATCTATAATTGTTTATTTTTTTTTTTTATATCTTTGTATGAAAAATATTTTTAAAATTTTATTATTTTTTTCATAAATATGTGGTACACTTATTTCTTTTGTTTCTATTTGTCTACTAACAAAATTACTGTTTTTTCACAAGTTCACTCCTTTCATTTGTATTTTTCTCTTTACTTTTCATTTTTTACAGACTCATTAAATCACTGATTTGATTTAAATTGAAGTTAATGTAAAAATAAAAATATTTTTAAAACTATGTTATAAAAAATAAACAAATAATCGAAAAAACCACTTCAAATATTTGTTTGGTTTGATTCATGCATATATTCTTGAAATAATAAATAAATATTTAATAATATTATTTTTATTTAAATTATTTAAATTCAATCTTAAAAGTTAATGACTTGAAATCAAAAGTATGCTGAATTAATTTTTCAGATTTCAGGGACTTTTTGGACTAATTTCCAATTAATTATATTGCACACCTTAATATCAACTTATCAAGACAGTGACACAATAAATGTGGCTCGCCAAATAGGGAAACGTAATGATGTGTTGATGCCACATTTGCATTATTAATTATTGCGAGGAAACGTTCCATTATTTATGGCTTGCTAGTGTCCCCATCTCACGATAGTTTTTTAATGTGTATTTAAGGATATATAATAAGATTTTATATTATAAATTTTATTAAAAATTATAAAATTTAATGTATTGATAATAATGTTATAACTTTAATAAAAAATTATTAATTATTAATTTTTTATCATCTAAGTATATATCAGAAATTTCTTAATTTCTTTATAATTTTATAAAAATTCATCATTTTTATTTAATAATTTTAAAATTAAGTTTTCAGAGTAAATTTTCATTTAATAATTAAATAAATATAATAGAAGTGTTAATATATTATTACTTTATATATATTAATCAAAATATACAAAATGTAATAAGTAGTTTATTTGTTATTTAATTATTTTATACATTTTTATAATTTGTATAAATTAAGGTCTAAGTTGAGTTTTTGTAATTATTAAATAAAATTTTAAGATGATAAAATTAATTTAAAAATTAAATATCGGTAATTAAAATTAAAAAAACTAAAATTCTATTTAAAATAAAATGTGAAAGGTAAAAATACAGATAAGAAAAATAAATGAAGTGGTTACTTTTGATAAGGGCGTGGAGAGAGCTAGAAGATATGCTGAAAGCGTTACCTGCAGAAACAGCCCCACTGCCCATTAAATAAATAAAGTGAAAATAGTTTAAATACTAATAATTTATTATATATCATTATCGAATACATTTTTATTATTTGATAAAATTCATATTAAATATAAATCTTATTTCACATTTAATCAAAATCACGTCAATTTCACTCCATCGTAAATATCATTTAAAAATATTAATAAAATATTATTATTTTAATTTTAAATTATTGATATTTAAGATTTTTTATAAAAACTAAGAAAATAAAAAAAATATCTTAATTTGCAAAATAATGTTTTTGTTTGTTTTCCAAAAATCTAATTCACATATTAACTAAGAAAAAACGCATTCACTATGGAATAAAATAATAAATATTTGACCAAAATCCTAAAATCATATTTATTTATTTTTAATTTTTTACCGATGATAATTAATTTAAAATGAAAGAAGTATACTATTAATTTTTAAATTTTTTTTTGAATTATAAGTATTGTTTATAAAAGATAATATTGATTGAGTTGAATAAAATGTTATATATAATAAAAAAATTTCACAAAATCTTTAACGCTATTTCATATTCGACACACTGAATTAAAAGACCCCTTGTCTTGCATCTCATTTGGTTTTTTTTTTTTTTATAATGTCTTTTTTCTTATAATTTCATACAAAAATTAATGAGTATAAAGTGAGAAGCTTTTGAACAAGTTATACTATTTCACATCAAATTTTTATAACAACAAATTAATGTGACTAAAACAATTTTTTTTCAAAAAAACAGAGAATCCTTTAATTTAACGTAAAAGAAGAAAAATATTAAAATTTATTTTAAATATGTAGTTTGTTATTTATTTTAAATAGTTTATTAAAAATTATTAACTAGCTCTCGCATGTATGATAATATTACACGTTAATTGTAATATGGTATGCTAACGAATTTTGAATATCTAGTTAGAAAAACATTAGTATATCGCGTTATATTAAATATGTTACATCATTATTTAAAGAGTTAATTAATAAAATTTAATATATTTTGACAACTAGATTGAAAGATTAAGTATCCTTCAAAAACTAATATCAGGTTTAAATAAAGTTATCTCTACTTCTTCCTATTATGTTATCTTGATACTTTTTTTTTTCTCTTTTTTCTTTCTTATTTTCCTCTAATTTTATTTATAAAAAAATATACATATTTATTGTAAAAATATCATTTCACTTATTGAAAGGAGAGAGTAACAATATTTGAATAGTTCCACTGAATTTCCATGTCTTCATTGCCTGAAGAGCATTCATATGCTAGACTCAAATGCAATATATAAGCAGCTATATGTTTTTTATTTGAATGTGTGACTTACTGGATAATTTATATTTTGTTTTGCATCTTCTGCATATCTATATCTTAATCTACATGCATGTTTATATAAAGACAAATAAGATCAGCATCTACAAATGTATATGTCACATTTAACTTTTGTTGGGCATCTCAGATATCTCCATAGCAGCTTTGAATATGACTTCGTAGGCTTTTTCCATGCAAAACTTTAACTTCTGTTCATCTATGAACCCCTTTAGTGTTCTCAAGGTGATTCTTATTACTTTCACATAGCTCATAATTGTTACGTTTAAATTCTGCAGCCACAGAAAAATGGATTATGAGAAGTGCTTGTCATGCATTTTCTTATCCACTAAATATGTGACTTGGAAGAAAAGTTAAGATAATAAAACTCCCGAAAATAAATAAAAATAATAATTTAATAAATACCTCAGGCCCACCAGTCATGGTGAAATACACACCACTTATAGGATGATTTGCCAAAGCCATTTGTTCCATTGGCCCAAATATGTTGGAGATAACAACACTAGAGTTTCCTAGAGTATTGTAGATGATTTTAGCTATTGCCTGAAACACCAACATAACAAATTAGGAAAGTTGAACATAATAAAGCAGAGAAGACATGAACAGGGAATGATTGAAATTTATTTAAATATGCATTTTAATTATATTGAATGGTTTAAAATTTATTTTTTAAAAATCTAAAATAAATAGATACTGGTATATTTAGGTAAGAAAAATTAATATTTTAGTTTTCTGGTCTTTTAACCTTTTTTTTTAAATTATCATTTATTTCTTGTTTAATTTATATTTTATTTGTCAATTATGACAGTTTTTTTATCAAAGAAAATTGAGATTTTTTTAATTAATTTGGCCATGAAGCCATAATTAATAAATTAAACTATATTAAAATAGATAAAGAGGTAAATGATTAAAATATATTAAAAAATAAAAGATCAAACTGAAAAAACAAGAGTATTAGTTTTGTTATTTTAATAAACAATTTAATTTAGTGCTAACTTGTTATATGATCATTTTAAGTTTACAATATTAAAATAAATTTTAAAAAATTATTGGAGTGATATGTTATTTTTTAAAAAATCAATAAAGTTGTGAAAGACCTTTCAAACACCATTATTTCATATACAGACCTCGGGGCCTCTTAACTTCATCTCCAAATCCAAGAGCAGACCTATGAGATAAACACTGAAAGAGCGTCTTTTCTTCTTGATTAATCTTTGGGCGTTCCAAACAAAATCAAGAGGGTTAGAGATTCTGGATTGAATTAGCTTTGGTATAGCTATTTGTAAGAAAGAAATTTTATTCCCCCAAAGACTTTTGACCTCAGGTTTTTGCATCTCTTTCACTGATTGGTAACTTCTGATATTTCTTGTATTGAGCATTACCACAGCTGTAGCATTTGATGTTTTAGCCATGTAGTCAATCTCTTGCATATAAAGCCGAATCCCATAGAAAATCATCCCAGTAAGCACATCATTTATTGTCTGCACTTATGTCAAAAAATAATAATTAATTAGTCTACCGATTTTTCTAATGCGTTAATGATACACTATAAGAAATACAAATAATATGTTTTTACTAAAAATTGTAGCAGTTAATATTATATTAATATGTTGAGTTCGGTATTACTATATAATTTTTAATAAAAAATATTATACATTAATTTTAATTGTGTATTCTTAAAAACATGTTAGAAAAATTATTAACTATAACTTAACCATATGACATAATTAATTGATCTTGCTAATCTTACCACTCCAAGCTTGGACTTGATTACTTTGACATGATCAAGAGATAATGATATGTTTGACAAGGTAAAAGGCAGAGATTCGGTTCTTTCATATCCAGACCTTATAGGAGTTTTGTCATCTTCAATCACTCTTGTTTTCAATATACTTGATCCAAAATCTGATATAGAGCTGAAAAATGAGGAAGTAGCTGAAGGTAACCTCTTAAACAAGCTTTTCTTTGCATGTTGTGACTTTGATGATGAAGGAAAAGTTAGAGGTAGAGAAGGGTCATCAGCTCTTTGAAGACAAGAAAGAAGAGCACCCATTAGGGAATAACCATCCCCTAGTGCCTGATGAAGTTTGAAAATTAATGTGCCTGCAGCATTAGTTGTTGGGTATTTAATAATATGAAGTTCCCATAATGGTTTGTTTTGAGGTGTACGTTCGGTTAAAATCTGTGACACATAGTCATCAAAATATTGGTCATACAATCCAGATGAACCATTGCTTTCAGGAAACTTTGGAACCTTTACATGCTCTTCAGGCCTCACTTGTACCCTTTTCCATATCATTATACCATCTTCATCTCTTACCTGTGGTCACCCAATTGAAAAATTAAAACAAAAAGCTAAACTAACATGACGCATTTATTGAGGGCGTTAATTTGAAATGGGTAGTACTATTTTATTTTATATCACTTAGGATTATAATTAAATTTGACAGTGATCCTGGAGAAAATGTAAAAATAAATGGAAGAGTTAGAGAGAGACCATGATAGAGGAGAAGCGTGGGTTGATTGGGAGGAAGACATCTTTAAGCAAAGAGATAGTTTGTGAATCATCAATTGGAACTGCTACTTCAAGAAAACCAAAAACATATGAACATATCACCGAACTGTTGAAATACTGTCCTGGAGGACTCACTGGCTCTTCAATCTCTTCATAGAATTGATCCATTATGCTAGTGTGTATTTGATTGAAACTTCAACCAGAAAATATTTGGCCGCAAAACCAAGCCCGGATCAAGAATATATAGCTCTACGTTATTGTACAAGATAAGATGCTGAACTACCCTTGACCTTGTTTGATCCATAATTGAGGATTGTACATTTCTTACTTTCACATTGAAGATGAAAACTATATGCTTTGAGTTTGCTCCGCCCAATAATTAATGAGAAGCTAAACTAGCTCTAATAATAGAAACGTCCAAAACGTTCTCTCATGGATGGATATGACCATTTAATGTATCAAGGAAAAAGCCAAGCAGTGTTTGGTTACAAAAGTCAAGAAGTTGAATGAAAAGTAAGAACGTTCTCATTTTGGAAACGATAAGGTAAGAATATAGATCCATTATTCTAAAAATGAGTTTTGTCACTCTTTCTTTTTCTTAATGATTTTTTTATAAATATTAAAATTTCATCAAATCAGTTATTAAATTAAAAGTCTATGAATACTTGATCCATCTAAAATCATTGAGATAGCATATCATAATTTAGTTATTTAACTTATGTTCAATATAAAGTTATTAAATGAAATAAGTCTAAAAAAATTACTTTTGAGGTCATTGAATCCCTTTCAAATTTTAAAATATTTTTAATAATTAGATAATAATTTGTTAAACAAGTGAGATTAAAAAAACAGTGTATTACAGGTTAAACATGCACCACAAAAATATTTTAAAGTTAATTTAGTCAAATGTACTCGTAATAAAAGAAAAAGAAATAAAATATTATAAAGTACCACGAGGCATGCGCTGGTGATCATCGGCATACCCAACCACACAAAATGATGCCATTATCTCGCACGTTATGTGAGAAAGACATTTTTGTTTTCAAATATCTTTTAAACAGGTAAATAATAAAATATGAAAATTCAAAATATTTAGTAAATTAAAACTATAATACAATTAAATTAAAATTATTTATTTAAACTGTAAAATCATTTTATGATATAATCTTTAAAAAGTTATTCTTTAAAATTTATGAAAATGTATTATTAAATGGATTTTTTATTTTGAAACTTAAATAATTCCTATAAATTAAAAAAAATTATGTTTAAATAAATAAATTTATTAAAAAAATATGAAAAAAACAGACTCAATTTAAAACATTGTCTTTCATAATTACAATAAATTTTAAAAAATAATATAAACATTTTGAGAGTTATCTTATAATTAAAATTATATTCTCATTTTAATATATATCTATATTTTAATAAATAATTGGAGGTTGCTTTAATTTTAATATAAAAATTGACATTAAAAATTAACGTTTTATTAACCTCAAATTTTTGCAAATTACTAAACACAACAAAGACAATCACAATATTAATATCTCACAATGTATAAAAAAGTTCTATAATATTATTTATATATAAAAATAATATTATTAGTACATAATATTTGAATGATTTGATATTAATACATATTTATTTAAAAATTTGTATGAAAAATTATTGAATATGTATGAAATTTGATGTAAAAAAAGAAATATAATGAAATTTTAATTGTGTGATTTGCAGTAGTATAAATAATTTAACTTTAGAGAAATAATATTATTCCTAGTAACAGTGTACTAAATATTAATAAAATATTTAATTTTATTAAATAGTATTCTTGAAAGTGATTCATGTTAAGACTTTTGGATTGTACATGTGATTAATAATCTTTTAATATATATTGTTAATTTTCACTAAAGATGTAATAAGTTAAATTACTCTTTACACTCATATTTTATTTTTAATAATAGCTGGACATGTCATGTGTGACTTATTTATTTATATAAGAAATACAGGTAAATTGTATGTTAATTATATAAATAATTTAAAAATCATATTAAATACTTAATTTTAAAATAAACTCATACTAACCTAAAAAAGTTAGTGAAGCTTGGAGCTGGCAATCCCACTTGGTTATCCTCCCTCAGTATTTTGCTTGTTCTCACTTAACAATTAACATGACTTTGGATGCATATACGCATTTTATTTAATAATTTTTAAATAGTCACTTATTTTATAAATTTAATTATATAATTTATTAACATAAAATATTTTTTATAAACTTTTTTAAACAACATCGCAGGGAATTGAAAGTTAATGTTGTGCAGTTGTACGACAGATGTTGTTGAAGAAGGCCTTCACATTCAATCAATAGAAAAACGTCACGGATGAGGATCATCTACAGTTGTAAAAATCCTAATCCTATCCCTTAAATAATTTGTACATGATCTTCCTTAAATTAAATTGTGATATAATAATTATCTGAGTGGTTAAATGATAAAGTAAAATCTGTATTTTTTTTAAATTTAATTATATTTTTCTGAATATTTAATACAAGTATATTTACTAAATTCAAATTTAAAAATACACATTAAGTTGAATAGTTAATATTATTTATCAATTAAAAATTTATCTCAATAATTTATAATAACATTAAATATAAATATTTTATTAAAACAAAATTTAATTAATAAAAATCATAAACTATCAGAATCTGTGTTCCGTGTTCATTGAGCAAGTTGATGAACATTGAACACACGTGGCCATCAGTATCAGTCAATTAATTACTTGAATGATCCTTGTCTTTTAAAAATGATGGCCAAACGACAGCTACAACGAATAATAAAGTGTTTTTTTTCCTCATATCAAATATCATTTAAATATTCTTTATTTCTCTTAAATTATTTATTATTTTAAAATATTTAAAAAATGATTAATTTTTTAGTATTGTTATTAAATATTAAAGATAATAACTATTAAAATAATTATAAAAATGATTATCATTTAAATAATAATAATTTAAATAAAAATATTTTATAAAAACAATTTATTTTATTATAATAATCAATAAAACTAATATTTTATAAAAAAAAAGTGTATTAATACTAAATAATGTCTAACATAAGCGAATTGAGTGACAACTGAAAAAAAATGCTTTGTATAAATACTCTCATTCATGCACATATATACGACAACTTAACGTAATTAATAAATATTAAAGACATTTTTAATTTAAATAAATCGAAATAGAGTTGAATTGTTTGAACAAGTATTTACAAACTTTAATTTGAATAAATTTATTTAATAATAAATTTAAATTTATGTTTTCTAAATTCAATATAAAAATTATAATTTACTATGTTAATGTAAATATATAAATTTAAAAACAACATAATTTATAAAAAAAACTATATATCAAAACTTTTTACGCAACAGATGTTATAACGGAATAAACGTAATTCTATAATATTTCAACGCGATATATTTATGCACTTACCTGCGCCTTGTATTCTGGAAAATGTTGCATCTGTTTTCAATTCTATTATAATGTTAGGGTTTATCTCAATTCTAAAGTTATGTCTAAATACTAATGTATTGTCAATTCTAATAGAATTTTAATGTTACATGTCATCAACCAAGAGCAAACAAAAATCAGAAAAAGCATAAAAGAAAAACAATAATACTTTAATTCTGGGGATATTACTGTTTAAAGAAATTACATGGACCACTTTTATCAAAAGAAAAAAGAAAGAAAGAAAATACACCGACATACGATAGCCAATTTTGTAAATTACAATCTTCACACTAAATAAAATTGCAATTATCTCTGCTATAATTGCTGAAATCAAATTGACAGAAAAAGTAACAAAATATCCCTTAATTATCTCTTTCTTCAAAGATAATTTAACCCTTGCTTTTGTTGGGCATCTCCATAGCTGCTTTGGTTATGACCTCAAAGGCTTCCACCATACAGAATTTGAACTTCTTCTCATCAATAAAGCCTTTCTGTGTTTTCAAGGTGATTCTTAAAGTTCTTGCATAGCTTATAACCGCAATATTTATACTCTGTAACCACAAAGGTAGCATGTCATGGCTGGTAACACATTTATCTAATTGTATTTATCCTAGTAAGAATCAGTAATTTTTGCAAGGAGATAAAGTCAACTACCATTTTCTTATTCATAAAAAAGCTGAGCTACATCTACACAACGGGGTAGCTCATCCACCTTCATGAACACGCACTTAATCACATGCTACAATTACACTTTTCAAATAATTATATATGAATAATTAAGATTTTTTAACTTCAATTTTATTTTGACAATATATTTTAATTGTATGATACCCTTTTTATATATATAACTGTAATTTCAAATGTTAACATTTTAATTTACAATGACAATTTCATGCTTTTAACTTATATATATAACAATTAAGATGAAGGTTACCTCGGGTCCACCCGTCATTGTGAAGTACAATCCTTTCACACGATGATTTGCCAAAACCATAGGTTCCACTGGTCCAATCAAATTGGATATGACAACACTTGAGTTCCTCAGTGTACCATAGATATGTTTAGCTACTGCCTGTAACCCAAATTAATAAAAAGAAGGCCCTTTAAAAGAAAGAACAAGTGAAAGTTCCTTGAAATAAACGATTTTTTTTTTTTATCAAAATTTAATTGAAAATTTGAACCTACTCATGCAACTACCCACCTCGTGTCCTCTTAATTTCAGCTCCATGTCTAGAAGCCATTCAATGAGGAAAACAGTGAAAGAGTTTCTCTTCCTCTTGATTATTTTCTGGGCTTTCCAAACAAATTCAAGCGGGTTGGATAAGCTGGATTGGCTGAGTTTGGGTATGTTCACATGTAAGAAAGAAATATGATTCCCCCAAGGAGATTTAGAATCAGCCTTCATCATATCTTGTACTGATTGGTAGCTTCCAATGTTCCTAGTACTAAGCATCACCAATCCTGTGGAATTTGCCGTCGTTGCCTTATTGTTAATCTCTTGCATGTATAGCCGAATCCCATAGAAAATTACCCCAGTAATCACATCATTTATTGTCTACAATTACACAAAAACGATTATTAATTTACCTCAATTTGACAAAACCTACCACAATTAAAATAAAGACAACACGTAGTTATAATATCATCAACTGTTCAATCAAGATTAGAAATACAAACTTAATGTTTTCATAATTATTTATTAAATAATAATAATTCGTATATAAGTCTTATCTGGGAGTATTTATTTATTTTAAAATATTCAATGTTTTTAAAAATATTAAAAGCAACCTCTTAAAATAACTAAATTTTTAGTTTTGTTTTGTCTAATTTTGACTGGTTATTAACCGTTTTTTCCCGATTTTTTAAGTTGCTTAAATCGATAAATTGATTAATTTTCAGTTCAATCGGTGAAACCCATCTTGCCATTCCATTTTTAAAAGAATGATTAATATAAGTCGTGACCAAATTCAAATTTTTTCATTAAATCCATAATCCAATAAAGTATACATTAATTAACCTTACCACTCCAAGCTTGGACTTGATCTTTTTAATATGATCCAGAGAAAACGATATGTTTGATATCACTGAAGGCAGGAACTCAACACCTTCTTCACCACTCCTTATGGGTGTTTGGTCATCTTCAATCATTGAACTTTTCACTATGCTCCATCCAAAATCCGAGATAGAGTTTAAAAAGGAAAACACTGTTGAAGGAAACCCCCTGAAGAAGCCTTTTTTGGAAGGTGGTGATGCTGAGGGTTTACGAGAAGGAAATGAAAGAGGAAGAGAAGGGTCATCAGCTCTCTGAAGACAAGAAAGAAGAGCACCCACAAGAGAATAACCATCTCCAAGTGCATGGTGAAGTTTGAATATTAAGGTGCCAGCAGCATTGCTTGTTGGGTATTTAATCACATGAATTTCCCAAAGTGGTTTATCTTGTGGTGTTCTTTCCATTAATATCTTTGACACATACTCGTCATAATACTGATCGTATAATTCTAATGACTCATTTTCGGGGAATATTGGAACCTTTATGTGATCTTCAGCCTTCACCTCTACTCTTTTCCATTTCATTTCTCCTCCTTCATCTCTCACCTAGCATATATATATATATCCGTACAAGTTAATATTATCAAATTCAAAGAATGTGTCAAAGAATAAAAATTTTACGTCAACAGGATAATAATAAATTAAAATATATATGAATAACATAGTTTAAACTTAATGTTCTTATATATGATATGATTTATTGTTAATTTATTAAAGTGACTAGGAAAAATAATTTAAAAAAATGGTTGCAAATTAAGAGTGAGAACCATTATGGAGGAGAAGCGCGGATTGATGGGTAGAAAGACATCTTCGAATAAATACTTAGCTTGAGAGAATTCAATCGGAACTTCTGATTCTAAGAACCCAAAAACATATGCACATAACACCTGGGTGTTGAAATATCGTCCACTAGGACTTACTGGCTCTGCAATATCTTCGAAGTTGTTCATTATAGTGTTGCACTTAGTTTTAGAAAATAGAAAAGTAGGGACTGTGATGACTGGACTACTTGGGGATTGAACATTTGTACGTCTATGGCCACTTATATAATAGTAGATGTAGATAATCGTCGTGTACAAATTAGGGCTGAATGATGTTCTTTGTATAAATGCTTAGATATGTTTTTGTTTATCCTTACAATTTGTATTCTGTGACTGTAAGAAAGGCTTAACTTTTGGTATTTAAAAAATGTTTTTTTATTTGATCTATTATTTTAAATTTTAACATGGGTCTTTCGTGAAATGTATATTTTGTATTTTTTGGTTCTTTGTAATTTTTGTTTTATTTGGTCTTTCTATATATTATGAGAAGCTACGTGTGATTATGAGATTTTGATTTCCCTTGTGGTCCTTCTAATTCAATTCTCATAAATACCTTGAATTTATCATTTGATCCATTCCTCTTAAATAAAGAATTAAATAAAAACTAGTGATATTTAAAGAAATTAAATTAAAAATAAACTAAAGGGACCATCTAGTAATAAATAAATGTTTTATAAAAATCTCATTTGAAAATAAAATAAATATGAATGACCAATAATGAAAATTATGAAATTTTAAGAGATCAAGATCTTGATTAAGAACACAAAATTATTGTGTATTGCATTTAATCATCAATTAACTTTAAATATCTTTGAGATTTAGAAGCTAAAATAAAAATTTTAGATGAAATTTTAAAACTGATATTATGTGTGTTTAAAATTACATCAGTGGAAAGTCTTAAAATTAATAATAGGACATTTTAAATTATTTGTCATTGAAAATTACACAAAAAAGAGAAACGGAAATATCCATGTAAAACTCATCCATAATTGATTATCACTTAGAGCTTTGTTTGTAGTGAAACAACAAAATTTTTATTTTTCACGAGAAGATATTACGGTTAATTTAAAACTACATAAAGGGACAATTTAATTTAATTTATCCATAAGTTAATTATGATTGCACCACCTTTGAAGTCTCCCATCTGATATGATATTTCGTGGGTTAAAACTGAAGGTGTGGGGGGCACTTTGATCATAAGAAACTAATATACAGAGGAATCCTCCTAAAATTTGGTTTAATTTTATATTACTCTATAGTGTTATATTATGGGATTCCTAATTTGATTTTTAAATGTATTTTAACAAAAAATATCATTGTTATTTACTTACTTAATTTTTTTAAACTATACATTTTACTCATAATTTACAATTCCTTGCATATTTCTTAACTTCTATATAACTGTAGGTTTATAATTCAACTTAAACATTTTTGTTTTATTTATAAAAATCTACAATCACAAATAGAATAAAAACAACTTCTTAGTATGTAAAATATTATTTATTTCTAATATTTTCTGTTATTTAGTTGTTTTTTGAAATGTAATTATAAGAAAACTCTAACTATAGTTTAAAGTTAAACTTGTCATTTTAAAAATCAATTCCTCCCTTTAAGTGTCTGTCTATTATTGTTTTTAAATATATTTTATTGTTTTTATTTAATAAATTTTTTAACTTATATTTTTCTTTTATAACCATCTTAATAAGAATAATAGTAAATTATTGAGAGTAGCAATAAGCATTTTCACCTTCCCGAACTTCTTATGTCTCATTAATTTTCTTGTTATATATTATATATTTTTATTGTATTTTAAACAAATCATAGTGTTAAATAGTTAAAATAATGAGTTATATATGCTTCTGTGGATCAGAATTATTTTAACTTACTTAATTTTAAAATAAATTATAATTTATCATAAATAAATTATGATTGCACCAACGTGCTTTGAAGTCTTCCATCTAAAATACAAATGAAACCTAAAATTTGGCTTTATTTTACATTATTATGTAGTATTAAATTAAGGGATTCCTATTCGATATTGAGACTTAGGCGTGTCTACTGTCATTCTTAAGCTTTTATTATTATTCTGATTTATTTTTATTTAAACTATTTTTCTTTTTATAACTATATTAATAGTAGGAATTTTTCATATATATATTTTTTAAAAAAGAGTGACAGTTTCACACTTCCCAACTTCTTAAATCTCATTTATGAATATGTCAATTTTGTCTCGTTAATTAAATGCTACTAAACTACCGATTTTGCTTTTATTTATAAAAAATAAACAACTGATAAAAAAATATTATATATTTATAAATTTATATTGTATTCTAAAAATATTTATAACATTAAATGGTCAAATTAAAGATTTATATATTAAAATAAATTTATTTATTTATATAGATAAACATAATTTTTTACAATAAATAAGAGTATAAAAATTATAAATAATATGTACATAACTAATTTTTATATTGTATAATAAAAAAATACTGAGTTACAAATAGAACCGAAAATATTAATGCAAGGTTGTGACTCCTGAGTTATATTACAAAGCAAAAGTAGAGCATATATACATTAATGAAATAAGCTGAAAGAAAGATGGGTGAGTTGTGTTTCCATTTGATTAGAGGGAAAAGTGTGACCTTCTGTACTTGTTATTATATGAGCAGCTTGAGAAGAAATCAATGTTTTCCTTAGGGTTTATCCCTAAAAAGACTCCTCTGTCTCTTCCACCTTGGTCTCAAATAAACATGACAACGTAGGTGTTGTTGCCATGATGCTTCCTCTGCTTTAGGTGGCTCACCCATTTTTGCAATTCTCATTAAGTGTATTTATTTTTGTGGTACTGTAACAATGCTATTTGTTGACTCCTTAAATATATATTACTTATGTTGCACCATATGTGAAGGCATGCATAGTGTTGGATATTTGTTCCTTCACTTAATGTGTGAAAACATTATTGAAAGATAATAATTAATACTATTATTTTGAATTTTTAATGATACAAATAAATAGAAACATACTTTTTGAAAAAGTGGATAGTTAAAAGGAACAGCTTTGCTAACATTGGTTGATTTTAAATAATTAAAATTACTGAATTTTTATTAAAGATATTATTATATAAAAATATATTTTTATATTTAAATTTAATATAAAAAATTCGTAAAAGAAAAGAGAGGTATTATTATTAGTTTAAGAGGGAAGAATTACCGGGTTTTATTATTATTATTATTGTTATTGTTATTATTATTTTGGTTACATTATATGTCAAAGAGACATTTGAGCATGTTTATTTTTTATTTTTTGAAAACAAAATTAATTTTAAAAATAAAAGAGCTACATAAGTAAATTAATATTTATTTTGTGAACTCTTGTATCTTCACACCCATCTTTTTTCTGTTTTTTTTTTATTTGTCTGATATTTCTATTTTATACCTAAATATGAGTGTAAAGGAATAATCTTCGTTATTTTGTCAAATCAAGAACGACGTACCGAAAAAGCAAACACACATCAAACAAAAGATCATATAACTTTCTGCAGCAGTCGAAATCGCATAGGAATTTGGCTACATTTTGCACCTTGGATAGATATTCAAACAATAATGTTCAAAATTTTAATTTCATTGGACGTGTGTTTGATCAAAAGCCGCATAATGTTGGTGATCGTGATGAAAGCATTTAATTCCCAACAACCAACAATAATAGGCAGATAAGTGTGATAATAAAGATGACAATGTATGTTTGTTAATATCTTTGATTGTATATCATTCATAAAAGGCCAAACTACTCCAAAATTAAGTGATTATAGCTCATGCATGCCTATCTACAGGTAGAGAGGTAGCTCTCAAATATCGTCAACTGCGTTTTTCTTCAACTCACAAAGTGCTTCTTCATCTTGTGATCTATCGTTATTTACCAATCAAAGGCTTAGATTGGATAATTTAATTAAGCATTTGACAAGAATGCCTTTTGGCACATTGGTGGTTGTGTGTCAATTGGTGTTATCATTATCTTACATGAAAAATATCAAAATGGCAGATTTAAGTTGGTGATTTGCTTTATTGTAGAATTGTTTAGAACATTTCAAAACATTTGTCAACATATAACTCATCCGCAGCAAAACAGGTGGCATGAGAGACGTGTCACTTCAAAGATTGATTAGAAAGATCCTGAAAGCCATTGATATACAAGTTTTGTAATTAATAATTTGATAAAATCAAACTAACACACACATACACTAGGAGATATGATTTCAAGAAAGTTTTTTTTTTTAATATATGATTTGAAGAGTTAGTTGCCAAAGAATATTTATTTCTGTAAAAATTAAAAGCAGACAGAGTATAACTTCTATGATCATGATTATAATGGATTGCAGAACAGTTTAAAATGGTATATTTAGAAGAACTTGAAACAATTATAAAAATAATCTACAACTTTTATAATCTTTTTAATAAGTTTCTTTATATAATTTATTAAAATAATTTTTAGGTTATATGAATATATTTTATGGTAAGATTTACGATATAATTTTTTTTATAGATTTTTTTTTAAAAATCTATACACAACTTATAACTTTAATAAGTCTTTTTTAGTTTGTTTTAATAAACTATAGCTTATTTTAATATATTTATGATTAATTAAAATATATTATATTTAGTTCATCTAAAAACTATTATTAAATTTATAACATAATTCATTTTTTTAAAAATATTAAATAAATACTTAATGAACTTGCAGTGAACACTTTTGAAAGTGATTTTCAAAAACATAATTCTAGAATTATAATTTATAAGTTTCTGTAAACTTGAAAATTATAATTCCAGATTTTAATTTCTAAAAGTAAAATAGGCTATCAGAATTTAAATTATATTTAAAGATATTTTTGAAAAAAATGGAAAAAATAATTTGAAAACTTTCAAGTCTTTTTTGTTTGGTCAAACAAAAAAAAATGCAATTCCCAAACTTTCAAGTCGAAGTGAACGATGTGTCCATTAGTTTTTGTTTTGGTCCATTCCGAAAACGCGAAGCTATTGAGTGGTGCTAATGAAAAATGGGCTTAAAGAAAGCCCAACACATAAAAATGGAATAAATCAAGCCCAGAAGCTTTCATCAACACGAGATCTAGGGTTTCTGCTTACTTTAAAACCTAGCGCCATTGTCGAACTCCGCAAATTGGACCGAGGTTGAGGTGGTACTGCTTCCAATTCATATTAGCCTTCTCTCCTTTTTCTGTTCTTCTTAAGTGTGGGTGTGGTTTGGAAGGTGAAGATGATGAAAGCCAAATACGAAACGAGTGATTATCACATTTGATATGATCCAATTTTTCATCGCTACGTTCTTTCTGATTCGCCTTCCTTCCATCATTCAATTGACACGTGTTTACTTTTCCTCATTTTGTTAACATTTTTATAGTGTTGCAGAATGGCAACGGGTCTCATATGGGCCACGGCGGAGGATTTGGGGCGGAACAGAGGACGGGTGCTGTCGCTGTACCGTCAAATTCTGCGGAGTTTGAATTCGCCGGAGCTGCCGCTTGGCTTCGCGGCGAGGCTGGCGAAGAAGGCAGAGGTGCGTGCAATGTTCTGGGTGGGTTCTGAGGAACGTTCTTTACACAACATCGCTGATCTCATTGATGCTGCTGAGTACTCTCTTTCCTTTCTCAGAAAAGGGCAACTCCCTCCTCGTTACATCACCTAAGCTACTATTATTATCTTATTAATTTGTTCTAGGATGTAGATAATGGAGAAAGAACGAGTAAATGGTTACATAGTGTTCATATGTTCCATTTTTTTGTATATTTTAATGACATTTTAATTCAGATTCTAATAACGAGATAATGTGGATTGAATTTCAAGATTCTAATAATGAGATAACGTGGATTGAATTTCGAGACTGGTAACTTAGTTATAGAAGATCCTGTGAAGCATTCAAGTTTCAGAGAAAGCAATAATTTTCCCAATTCAAGATATTTGGGATTTAGCCCCTTATTTCCTCCAAATTCATGTCTCTTTATTTGAATCACTGGCAGAGTGACGGTGATACGCATTGTTACTGAACAACTCAAACACTGATTCAGGATCATTCATCTTGCTCTCGTGTGAATATTTTTCCGGTGAAAAATGATAATTTCTGTGGACTGGATTAGGTTCTATTCGGTTCTTTTAAGTGTATTGTTAACGTGATATTCAAACTAATAGCTTAAAAAGATTATTAAGCAATAATAGAAAACAGTAAACATGCAGAATTGAATTAAACGTAGAGATTTTTTACAGAAAAGTGAAATAAGACACAAATTGCAGAAACAAGAATTAAATTGCTTACAAAGACATAAGGAATATAAATTAAAATATGGAAGAATAAATGTGTAGGAATGTAAATATGTTGAAATGTAAACGTACAGCGAACAGCGGCCATCGTGGATCTCTTTGTAGTTAGTGTAAACGTACGATTTCTCACAACGGTGAATAGCAGCCACCGTGAGTCTTTTTATAGCTGATGTCTGGCGCGGTGCAAGGTTTTAGAGAGTTTAGGTGCGGTGAAAAAGTCGTTCCTTGTAGAATGGTGCTTTGGGATAATCGAGATTGGCCATTGATACATGATTAGACCATTTTTTTCTATTTATTATTATTATTTTTTATTATCTTTCTTTTACTACCCCCAAAAATGATCACATTTAGGGTAGGGGGATGAATCCGCTCTTAGGAATCATTAAATCTTAGATTGTTCTAATGTATTGCATGAATTCTTTGAAATGAAAAAAAAGAATTCTATGTGGTGGAACAAAATATCTCTCATTTTGTCCTCGAATAAATTTTTCTTTTTTGATTCCAAGGTAATCTTGTTATGTTGCCTTGGCTTTGAACGGTGCATTATTCTTTTTAATCCGATACCAACGGGTATCATTCCCCCTAAAACAACGTTCTCTTTCAGACCTTTCAACTAATCTATACAACCCTGAAGAGCGGCTTTTGCTAAAACTCTAGCAATTTCTTGAGAACTTGCTTCAGATATAAAACTTTGAGTATTCAGAGATGTTTTTGTTATTCCCAATACTAGAGCTCGGTAGCAAGTTGCTTCTTCCAAGGCAGAGCCTGCTCGTTCGGCTCGCAACAATCCAATTAGTTTGCCGGGTGAAAAAACATTAGACATTCCATTTTCTGAAACCAAGACTTTTGATGTTATTTGATGCATAATAATTTCTATATGTCTATTATGGATGTGAACTCCCAGGGATCGATAAACATTTTGAATTTTATTAACCAAAGAAATACAACTTTGCGCTATAGTTAACTCGGCACCGATCAAGAATCCCCAAGGAATGCCGAGAATTCTTGTTATATATCCGTTTCAAGTGTCAACTCTCTTTTCTAGCTTCATCGATATTGAATCAATTGAACGCACTTCTAATACATGTTCTACTTTTGGAAGACCTTGTGTTATATCACCAGATCTCGATTTTTCATATATAAATGTAACTAATATATCTCCTTTATAAAGTATTTCTTCATAATGTCCATGAACAATTGCTTCTGGAGTTGCCAAATAAGGGTTAGCCATATAGTATTCATCTCTATTTGGTGATAAATAAAACATGCGTATTCTTTTGGATCTCTCAGAGATTTCATAAAATAGACTTTCTATAGACCCCAAACTACCAATCCTCACATGAATTGTGAGGGATCCAATAAGTCCAACATTGATTCCTTTAGATGTGTCAATTGGACAAATACGTCCATAATGACTAGGATGGATATCTCGTATCTGAAAACTAGCAGTTCGCCCTTGTCAATCCTCAAGGGCTCCCTTGTAGAATGGCGTTTTGGGGTATTTATAGGCAGAAAGATCACCACTGTCCTCCTCCTTTTGCGAGCAATTCTTAGTAACTGCTTTCAACTGTTATGTCCATTATCCACGATTGTTTGTGATCATACTGTTGGTAACTATTAGTAACCGTTATCACCCATGATCTTTTCTTTGCATAGTTGAACATTTGCCTAGTGTTGGTAACTGTTAATAATTGCTTTTGCACTTAACCTTTTTCTCTCTTTCGAGTTATTCTGGGAGGGTCTTAGGAAGCTCATTTAGTTTATGGCCTTAGAATAATTTCTCCTTGCCTTCTCTTTTCGACTAATTCTAGGATTTTAAGAGCTTGTCTTGATCTCATGGACTTATAATATTTTCTTTGCTCATTTCTGTTTCTCGAGCAATTTTTGGAGTTTTGAGAGCTTGTCTTGATCTTGTGGACTTAGAATATTTTCTTTGCTCATTTTTGTTTTTCGAGTAATTCTGAAGGAAATCTGGAGCTCAACCAAGTTTATGGACTTAGAATATTTTCTGACCACTTCCTGTTTTTCGAGCAATTTTGGAGGGACTTTGGAGTTCAACCAGGTTTGTGGACTTAGAATATTTTCTGACTACTTCCTGATTTTCGAGCCATTTTGGGTGTTAGGGACTTGGAAACTCCTCAAAACGCCTTGAAAAGCCATCAGTTTTGTGGACTTAGAATATTTTCTTGTCAGTCCTGTTTTTCGAGTAGTTTTGAGTGTCAGTGACTTGGAAACTCCTCGAAAAAACCTTTAGTTTTGTGAACTTAGAATATTTTCTTGTCAATCTTATTTTTCGAGCAGTTTTGGATGTCGGTGACTTGGAAACTCCTCGAAAAAGCTTTTAGTTTTGTGGACTTAGAATATTTTCTTGTCTTTCAAGCAGCTTAGAGAAAAATTAACAATGTGACAAAAATTTCCTAAAATAGCTCGAAATGTGTCCATTTTAATAAAACTAAAAGTCTTGGATAATCTTTCAATATTTCCTTATGTTTAGGCCTATTTTTTTGCTCCTTCTTGATCCTCAAAACTTGTTGAAATGTAGTTTTTTTCAAGATGATTTTTAACTTAGAAAATTTTCCTTATTCCAAACGGAATAGTAATGGATTTTAATGTCACAATTTCATCGGGTCATTTAATAAATCCAAAACCACCGATATATGATTATATCGTCAACATTGGTATCAGCTCACCTCCTGTGATTCTGATCGGACCAGAACACATATTACACATCGGAAGAACTCCATTCACACCACATATTACATATCGACACTGAAGTGATCCGTAGTTGCATTCATCACAAACTCGTACTAGTGTACGAGGACCCTGAAATGATCACACTTGCTGTAACAATTCTCACATTCACCACGTTGGTCACCAATATATCCTCTGAAGACAAATATCACAAAATAATAAGTGAGAAGGGCAAGGACTAATGTGACACAGCCTCAATACAACATGAACCTTTCATACCTTTAACATGCGAAAACAAAAATTGATTTTCTTTGCATTTTGTACCATTCATGCGAAAACAATTCTAAATCTTCCAATCTTTTTTTCATATAATTCCTTCTAATGATTTAATAAAAAAAATGTTAAATTTATTTAATACACACTTTATAATATAATATGAAAATTATTAGGATTAGAACTTATATGAGGATATAGTAAATTAGCAATACTCTTCATGTAGTTATGCTTTCTGTAGCATGAACACAAAAGTGAAACAAACCATTAAATAACAGAAGAAAAACACCTTGCATGAGAGAGGGCATCCGTGACAAGGGAATTTGGGAAGGGCGAAGATGAATGAGTAAAAGAGGAAGAAGATGTGGTAGTGATTAAAAGATAAACTTATTTAAACATAAATAACATTCTTTCAAAATGATGCGTTATTTTAGAAAATAAAAATGAAAAATCTGTTAAATTAAAACTGAAACAAATTAACATTAATTTTTATCATTAATTTTAAGCAACTAAAAAAATATTTTTTTAAAAATATTTATTATATTTTTATATAATAATGCTTTCTTTTACCTTGTATTTACAAAATCGATTAAAAGTATCTTAAGCTATCGTTTCTTCCAAGTATATTTCCATCTCCTTTCATATCATAGCCTTACTATCCTTCACTTACTTTTGGTATAAAAACTAATTAGTTTTATAACCAAGCTCCGGTTTATAGGTTTGGCTTCTTTAACTTTCAACTTTACGAGTTAGAACTAAAAATTTGATTTGGTATGTGTTTCAGTATTTAGTTTTGTTTACTTGAAAGAGAACTAGACTATTGTTACCATGCTTTGCACAAAGGACAGAAGTTTACTCAATAATTAATATTTAATTTTAATAAAATAGAATTAAAAAAAAACTACTAACCATGAAAATATTGCTTCACATTGAAACGCTTGTCCACTGTTTGGACAGTTTATATAGAGTTTTTTTAACTCTTGAAAAGAATTTTTAGAAAGAACAATTATGTTCTAAATTGATCTATTTCCAATCGTACCCACAAATTTATTTGAACTCTAATTTCCAAGTCCTGTCCTTTTTACCTACCGGCTATGAGTTATGAACTTACTAATCCACTGGTCAATTCATTAACCAGCAGGTCATTTATTTGATTTTTTTTCCATTTTTTTTATTTCCAACTACCTCTCTTGCCCAATGATATTTTTAAAAAACCATTTAAATGCTAAGTCATTCAAAGGACCTAAATTCTAAATAAATTATAAAAAAAACTGAAAATCCAAAAGAAAAACAAGAACAAGTGAAAATACAACGAACAGGTAGCTGGGAATCCACAAACATGTGAGCCGTACGTGGATCACCAGTTATTATTTTAGTGCCTGCTTGTTTTGGTCTCCAACGAAAATAATCAATTTTAGCAATATTGATTTGGTTTGGTAACATTTTCTATTATCGAAATTAACTTTATAGTAGGTAGAATTTATTTTGGAAGAAGTAAGACTTTTAAATTTTTATGTTAAGCAGAATCGATTTTAGGTTCACGATGCATAAATGATTCCTTATTTAAACTCTAATGATAAATTTACTTTACTAAATAAATAAAATTAATTATTTTCGATTCACTTTTAAAATATTTTTTCTTAAAATCAATTCTACTAAAATTTAAAATAAATTATTTTAAATGTGGACCAATCTGGTTTGTCTCCTTTATTGAATAATCCTTTGTATACTAGACTGATGCAAAATATGTTGGTTCACTTACTCATCACAATCTTATGAAAATAATGTTATCTAATTGATAAAAAAAAATGCCTACCTGCACTGATGCACATACGTCATTTCTCATCTGTTCAATTTTCACCATTAAATTTCGTGTTTGTTGAGCATAGTTCTAGAATTAATAGCTTTTATTATGAAACATGTTTTGTTATAAAATTTATGATTAACATTAAAGTAAATTATGTAATATCTTTAAAAATTTTCAGGTGTCATATATAAAAAATTCTAACCAATAATAATATTTAGATACGTGTTTAAATAATAAATTTATTTAATAATAAATTATTATATTTATTATATTTAAATAAGTTGAAATTGGTAAGGCGTGATCAAAACTTAAAAAACTCAAATTTAAAAATGAAATAATAATATTATATTATAATTTTTTATTTATTATAAATATTTTATTTAAAATTAAAAATATTTATACACATATTTAAATAATAAATTTATGTAATAATAAATTATTATATTTAAATAAACTAAAAATCAGTTAAATATTTAAACATGACACAATTAAAATTAAATAAATTAAAATTAAATAATTAAATAATAATATTATACTAACATATTATGTTGTATTTATTTTTATTTATAATAAATAGAAATTACTTAAATATAACTTATATTTTATTTAAAACTAAAAATTAATAAAAATTAATAAATAAATAAATAATTTAATATTATATATATAATAAGACTATATAATAAATAATGTAAATAATATAATTTTAAATAAATTATATATAATAATATATATTTTTTAACTTATCATGTATTTTATTTTTATTGATATAAATTTTTTAGATATGATATTCATAACAAAATTTTAAGATATCACAGCACACACTTAAAATTAATTTAAATATACATTTTAATTATAACATGTATATAAAATTAATTCCTAGAATTAAAGGGGCGGTATTTCTATCTCTAGCTTTTATTTTTCGTTTAGGCATTTTTATCGACAATTACATAATTACTATCTTATTTCAGTTTTATAGATTATTTATTTTGTTTTATGTCTTCAAAGTTAACATAAAATTTGTTATGGGATTCAAACTTAACACCGAATAATTAATTAGAATAACATTAACTATTACACAACAATTGAATGTTCATTATATTATTTTTTTATTAATATATAATTAACTAATTCTAAAAGTGACTCAGCGACTAAACAATAACCCCAGTTTAATAACAAAGTTAACAATGGCCAACGTTTATAAACCACTTGATGAGGTGAAAACAGTGGGGAGGACAACATTTAGTTATAATATCATAATTAAACGAAAGTGTGTTATGAATAATTCTTGGAGACAACATTTAGTTGTTTTTTTATATGTTTTTTTTTAAGATTTGTTAAATTATTACATGAGATAAATAATTTCATCTAACACATACTAATGAGATTTTATTTGTAAAAAATCAGTACAATTTATAATATCTTAACTTCATTAATAGAGTTTCTTATTCTACTTAATAATTTAAACATATCTAATTTTTAAATGTTTAAGTATCACAATGTGATTTAAAATTTACTAGGGTTTTTTACTTTCTTGTTTAGACTTCATCGTTCCACCCCCAACATATAAAACCAAAATTCAACTTAAAAATCACAAAATGTTGAAATTCGCATACGAAAATTCAAATCACAGAGAATCCCACAATTATTTTTATCACAGCAAGTGCGATAATCAAGTCTGAAAGGGTGATAGCAACAAACAAACTAAGCCAGCACTGCAAAGCCAGTTAACATCAAAACAACCCCCAAACCCACACTCACACCGACCCTTGCTGAGCTCGAAACATTATTCAACGGAGCCGGAACCGGAGAAGACAAATCCTTCGCCGGAGATTCCTTCGGCGGCGAGGTACTCTCCGGTGGTGGAGGCTGAGGAAGACTGTGTCTTACAGCCATGACAAGAACAATAAGCTTTTGACCGTTTTTGCAGTTATCAACGTTGCCACTAACGAAGAAAAAGAGACCCGATTTGTCGAGTTGGAAGATTGAATCTCCACCGTCCATCTTTTGTATGGCGTTGTTGGTGTTGCATGAATCATAGTCCTCTTTCTTCACCACCAGAACCGAATCACTCTCTTTCTTGTACTTGAAATCTGCATGCAACCCCAAAATAATAACCAGAAGAGAATATCTATTATATATTACTGTATTTTTATGTAATAACAAAATTAATATCAAAAGCTACGTAAGTTCCTTATATCTTTGTTAATTTTCATATCAAACAATAACACTGAGTAATACGTATCGTTCATTGAAGGAAATTTTTAGAAAAAATCGAGATTTTCCTTCCATCTATTTTTCAATTCACTTAATTTCCTTCTATCCTACAAAACGGAGTCTTAATGTTGAATAAATTTGGTTATCCTAGTTTAATTTGAAAACTTTGTTGTAAAAATAAAGTATGCTTATTTGTTTTAGAGATGAAAAAGAAATAATTTTTACACTTTTATGAAGTGAGATAGAGGATTGGTAGCTGGCAAAAACACTTCTTTGAAGAAAAACGCCTCCAGTTTTGGTTTTTTAATTAGAAAAATAAGAGAAATCTGATTAAAATTACAAACTACTTTGATTAAAAAAAAGACAGGCATTTGATAAAAGATTTATCTAAACTTAAGAAATGTTGAGAAATAATGGACTCACGGAGAGTGTCATTGACTTGAAATCTGTTTCTTTGAGCCCAGTGATTGTAATCTTCGGAAGGTTTGAGCACCCACCCATCTTTGCCACCAACAATAAACTCCCTTGCGACAACCTGAGACGATGATGAACAAAGAAGGAACATGGGTATCATCGAAACCAAAAGGGGGAGGAACCTGTGGGGTATTTGACCACTTGCTGCCATTTGAGGTGTAGAAAAAACAATGATATTGAAAGAGAGAGTTAGAGAGGTTAAGTATATATGAGTGAGGAGTGGAGGGGTGAAACGGGTATAATAAAATATAATGGTGAGTTGGGATTGAGAAGAGACAACCGTTGAGGATTAGAGCATGAAAAATGCTTTTGATGGGTTAAGTATTTGCTGGCAATCTGGCATTATGTTGCAAGCACTGTCTTAAAATGTGGGCGTTTCCAATGAGACTGTTTCTGTGCATTTCAAGCAGTACTCTACACATGGCGACATGCAGGAGACTCAACGGTAATACTTTCTGAGTTTTCCTTTTTACCTTATTATGGTAAATGCCAATGGGTGTTTAAAACATATTAGTTAGAAATTTTAAAATATTATTGAATGCATATTAATCATGATCTTTAACATGTTTTTTATTTCTATTCTTTAATAAGTAATTGTTAGACTTGAACGTTGCTATTGTATTTTGTTGGGCAAAATTATTTTTTTTATTTTTTAAATTTTAAAGTAAGTTTTAATTTTTTTCATTTTAATCTTCTAATTTGTGATAAAAATTTAAATATATTATTTTTTGTTTAAAATTTTTGTCATCTTATGTAAAGTGTGTGAGGTTATTTATTATTTATTTTTTTAAAAAAATTTAAACCTTATTTATAAGGTTTCTTCTTTCTCTTCCTCTTATATTTTCTTTTCACTAATTCTGAGCACACATTTCCCAACTTTCAATATATAAATAATTAATATGTCTAAATATTCATTTCTCATTTGGTTGATTCTTCGTGTTATCATATTTTTTGAAGTCTTCGTTGATAAGAACACCTTATTCTAGAAAGAAAAAGAATATTTTTATTATTATTATGGTAGCACATAAAATTAACAAAATGAGAAATTTATATTTAAAAATTTAGATTATTTACGGATTAAAAATTGGGAATATGCGCTTAATATTGTGAAAAAATTTTTTAAAAAAAAGATAAGATCGAAGATTTAAAAAGAAAGACAATGAAAATAATCACACAATATACATGATACAAAATGATAAAATTTTTAATAGAGTTATAATTTTTAACAAAAAATACATTTGAAACTTTTTTATAAATTAGAAGATTAAACTAAATAAACAAATTTGGAGGACAAAATCCAAACTTATCTTAAAGTAAAAGGATGAACATATTAATTTTGTCTATTTTTTAATCAACACTTAATTAGTAAGATATTAATTAAATTAAGGATTTTTTATTTAATGATGCTAACTAATGTTCTAATTAAATTAGGGATAATTATTTGAATTAATAATATTAAACGGATCTTTAAGGATATTAATCAAAATATTTTAATTTAAATATAATAATAGTATAAGGATTTCTTTACATGATTATTTAATTATAGATTGCTATATTAGTAAGAATCATTTATTTTTATAATAATTAGTATAAAGAATATCTGCAATATATTTTAATTGATTGAAAATGTATTTTTTTTTATATAACAATACATTAAAATTAAATTTTGATATTAAGAAATTTAAAAGAATAATTTTTTAATTAAAAATTTTATTAAATATGTATTAATTATGATTTTCAATCCATTTTTGATATGATTTAAGAAAAATTTTGTTATTTTTTAACCATTATTTGCTTTTTATTTTTATTTTTCTATAAGATTGTTTTTCTTATTTCTTTTATTTGTATGGTTTGCATAATGACATTGTTTCTAGTTATAAGTGAAAAATTTAAAGTGTTTAATACCTCTCATGAATGAAAAATCCTACTTGGTCAACAAAAATCAGTAGGTAATACAACAGCAAACCGTTGGAAATATAGGCAATTAATATTTTTATAATTGAAAGCAAAAATAGAAAATATTTACTCAAATCAAATACCATTTTAGATTTTACCTTAAAAAATATTAGATTAATGACAGAGTTTTTCCATTTCAAGATAAATCACTATTGATAACAAAAGATGTAGTGAAATTACAAATTCATTACTAAATAAAAATATATTTTTTATTCAACCTAAGTTTTGGGTGAGGAGAGATATTTTATTCCATTATAAGACAAACCATTAACCTTAACAATAGATAAATAAAGGGGTTTTTAGTCACCTGGCAATAGGAAGTTTCTTTAATTAAAACTAAATTTGACAAGATCTCACGTCAATTAAGTAAAGAGACAAAGTATCACATAGTAATTTGGATAATTAATTTTATTCAAGCTAGCTTTTGAAGTTAAGTTGAATCCGATCTCAATTCCAATATAATATTTGAGTTTATCCCAATTCTGAAGCTAATAAGTCAATTCTAATAGGATTTTGATGTTAACACACCATCAACCAAGAGTAACTAAAATCAGAATATTACAAAGGATTTAAAGTCTTTGAAATGCTTTCATCATCTTCACCTTCCGACCACAACCATACTCAGAGGGAGAGGGTTAATCGGACTCCTGTTGTGTCTGGTCAAAGCTTTTGGGCTTCGCTTGTTTTTGTTTTTATTTCTTTTGGGCTTTGAGCCCACCTTTTTAATCCGAGGAGGAAATGGACAAAAAAACTCCTTAACTGTTTAATACAAAGAGAAATTGGAAAGCAAAAATGAGTCTGGCGGTTAACAGTTTCAATGTGGGGAGAAGGCATGAAAATTGGTAAGTTAGAGTTTGAGGAAGAAGAAGAAACCCATGTCACTGCAGGCTCTGAAGGAGACTCTGAGACCTTGCACAAACCAACAACCTTCTGCCTCTTCCTCAATTACCCAAACACACTCCAATTCAATTCTCCGTGATTCCGAGTCTCTCTTCCCAATCCCAATCTCTAGAAAACCCCCTAAATCCTCTCTTTCCCACCAGCTTCGCCGCCTTCAAGACCTTCCAATTCAACTCCACAACCCACAAACTCTAATCCACTCCAAAAAAGAAGAAGACCAACCAGAGATAAAGAGAGCGAAATTCTCTACACCCAAATTGTCCCCGTTTCAATTTGATCACACTGGACCCTTTGAGCCTCTCGTCCTGTCTTCACACGAAGAACTTCCTGTGGTTCAGGTCGCTAATCTAATCTTCTCTGTATTATGCTCTCCACAATTATTGCTTTTTATGTATAAAGTAATTGGATTATTCATGGCACTGAATAGATTGCATGCTGTTTGCGAATTTATTAAATGATGACGTTTTAATGTATGTTGTTGTCGGTAGGGCGATGCAATAATAGCGTTTGTTTAGAGATTGTAAATTGAATAATTTCGCTGAATTTTGAAACGAGATTAGATGTTGTGAGCTGCTATTCACTGTTTCAGGTTCCTGCATCTATAAACTGTAGACTGCTTGAACATCAAAGAGAGGGGGTGAAGTTTTTGTTTGGTTTGTACAAGAATAATCATGGAGGCGTACTTGGAGATGACATGTGAGTTGCAGATTATGTCCTCTTCCCTTCTCTCTTTTTCCCTGCTCAGTTGGGTGGGGTGTTTCTTTCTTCTTGAATTCATATTCTTTTCGCTTTTAATATCCTCTCTGGTTATTTTATATATATATTGATGTGTGTCAGTGATGAATCAGAATGTTCTATAATTCTTAATCTCAAACCCAATGTGACTTTTGTCTAATTTTGAAACTTCTAATGGATGAGACCTATCTTATAGAACACAATTATGATGAATTTTTTCCTAAAAGCTGCGTGCTTATAAAAGATATACTCTTTGGAACTTGAGTATTATAAAAGATATATATGTAATGCAAACCATGGTACATACTATTAAGGCAAAATATGTTTTACCTTCCTGAGATATAGCACTTTCTCAAATTGACCACTTAGAGTTTGATTCTTATCCTTAATCCCTTTTAAGTTTAGTTCAAGTGTTTTGAGGTTAACTTTCATTTGATTTCATTTAACTGAAATGTGACCTTTGCAGCTTGCTCTGAAAACCAAACTACATGGGGGTTAAGTGATTTTAACAAATAAAACATTTAGGGAAATAAGTTGAGAAATGGTTATACTTATTGCTTGAGCATGTAAAAGTTCATTTTACCCATACTATTACAGATCATGTAATGATATTACTGCTCCGACTTATGGATTGATGGAATTCAATGTTCATAATATCTTTACAGACTATCCGAATTAATGTCCATTTCTTCACTTTTCTCAAAATACATAATAATGTTGTAGCTACAATAAAGATTTCATGCTTCAACTTACTTAAAAAGGTATAAAGGTTGATGATTTAGTTTCCTTTATGGTTTGGGTCAGCTGCTTTTTGTTTTAAAATTTTAATGACATCTCAATACTGAGAAATTTTCTATTTTGTTTCTCAGGCCTTTTCACTGAAGTAACAAGTGTCTTTACTCTTCATCTTTTTATTTTCTTTGAGTTATTCTTTCTGAAAGTTATAAAACCGGGGGGTTACATCTTCTGATACTATTTGAGCCTGGTGAATTATTAATATGGACTTTTCTTCTGTTCTGGTCTATATTATTTGTTGGTCTATTTTTATTCTTTTGTTATGTTTCTTGTGAATTTGGGTTCTTTTCGTCACAATTCCATTATGTAGTTACCAGTTTGAGGTTCCTTTTTGGATATTGAAATGTGAAACAGGGGGCTTGGAAAAACCATTCAGGCAATAGCATTTCTTGCTGCCGTCTTTGGTAAAGAAGGACAGTCAATTTTAAATGAAATCCGGGTAGAGAAAAGAGACCCTGTATTAATAATTTGCCCAACTTCTGTTATTCACAACTGGGAGAGCGAATTCTCTAAGTGGGCTAATTTCAGTGTTTCTATTTACCATGGTGCAAACCGGGAACTGATATATGATAAGTTGGAAGCAAATGGAGTGGAGATACTTATTACCAGTTTTGACACTTACAGGATTCATGGAAGTTCCTTGTCAGATATCAATTGGAACATTGTGATTATTGATGAGGCTCATCGACTTAAGAATGAGAAATCAAAACTATATAAAGCATGTTTACAAATTAAAACGCTGAGACGCTATGGTCTTACTGGGACTATAATGCAAAATAAGATTATGGAATTGTTCAATCTCTTTGACTGGGTTGCACCTGGATCCCTGGGAACCCGAGAACACTTTCGTGAGTTCTATGATGAACCCCTTAAGCATGGTCAGAGGTCAACTGCTCCTGATAGGTTTGTCCAAATCGCTAATAAGAGAAAACAACACCTTGTGGTTGTTCTTCATAAATATCTGTTGAGAAGGACAAAGGAAGAAACCATTGGGCATCTTATGATGGGGAAGGAAGATAACATTGTGTTCTGTGCAATGAGTGATTTGCAGAAACGTGTTTACAGGAGAATGTTACAGCTTCCTGACATTCAATGTCTTATAAATAAGGATCTGCCTTGTGGTTGTGGTAGTCCTCTTACTCAAGTTGAATGTTGTAAGAGGATAGTACCAGATGGAGTTATTTGGCCTTACCTACACAGAGATAACCCTGATGGTTGTGATTCATGCCCCTTTTGCCTTGTCCTTCCTTGTCTTGTCAAGCTCCAACAGGTAATGTGAGACCTTTGAAATTTCTTTACCTTTATTTTTAATTATACTACCATTGTAAATTATATCGTTAAGAGCTACTTTGTTCATTGCACTAGACATCTGTTGCTACTTTATTCATTTATTGGAGCTTCTGCTTTTTAATTGTAGGAAAATATTTATTATGATTCAACTCAAATAATTGTAACAGTGAAGAGAAGGAACGATAATGGTTTAATACAGGAAAATATATGTTTGTTATCTATAAAGATAAAAGTAGATGATGACAAGGATATGAATATTCAGTTTTAAAAGGATATGGTTTGTCATGAAATTTAAATCTTGAAAGTGAAGTTCAATCACTGTTCATTGCATGGTCGAGGATGTTGCTCATTGTTCTATGTCACCATACCTAGCCTCGTATTGGTTTTGTGTTATATTGTGGAATTAAACAAATAATTTCCTTTTCTTTTTCCTTTTGCATACAAATGATTAACAGATTACTGTTCTAGATCTGGCATATTTGCAGGATTCTCCATTTTTCACATTAAATTATGTTGAATGAGATCTACATGTTCTATGGATAATTACCAATAAGTACTGACAATATTCTAGGAAAAAGAACTTGTAAGTTGTAACTGAACTGAGGGTCTGTGATTAGAATTGTCCATTTCAATAATGCTTTTGTTGTGATAGCTTTGCTAAGGTTGTACATGAAACTACTAGTTTCATGGCAAATATAATCCACACTTTTTACTGGAAAGCATGAAGCACTGTTGCCTTGCAGCAATGGCAAATAGAATTGTCCACGGACAAACTTATTTATGATCATATGCATGATGCTCCTTCAAATTATTTTGATGTTACTTGTTTATGTATCTTTATGCTAGATAAGCAATCACCTTGAGCTGATTAAGCCAAACCCCAAAGATGACCCTGACAAACAAAGTAAGGATGCAGAGTTTGCTGCCGCTGTCTTTGGCCCTGATATTGATTTAGTGGGAGGGAACACACAGAATGAAAGTTTCATGGGTCTAAGTGATGTGAAACACTGCGGCAAAATGAGAGCACTTGAAAAACTCTTCTTGTCATGGATTTCACATGGTGACAAAGTTCTTTTGTTTAGCTACTCTGTAAGGTGAATAAGTGACATATCCTTCAGATTATGTTGATAACCTTCAGATTTGTTGATAATTTTTCTATGTAGCTGCTAAGTTAGGTTGGATTTTACACAAAGTTATTTTACTCGAAATATGCCTTTTGTAGATTCCTGCTTTGAAACTTAGATGCATAATTTTAGGTTTTAGTGGCTTTCAGTCATATAATGACTGAAGCGCTGACCATTGTTAGCATCGGCAAATATACCTCGTTTTTAAACAATTACCTTTTCTGCTGTGTAACTTGAGCTAGTCTTTCCAGGATGCTGGACATACTAGAGAAATTTCTCATACGAAAGGGTTACTGCTTCTCAAGACTTGATGGGTCCACTCCGACTAATTTTCGTCAATCTCTGGTTGATGATTTCAACTCAAGTCCAAGCAAACAAGTATATTTCAAACCTTATAGTTGATTAAGCACTTTTCCAATTCAATTTGCTATTGGGCTCTTATTTATTATTTTAGGTTTTCTTGATATCAACTCGTGCTGGTGGGCTTGGATTGAACCTTGTCAGTGCAAACCGAGTTGTAATATTTGATCCCAACTGGAATCCTGCACAAGACTTACAGGCTCAGGACAGGTCCTTTCGTTTTGGACAAAAGCGGCACGTTGTGGTGTTCCGTCTTCTTGCAGCTGGTTCACTTGAAGAACTTGTTTACTCTCGTCAGGTGTACAAACAGCAGCTCTCAAACATTGCTGTGTCTGGAAAGATGGAAAAGCGGTATTTTGAAGGTGTCCAGGTATCAAATTCTACGTATTTTGGTTTTGTATTTCTTTTCATTTATTTCTTATATTTTCTTTAAAATAATTCTCAAGTAAATACTTTCCTTGCAGGACTGCAAGGAATTTCGAGGAGAACTTTTTGGGATTTCCAATTTATTTCGAGATTTATCTGATAAGCTATTTACCAGTGAGATCATTGAATTGCATAAAGAACATGGAAATGAAACACAACAGGAAAAAATAAATATTCCAGAAGAAACAGGTTCGTTGGTATCAGAGTCAGAAACCGGATTATGTAATGAATCTCTGAGGACTGCAACAAGTAAACCGTATCTTGAAGACCTTGGTATGTTTCATAATTACTACACTTCATTTCACTATGAATTTCAATGTTTTCTTGTCAGTTGTCATAAATATATTGTCGAATGAGAGAACAGTTAGGTAAAATGACAACTTTAATTCTCTTTGCCTTAAAAGATAATGCAGACAGATTTTTACCGGCAGTCAATTTTATTTTATTTTTTTACTCATGGACATGTCTATATATACATAAACATAAGTAAAGCAGTGTTTTCTTAGCTTTTTAAGGAACTTTATATTTTTCCGTTCACTATGTCATGACAAAAGAATACTAAGAAATTGGTGGCACTTGAAATGATAGAGTAAAGCTTCCGAGATTTATCTATTGTTTCTAATTTGGGAAATGTCGAAGTGGATTTTCTATTTAGTCAACTGATGTTTTGTGTCTTTAGGCATTGTTTATGCTCATCGCAATGAAGACATAATCAACTTCGGGCCAGGGGTTCAAGGGAATATAAATGCCAACATTCCTTCAAATGATAGCCTAAACAAGCCAAGCATCTCTTTAGAACACCAAAGAAGAAAACCAGATTGTGTACCTACAAAACAGAGTGTTCCTTTGATTGATGAGAGGAAGAGAACCCAATATAGCCTCATTGCTCAGTCTATGGGCATGGGAGAACTTACATTTAGCAAATGGTTACTATCGGCGACTCCACTCGAGAGAGAGAAAGTGCTTCTCGACTACCAGAAGAAAAAGAAAATACCTAACAGTTGAGTGATTCGTATGGATGGCAAAGGCCTTACCCGTAGCACTACTTGCAATACCAAATGATTGAAAGATTGTTACATTTTGTACATATGAATGTATAGTCTTATTTTTCCACTTTTACAACTTAATGGTAGATGCTGCTCTGGTTCCAAAATTTACTTCAAGCTCTATGGAATGAGGTTATTATTTAATAAAAAATGATTTTGAATTTTGCTGTACCATTTGAATTTTAGTGGATTCAAACAATTGTTTTTTTGTTGTCAATATTTGGTCATTTTCGTTACGATATAGGAATAATGTATAGGTGTGGATAGGTGGATGTTAAGAACTAAATATTTATTATTACTTAAACTTTTCTTCAGCAAAAATAACTTTAGAGCAAATCTTATAAATCTCGAGCAAGTCATTTCACTCACCAACAGAAATGCGACCTTAACGAAGCACAAAAACTTAATTAAAGCTTGTTTGTAATTATTTATTGTTCTGTAGATTATAACTTTAAGAACCTTATTAGTAACATCCAAACTACCAGAGAAAAACAAAAATTATCGACACAGCATATTCCTAGACAATATGTTAGTAGCTACAACAGGTAAGGTGCGAAAATACACGCCTGTAAGTAGCCACCACAAAGAAACTTTTTAGTACTAAACAGTCTAAACCACATGAATATCTAATTGTAACCACTGCTGTAGCTCTAGAATGATTTCATGGCTCTTTGTATCGCCAAAAGGGGAGAAAAAGACCAGTGAAGATGTTTCAATTTTCACTACCTGTACATAATACAAGAGGGTCATTCAATAACCTCTTGCACCTCCCCCTTCTTGCTGTGATCCATATCTATAATTGTCAATTATTTCAATTACAATGCTATAAAACATCTAAACGCTTTTTCATTCTGCCAAGAAAAGACATCAAAATTTTCACTACTAATAACCGTTTATCCCACTGGCGCTTTTTCTGCTTTTGATCTAACCAGCACATCTAACAACAATCATTGATATCACACTGTCAGATCGCCAAATACAAAAAATTTCAAACAACCTTATGATATTATTGTAGCTATCTTCTCTGCATTTTGAATCTGGATACTGGTTTTGAAGATTGAGAACCAGAAACCTGTCAAGGTCAAACTCACGCTTAACATAGATTAAAGTCAATGCTGAAATAGCAAAATAATATGTATCAAACCTTGTTTTTAAGCAATTTTTTTATTAATTGACAATACCATATAAAATCAGTAAATTAAATCAACCTGTGATGAAGTTGAATTTTGTTCGCTTGAAGCTGTTTGAATATTCTCAGAATGCTCTATGATAGAGCCTGTAAAAGCCTGCAAAAAATAGTTATTCGAGAAAATTATCTGCTACCGCACATTTAGTTGAAGGGCATTAAAACTAACGAGGGTAAAGACTAAAAAGTGTAAGCACACCTTGCGACTGTCAAACGATGGTTTTGAAGTTTGGTGTTGCACCTGAAAATGAAAAAATTGAACATGTCAAGGACCAACTCTGCTGAAATCATGGCCGCAAGGGGAAAACACTTGAATAGTTCTCGATCATGTTCTTTTGTACATTTAAACTCATTGTTCAAAAGTAAATATCAATAATTCCTCCTTTTGTTTCCAGACGGTACCATACACTAACATACTTTTGCTAAATTTTAAATACCAAAATTTCATTCTTCATAAAATCCAACTCTAGCTATCTCATTTAAAATTTTCAACTTGACAACTAATCATCCTCCAATCACATAACAGCATTGGGTCCTTCAGAGCAGTGCTGCAGTCATAAAAAGCTCTTCCTCATGATATGAGATGTCCAACCTTGACAAATGTCCAGTTTGGACAAACTTCTCAATAAGACTTATACAAGTCAAAAATAAGGAAGTAAAATAAATCAAATTCTTCCCATAAGTGAAAATCAACTTATGGCCTTCTAAATTTTTAAAAGTCTTGTCATATAATTTCTCTAAAAACTTTAATTGCATAAGTGAATTTTAACTTACAAGAAAAGTTTTGTTCATCTTATCTCTTTATTTTCTTCTCTTACAAGTACTTGTATATATGTTTGTCCAAACTGAACCAAAGTTTGATACTAGTATGTATTATTTAAGAGCGAGAGAGAGAGAGAGAATATTGAAACATCAATACAGTTCAAAGCATACTGAAAAATAACAAAGCTGCATGTTACTTCCAACCAGAAAAAAAAAAAAAAACTGTCATATCAAAGCAAAGCAAGGAAGTAATTCCACTTGGTTCCAGAGCAGCATAGAGCACACAACACAAGCAGATAATTGTGATGGAAATTTTTTCACAAGATTTACAAACCTCAGTTTTGGATGCAGTAGTTGGTTGAACTATTTTCTCTTTCAGAAGCACAGGAATCTTCTCACTAGGATCAATGGATTTATTTTGTGCAAAATTTCCCCCATCTGATAGTTGAGACACAACAAAAAATTTAATTTCAGAGTGGATGCAAACAGCACCAATAACCATTAAGAGAAGAAACACAGAACTACAAAACATGTACATCCAAAGAAGATGAAATTAACTTATTGAGGACTAACCTCTGATATTAGATTGCACTGCCAGGTTAGCAAACTGCATTTTCAAAAAAGAATGCAATAACAAGCTTCTTCAGCTGAATGATTATCTGACATACTAGATAAACTAAGATAATATGAAGATAATATCTTACATTCAACTGATCAGTTATATCTTCTTGGCGGTGATGCTTTTTTGGAAACTCAGTTGCTATAATTTTAGTATTAGTCTGGTCCAGTGGAATGCCTTGATGAAAATTCTGTTTAAAGAGTTATAAACAATCATAGTCAATCATGCTCATAGGCTGCAAACGAGATTTCTAAACCAGAATTCAACATAGTAAGCAAGATGTTACTTCTGAATTTTGGAGATTTTTATTGATATGACCCTGATATGAAATATCATCAAAATCAGCAGTAGTTTCATCATTTTGATCACTGTCACTGTCAATTCCTGCAGCAAGCTCTTCTTCTTTCTCGAGTTCATCCATTATACGGAGAATATTAGCATATTCCTCATTGCCAGCTGTAGCATTCCCCAAATTGGAAGCATCTTGCTGCAATGGACCTGAAAAAGGATATTAGCATCCCTTTCAATCAATATTTCCAACAAATATAGAAGTAGGATCATTGGTTGGTGCATTGTTTGATGCCATAACATAAGAAACAAAGTTTGAATTTGAATAGAAAAGAAAATTGATACAAAAGCTAGAGACATGGCTGGAAGTGCTAAGCTCAAAGAAACTGTAGGCAAAACTGTGTGTTCTAGAGAATTGTCGTATAAATACAGCAGAATTAAGATTTGATTTGACAGAGGATGACAATTACTGCTATTTGAATAATTTTAATAAATTCAAAATCTTAATCAAAAGGCTTAACTTTATTTAGAGCTTGTTTGGAAAAGCTTACGTACAACTTATGAAAAATAGCTTATGACTCGCATAAACTGTTTTAAGATTTTTTTTCAATAAGCTTATTGGTATATCTATCAAAATAAACTATTTTTAACTTATCTCAATAAATTTCAGTGTGAAATTTATGGCATAAGTCATCGTGTAAAAAAACTTACTGAATAAGGGTTTACATAAGTTCTATTCAAACACACCCTTAGACTTTTCAGCCTACTCTCTACCAGCTTCCTTTCCATTTATGATGAATATTAACTACCATCTCACATAAATTATATATCTTGGGAAGCAATAGAAGACTAGAGCGTGCCTGATTTAGATTCCTCTCCAATAGACTCTTTCTCCACATAATCTTCCAATATCTCCACAAAACCCTCCTGTGCCAAATTAAGCCACCGCAGCAATTAGTGATTTATGCAAACTTCAAAAATATTAATAACAAATGCTAACAAAAGCATACAAAAACAAAAACAGAAGACCATGATAAAATGATAAAATGTAGCAGTGTGAAGATGAAGTAAAAGATTATTTTGGACGATAGTTCAACAAAAACCGTGAACTTCTGATACGTGATATCGTATTTGTACTAAATCTCTATCAATGCCAAAACTGCCTCAACACAAATCAAATTCAAAGGTATCAGTTGTGAGATTAAGAGAAAGAAGAATTGAAGCCCACCGCTGCGTCAGAAGCTGTGGCATTGAAAAACGAAGCCTCTGCTTTAAGGTCCTTAATATTGGCATCAAGAGAATTAACTTGCGAATCCAATGACTTCCCTCTTCGTTGCAAAATCTCAACGGTTTGTTTTGAAGTTCTCTCTGCATAATACGCTTCTCCCAAAAGAACCTAACAAGCAAAACCACTTGCCACTGAGAACTAAAAAAAAAAAACATTCAATTGAAGAAGCGAATGGAACAAACGGCGTACCAGGAACTCGTTGGTGTGAATCAATCGACCAGGGAAGAACGCTGCTTTCCCAAACGGAACCTAAGAACCCAATTTCCAAGTTAGAAACTTTTTTTACAAAGGGATGGTGAAAAAGTTGAAATGTCAAAGTTGGGTATTGCTTACCATGATGTCGTGAGAGAGTTGTTCTGGAAGCTTCTGGACGAGGTTGATGAGGTTGTCGTTGTCGGCGACAAAACCTCGTACACGGTCGAGCTCGTTCTGCTTCTCGGCGATGGCGTCTTCGACGCGCTTCGCGGCCTTCTGCGACTCCTCTACGGGGAACACTGACGCCAGTGACGTCACAGTTCCTTTCTTCCTCGAGTCTTCCATTTTCCCTCCCTTTCTCTCTTCACACCTCACTCGCTTTGCCTATGAACCAGGTTTAGGCATTCCAATGCACGAGAAACGGGTTATTTTATTCTTATAATAACAATATAAATTATTTAAAAATAATTTAATTGGTATTTCTTAACCTATTATATTTTTTATAAATAAAGCGTACTAATTTATTTAAAAGTATTAATTAAAAAAAATTAACTTAAAACATTTAAACTTTTTTATGTGTTATTTTATCTTAATGTAACTTTTTTTATTTTCATATTTAAAAAATATAATTAGAATAACAAATAAAATAAAAGGAAAAAAAATCTCTTCCTTTTCCTTCCAACACCACGAGAGTGTTAAAAATATTTTTTTCAAAAGACATTTAGATATCATTTGAGACACATTTGATAAGTTCAAGATGACCAAAAACAAAAACATTGAAAAAAAAAGTTAAAAGATACAAATAATAAAGTCTAAGTCATCAATATAACATATTTCATAGTATCAGTATAACACAATAAATATAATTATTTTTTAAAAATACCACAAAAATTAATATTTTTCACTCCTATCGTAATTTAGAATTAGGCAGCAATATAAAAATATTCACAATATTAGTATTCTTTAAAATAATATTTTACTAAATATCTTAAAGACTTTAGGTAAAATAATAATAAATATATTTTCTTAAAATACATTAAAATATAAAATAACAATGCATTATTATACTTTATAATTAAAAAATAATTTTAAATTTCTTAATTTCAATCACTAATTAGCATTTATTATAAATTTAAATTGCAAAGTTACAAGTTTTAATAAGCGCATGATATAGTAGTGTAATAATTAAATATTTTATTAATTTTTTATTTTTAAAATTTATTTATAAAAATATGTTTTTAATTTTTGAAATTTATTTTCAAAAAATAAAATCGAGTTCCTTGATACTGAGATAATATATAAAATGTAACTTTAGTTTCCTTTAATTTGAAGTTTAAAAAATTATCAAGTTAACTAACTTAAAATAAATAATGAATAGATTTTAACCTTTTTACTTTACATATATTTTATTTAAAAAATAAAATGTGTTTTTAACACTCAATCTTGTTTTACAAAGCATTCTAATAATATTATTATTCATTAAATATCCCTCTTTTATTATCGCGTGACATTATTTACTATATGTATTTTTTTAATCTCTTAATATTTATATGGTAAGACCAATTTTTTTTTCCTTTTAGTAAAAATTGTAGACTGCCATGTGGGAACACATCCCACGGGGCGCGTAGCCGCGTATATAATTTCCCTGCCATAGTAGAACACACCCAACCTCGTCAACCACTGCTCCCAGTCCCTGTCCTTCAAAACCCGCATTTTTTTTTTCTGTTCCTAATCCAAAGTTACAATATAATATTTTTGTTTAACCATAATTGCTATTTTTAATTGCAACAAAGTTGGCTGCATTTGGTGGAAAACCTTGCTGGTGAGGGGAATTTTGTTTCAAGTCGTTGGTCTTTCACTGTCTCTATTATCTGAATCAACCTTCGTGACTCGTTGTTGTGACCCGGTGATTCGCTTGTTTGACTCCTTTTGAAGCAACCCTTTCTCTCCCTTCAGCTATTTCCTATGATGGGTTTTGGATTTTTCTGTTTGATCCCCTGCAATCAGTTGCTGGAACTGGGAACTGGGTTGTTGAAATTTTTGTGAGATATGGTGTGTTTGGGGTTTGATATGGATGAGGTTGACTCCGAAAGATTGAAACTTTGGTTGGTTAAGAGGGTGAGACTCGGGATTTTGTTGAGAATTGCATTTGGTTTGTGGGTGTTTCTCTTCTTTCTTAGTCCGGTGGCAGGTTTGAGACCCTTAAGGGACAGAACTAGTTCGTGGGGTGATGAGGTATGTATATCAACTTGTAATTAATTTTTGGCGTTTTTTGCTGTAATTAATTTCAGAACTAGGTACTATTTTATTTTTTTTTTGGTTACTGTAATTGTGGATGCAGATTGGGAATTTGAACATAATTTGTCCTTCTTTATTTTGGTCTTAAAATTGATCCTTTCTTGCTTTAAGTTGTGAGCTGTTACTGTTTTTTTTTTTCTTTTGTATTTTTGCCTATCGTAAAAGTGGAAACATGAAGCTTGGTGTTTGATGTCAGGTTAGTTAGAATTAAGTAAAACAATGTGGCTTTAGCAGAGGGCTAAAGAAACTTGCTTCTAGGCCCGTAGGTTGATTTTAAGTTAATGTGTTTTGAATGCCTAGATGTGGTATCAAATTAACTCTTAATTTCCTTGATGGGGGAATCAGAGAGTACATACACCTTTCTTTAGTGCTTGAGGGTAGACAAATTTCCCAATACCATGTGACCAATTATCACTATCTTAATGTGCTTATTTGTTATTATAAATCCATTGATTTGAATTTCAAGCCATTAACATTCATAATTGGCATTTTCTTACAAGACTGCTTCATTTTTAAACAATTCTTTGCTTACAATTTTTGTAGTTGCCCAATTTGCAGAACTTTTATTTTGAAATAGCAGAAACACATCAAATCATCAAATGAGAAACAAATTAGATCATCTACAATTCAGTTTATTGCAATGGGCCATTTATTTTTGTTGTGTGGTTTAGTTGCAAGACCTTTAGAATTCCTCCTAGGACTTTCATTTTGCCATAACACAACGTGACATATTAAAAACAAAACATTATTTTCAGTGATAAACTGATATTTTAATGCTTGTGTCAAATACTTTCATTGACTTGTATTGAAATTGCTTCTTTCAGTGGGTTTTTACAAGAAAAGATGAAAGTGACTCAGGTCCATTTTCACAATGGAACATAACTGGAACTTACAGAGGTTGGTATTCTTTACTTGCAGAAGTGCGTGTTTAGATTGACAGCATTGATGTTTAGTTTGAGTCTGTTGTGCAAATGTTTGATGCAATTGTGCAGTTGGATGTATTTCTAACTGCAGTTTCTGCTTAATGCATGGTTTGATGTCTGTTAAGAGGATATATGATTGGATAATAAACAAAATCTGAGCTGTCACAAAATTACTGCTTTATAATATTATCCCTTGAAAATTGTCTTTTCTCTGTATCACTTGAATTTTGGAATGGTTTCATGCTTTTCATTGATCAAATTATCTTTTTTGAAGAACAAACATGTTGCTATGCACTTACTGAAAAAAAGATGCCATGTTTCTTACCTTTTTGCTTAATTTAATAAGCATTCTTAGTTGACTTACTTGACTATCACTGGATAGAGAATATAATGGCTAAGGGGTCAGCATCTGATTGTGTAAAGTAGGACTTTACACCCATGAAATGGCTAAATAAACCTATGGCATTTGGACTAATCATGTAACATTAAAGGAAATTTTGTCAATTCGTTAAAATATGCTTCATTTATAAATGAGTGTATATTTAGAATAAATTTTGTTCACTAACTTATTTTGGAATGAGTTTGCAATCTTGTCTCAGTCTGATAATATACGTATGGTGTCCTCCTTGAATGCAGGGACTTGGAAGTTTTTAGATACTGCAAATGGCTCTACCAGATTTCCAGACATCAGAAAAATAAATGGAAATTCTGTTATTGAATTAGTTAGTACACCCACAAAGATAACTGGTGTGCATTATGTGCAGGTGAGATGTTGAACTATACAGCTCGTTTCAGAAGGAAGTCAGCTTTCATATGCAATGTAGTTTTTTATTTGTGCTGTTATATATTTTAAAATATCACCAGCTTCTGATAGAGAATTTTCTAAGTTCTACCTTCAGTGTTTAATTTTATGTATTCATATTAATATTGTGAATGATTATTGGAAATATCAATAGATTCAGAGGTTCCTTTTAAGTTAGTGAAGTTCCAGTTTTGTCCTCTTGATATGCCAAAGAATTAAGCAAAATATCTCTTTTCATTCTGTTTTCCCTCAACAAATACATTACTCCATCTCAATTTAGTTGAAGATTATTTGTCAATTTAATGTTATGACAGCCCAATAAAACTTCTAATATAACAAGTCGCTTAGCACATAAATAACCTTAATATTCTAACCCTTAGATGCATTGGATGCATGAAATAGTTGGGTGTTTCTTGTAAATGAAATCAATATTTCAAATTCATTTGATAGGCTTTACTCAGGGTGATAAAATGCATTTGTGTTATGGCATGAAACTAATTCATTAAGTAGATCAGAGTTTATTCAATTGGTATAGTGAACTTCTATTTGTATTTGGATGAGTATCTGTGTTCATATTTCAGGGTTATAAAGGATGATAATCTGTACAGTTCCTAGAGATGTTGGGGATCATATTTTGTACAGTGTCAATCAGTGTTGCCAAAGTGTATTTTGAATATCCATTTTTCATTTTTCTAGTGTATGTGTATTCATTTATCGTGATTTAATGCAGGGATGAACACCATATAGATCATAAAATCAAATACATTACCCTTTCATTGCACTAAACAATAATATGTTGTTGTATTGATGAATATTTACAGGTTTTCAGTCATGTCAAATTCTTATAATTTTTTTTTTTCTCTATTTTATGCTTTTCTTTATCAGGGGGTAGTTATATTCCATGATGTGTTTGACAATGAATACAATGTTGGTGGTGCTCAAATCAGAGTAGAAGGTGTATATATTTGGCCTTATAGGCAGCTGCGAATGGTAGCAAACAGGTGAACACAAATACATTGTGCAGCTCAAGTTTATATGGTATCTTATTGCATTTGGATACCTTAACGGATTGATACTGAGATTGATCTTAGTGCAGCACTGGTTAATAGCAAGAGGGAGTTGGCATTTAAGAATGAAATAGATACACTGATTAACCCATATGCATGTGGCAGATAAAATGAAAAGGCTAATTGAGAATAAATTGCTACTCTGCATTTTATCACTATTACTTGAGAATATTGGTTTAGCAAAATACTGATTCTGATCAGCTGCTAGTAAGAAAGAGTGGATCAGTGGAACATGAAATTAATCTAGAAACACACTTTTTTGGTTTAGTGATATAGTAATTGACAAAAAGAAATTAATTAGTAGTACATAAGACATGCTTCGATTTGCTAATCTATGTATCAGCAGTTTTAAATTTAATTTCCATACACTATCAATTCCATTCTGATTTGCAGTGCAAAAGCTATCACAGCCTGAAAGGTCTTACTTAATAATAACCTAATAACTAGCATGCTGTGTTTTCTAATGCCGGAGATTATGAAGTAGTTTTTATTTTATTTAATCTCATTTTTTCAATCAGACCTTGTTTTACTTTCTCAGCATACCTAGTTGGGCATAATCTAGCTGACAAGTTGAGATATGTTATCATGATTGTTCAAATTTTTAATTGTTTTTTCATCCTATTTTGACATTTTATCTTAAATGAGTTTTTTTGTTTTGGCTCTATGTTGTTTGTTGAGTTGTATTTTGTTTTAAAATTCAAATAGTGGTACTTAGCCTATAATAGTTAAATGTGCTGAAAAATCTCTTTTTTATGTTCTCTTATTGCAGTGGAAAAGAGGGAGGGTTAAGTCAGGATGGAGATTATATTTTATCTAACCCATATCATCTGGTATTACCTCTTTTTTGTATGTCATTGACTGTTCACATTTGTTATTGATTATATAACATGCAATAATTTTTTAGCATCACATTTCATTTTATTATTTTAATGATCAATAAAAACATGTTTATTATTCTGTATAATTGATACTTCATGGAGTCCTAGGGTTTAGATAAGGATGCTGCTATTATCCTTTTCATGGGCTTGATTTTATTTGGTATCATAAGGTTGCGTGTTGTAAAGAACGGAATTTATCATGCGTATTAGAATTACAGTCCAAGTCTTGTTTATATAGAGAGTCAAGAAAAACTACATAAGGAAAAAGCAAAAGTCACCCTACTGGTTGTTAACAGCTGACTAATTACTTTCCAAAACAAATAATTGATCTTTGCTTTGATGGCTTAATCATACTTTGATAAGAACCTTGAGAGAACCACACTACAAAGGCTAGCTTTTGTAGTTGGAGAGCTCAAGACATTATAATAAAGCCTACACTAAAATCTCATACTCTGAATGTGAGATTCAAGTCTTATACCCACCTAAAAACTGTGTTCTCATTACAGATATGTAGTTGATAAAAAAATGATATATATTTTTGTATTTGTGGGACTACATGAACATTATAAACACTTAATGGCTGTATATATGGCTTTGTGTAAACAGCTTGGAGTTTTCTCATCTCAAGTATTCCAAGAATCTTCACGAAATAAGATGTGGAGCAGAAAGCATTGTAATATTCTCCTTTACTAGTAAACTTCGAAGAGATCCCCCCCCTTTTGTTAGTTTGTGTTGTAGTATCAACTTGCTACTTTTATTTCTGCCATTATTGCAGCTCCATTGCATGGCATGGAGAAACATTGCAACGTAGAAATTGCCGCTCAGGTTTCACGATTGTCATCATCAAAACATGGTACTTGAGTTCTCTCAGCGTATGAATACTTTCTGTTCCGTGTTTTTCTCTTCCTTAATATACATACTAATATTAAACATTACATTCCATTTGTTTTTCCTCCAAATTTCACTTATATGTTTGTAAATGTGGTTATCATGACTTAAGGCTTCGTTCCAACAACAATATGTGTGTGGCCTTTGATTTTCCTGACAGCCAAAGAAATACGGATGAATATAACAGTTGATATACAATACTCAATAGGGAACCTTTTATCACATTTAATATAACAGTTGCTGATTATCACTGAACATTAATTGCAGAAAAAATATACTATGAATTTGGGCTCTTTTTTTTTTTTTTCCGAAGTTCAGTGAGTACATTCTTGTCATAGTTGAAAATATTATATTTTTCTCATATCATTTACCAAGTTGTTATATGCTTTCTTATAGAAGGAGAGCATGATTCTTTTCAACTAGAAGGGTTAATGGAGAGTCCGTCAGTGGATGATGATGGGGACTGCTTCTCACCTTTACAGTTAAATGCGACATCTATTAACATTGAAGTTTACTATAACAAAGCAGTGAACTATACTTTGATGGTTACTTTTGTATCCTTCAGTCATCAATATTGTGCAACTTTAAAACTCTGTTATTGTCCGTTACTATGTGATCTCCTTAATGTACATATGCCAGATCTCTTTTTTGCAAGTCCTTCTATTAATCAGGCAAATGGAGCATAGCAACACCCAATCTGTAAGAAATTTCTTAAGAATTTTATTTGGAATTTCACACATTATAGCTTTTATGAATTTAATTAATATATATATTCAATCTTTGAATGAGTTATTATTTATTGATACATGATTATAAATATTTAATATGATTCATATATATACCTTTGCAGGGGGCTGCTAAGGTGTCAATACTAATGATTGGTCAGCAAGCTATAGTAGATGCTTATCTTTGCCTTATACATTTAACTGCAGGAATACTAGTTGGTAAGTTTTCCAAATAAGTGCTAGGGATTTTCATATAATCACTTGAGATTGCTTTACAAAGTACAAATAGTTCTCTATCTATCTTCCTAAACATCTTGGTATCCTTGTAGAGTTTGAGATACCAGTTTTGGGGTGAATGAGATAAAATATCAAAGGACCCTTTTACTTGGAAGAGGACATCAGATATTTTTATGTACCTTTAACTTTGTTTTAGGGCCAGCAGGCAATAACTGTAGTTTATCTTAAGCCTTGTGAATGCAGTGTATAAGCATGGGCATACACACAGAAAAGACAGGTGCATCTCCCACAAAAGCAGATATCAATCTTGACTCTCAACCCAATAGTGATTGGGTGTTTATGCTTGGATGCTCGAAACCTGTCTACGCTTTTATTACCACCTTGAACCGTCAAAACTAATATTTTTTCTTGTAATTCAATCACTAAGATCAAACTTACTCTGGTTGATTACAACATCTAATTCTTAGAGCACCACAGAAATTATAGTACACAGGTTCTTTAAATCTGTGCCATGTCAAGAGATTGATCATTTCTTTTGGTTTTTAATAGTGTAAGAAGATTATAAATTAGTTTCCAATAGGTTATTGGTTCAGAACTTCAGAGTTTTGAGCCCTCATTGTAGCCAAAAGATATGATTATAAATATGTTTGTGTTCAAATTGATTTTAGTATATTGTTGTCATTGCCACAATATATGTTACCCAAGTGGTCAGTTATTCTCTTTCAGTAAGCTTGTCTGATGAATAGTTGTTACTTCCTGCCGTGCAGAATCCTTGTTCAACGCTTTTGCAACTGCTGCATTTTTCAAGTTTGTGGTTTTTTCAATATTTGAGATGAGATACCTCCTTGCCATCTGGAAGGCAAATAGGCCTTTGAGCAGTGGTGAAGGTTGGGAGACAATGAGGCGTGAGCTGTCAGTTCTATACAGCCGTTTCTGTAAGTACTCAATTAAAATTGAAGTTTCAGTCTGCAATCTGATCTTGTTATCCCATCATTTTGGATTTCCCCTGGAGTCATTGGTTCCATAGGATCCATGATCATGTTATATATTTAAGTTTTGATCTGTGATAGTCGCTCTACTACTTAGAGCCTACCAACATTGGGTTAAATTTTTGTTTTTTTGTTTTTATAATTTCTTTAAAAAAAATGCAGGCTAAAATGCTGTTTGGTCATCTTTGAATTTCAATGCTTGCTGATTATATTCGTTTATAGCCAATATGAACCTAGGAACTTAAAGCACACATGAGCTAATGGTCACTATGTTAAATTAACATAATGAAACATCTTGTAGTATACATTATCCTATTATACCTTTGATTCTTAGAATGTCCATATCCAAATGTTTTCTATTCTGTTCCATTGTTCAAGCATGCCGCATAACTCTAGTTATCTGTTTCCAGTTGCTTCAACTGGTGCAAAGATTTCCTTGTATGAAGAAGTGATGACTGATGCTCATATCTAATCTAACTGTTTAACTTCTCTTGCAGACGGGATCCTATTGGGTGGCATTCTACTTATGTATGAATTCCATAATCATTTGAGACTTATTCTTCTTCTTGTATACTCCTTTTGGATACCTCAGATAATCACTAATGTTGTTCGTGATTCACGCAAACCATTGCATCCTCATTATATCTTAGGCATAACTGTTACTCGGGTAGCAATCCCATTATATATATTTGGTTGTCCAAACAACTTCTTGCGCATAGAACCAGATCAGAGCTGGTGCGTTTGTTTAGTTGTATTTGTTGGACTTCAAGCGGCAACTCTCCTCCTTCAGCACTATTTTGGGTCCCGGTGGTTCATTCCTCATCAGGTTGGACCCAACCACTTATACTCATTTGACTTCATCCAACTCTTTCTGAATTGAAGTTAATTTTTTATAATTATATTAAGTCATAACTGATATTCCGTTGATCGTTTGAAGCATTTGCTTTACATCTTACACGTAAGGACAGCACTATTCTCTATTTTGATAATTTTGCTCCATACTATTGGCTACTTTGTTGCATTTTGTTTGATCATGAGCATAGTATTGATAGTAACACTTTGTTTTGGGTTCTTGTGCTGTTGACAATAGCCTCTAGCTTTTCTTAACTGAACATGCATCACAATGCCTCTGCATGTTACCTTTATCCTTTTTGCACAATGCTCTCTCAGTCTAACTTTATCTTCATGGTTTGCAGATTCTACCTGAGAAATACAGCTATTATAGGAGGTTTACTCAAGATACAAATCATGCCACAGACTGTGTTATATGCATGACAGCCATTGATCTTTTTCCACGATCTAACGATTGCATGGCATGTGAATATAACCTATGTCTATTTGAATTAATCTTTACAATATGAATATAACCAAAGTCTAATGCACCAACTCTTTCACAGGTGACCCCTTGTGATCATTTTTTCCACTCTGGTTGTTTGCAAAGATGGATGGATATAAAGATGGAGTGCCCAACTTGCCGGCGCCCCCTTCCACCTGCATGAAAAGATTTCCTGTGTTTATATCAATAGGATCAACTCCATTGCCCAACTTGATAATTTAGGTAATGCGTTTAGTGGCATCCAAGATATACATTTTTTTGTCTGATGTAGAGATTATTTAGCTTTTAATGTTTTCTGATGCAAGTTACTCTTTTTAATATTTAGCTTCTATGACTTACGAGTGTATGACTATAGTACATAATTCTGAAAGAAAATGATAATTTTTTTGGAAAGTGTTAAGCAACTAAAAATAGTAAGTTTATATTTTTTTAAAATGTTTATTAAATAAAAAATATAGAAGGGTAATTTTTTTTAATAAATACTTCTTATAGATGCTTTAAATCAACTTTAAAAACTGATGTTAACAAAACTAATTTTTTAATATGAAATGTACTTTCTTACTTTCTTTTGTGTGTGAAAATATAATTGTACTTTTGTGATTATGTTCAAAATTGTAATTAGCAATTATTTCGTAGTTTTCTACTAGTTGCCTTATCTTTAGTAAATCAGTAACATGATTTCATTTTTATCTGTTAAGTTTGTATGTTACAAAATATTTTCTTCTGCCTCGCAGGTTGGGATAGAATGCATATTCGGTGTAATTGCACCTTCAGTACAAGACTGAAACACGATACTACTGACAATTGTATCATGCAGTATTGGTATAAATTTTTTTCACTGGTTATGTATCAATAATGTTGTACATTAGAAATTCTATATGATGATCTTTTGACTTCAATCCTTAGCTTTTAGTTCATCTCTTTATTTTCCATTAGTGCTAATATCACACTTTTTTTTATCATTTTATTCAACATACTACTAACTTGGTTTCACGCTGGTTAGTGTGGCCTATATGTTAAAGAAAAAAAGTGTTATTTGATCGGAAAAAAGAAAAGAAAGTTTTATTTGCATTCGTCTATTTTTCATTTGCTATAATATCTGTTTAAATTTTTTTATTAAATTACTCTTTTTGTCCATGACCTTTTTGAGAAAAATTGAATAATAATCTTTCTACTTTTAAATATTTAGCTCTTGTATTTTCAATAAAAATGAAAAATTAAATGGCTCCTAAAATCTAGCTTACCGTTGAGTACTACAGAGATATTGGAAAAAAATGAAAATCGAAACTGAAGTTTAAATTCTCTAAAAGAACAAGTGCATACATAGAATTCTTTGTTCTAGCATTAAAGATTCGTGGAAACAATTACAATTTCAGCGATATTAGATTTGTTGTTAAATTACTTTGTAGGTCTTTTAGTTTCACTAAATTATGAAATAGATTTTTAAAAGTTTCTAATGGAGTTTGTATTTTTAAAACATTTTAAATAAGTTTCTATCTCTTAATAAAACCTCGTCCAATATGTTTAATTGGTGGAAAGTTTTTGTATAGAAATTTCGATAAATTATAAGAATTCATTACACAGATAGCACAAATTTATAATCATTTTATAAATTTTTCTAATCTATAAATACATCTTAGTCATTTAAAAAATGTTATAGCTGATAGTGAGATGAAGCCAAATTTTAAATTTGTAGATATGGACTCTAATTAGAATTTTCAAATATAAGAATTAATTTGTAGATTTAATAAAGTAATAAGAATTTACACAATAATTTAACCAAACTTTTAAAACTGTTTATAAGCACAAAACGTCAAATAATTTACCAGTGTTCCAAAGGTTTATATTTGGATCATGATTAAACCCTAATGTTATTTTAACGCAACTCTTAACAAAGAGTTCCAACATTTTGAAATCAGTTTTCAATTCACACTTTTCTTTCTGTGATCGCTTTTTGACCGGTTATGTAATTCAGTGTTATTTATTTTTTAACCTCAATTACTTCATATAATTTTTTAACGAAAAAAGTTTTATATACACTCTAATTCGAGTTTACACCTTCTAAAAGATAAGAAGAGAAGAGACAAATATATAACAAATAATATCATACAATAAAATTAAAAAAATGTTAAATATATATTTATACTATTAAAATATTTGTAAATCAAAAACATTTTTTCAAATTCCCTTTATCCTTTAAAAATAATATTTCTTTATTTTTATTATTTTATTTTTTACATTACTAAATATTTTATTACATAATACAGATAATATTTATACACTAATTATTTTTTATTATTAAAATTATTCTAAAATCAAAATCAACTATTAGATTAAAAGTTACATGACTGATCATGATCATTCATAATAAAATTTAAAGGCCAATATTTACTTATCTCACTTTTACATTTAAAAAAGTTATTATTTGATACACTTTCTATATGCATGTATACGTTGTGTGCATAAAGTCATATAATTTTAAAAAAAAAAGGTAGATTTTTTAATTATCGTGTCACTTAATAACAAACAAAAAATTCTTTTTTCTGTTAAAGTTAACTTTAATATTATTTAACACTTATTTTTATATTTTTAAAAATAATATTTATTTTCAAAACTTTATTTTATATTAGTTTTTTCCTCATATATTTAGTTTAGTTTATTCTTTTTATATTGAAATTTGCTTTTTCATCGTATAATTTAAGTCACTTATACTCTCATAATTCTTTATTTTAAAAATAATTTACTCTTTTCCTCATAAATTAAAGCTTCTTTTTTTATTGTTTAAATTAATAAATCTTATAATTTTATTTTTCATATTATTTAAATTTTACTTAAATTCAAAAATATCCCTACAATGCATGCATGAAATACTTACAACTTTTCTTTTATTTTCCAATATTTCATTAGTGTAAACTAGAGTGCAAAGTAAAAGTAGTGTGAAACAAACCTTGTCCCTTAACTAGTCTGTCATAAAACATGAATGAACCACTATTTTCTAAAAATAGGATGAGAGAAAATTTTAATCTTGAATAGAAAAGTCTCCTTATGGCTTCAACCTTCACACAAAGCAAGAAATATCTATGAACTTCCTCATTTCCTGTCAAATATAACACTTTCCAAGGAATATAACGTATGACACAAGAAAATACAGATACGTTGATCAACACACCACTTTGTATGTACAAGGAATCACCTAACTCAAATTTGAACTTTATTTTTCCTATTCATATCAACACAAACGATTGCTTATGGGTAACTTGGTGCAAGAAGTGGTGCAGAAACAGGCATTGATGCATGAATAGAAGAAGGTGGAACAGCCACTGAACCAGAAGAAACATTGCTTCCAAAACCACCTTCAACACAGCAAAGCTCAAAGCAATCAACTGGGTGTTCAAGTTTGGCACTGCATTCCTTTTGGCTCCTCTGAAGTGGCTTCTCTGGCAAACAGTTTCTGCGGTCATCAAAGACTATTTTCTTTGATGTCAAGTTCTGACAAATACCCTCTTCCTCACAGAAGAAGTTGTAAGAAAAGGTGAAGTTTGCTAAGTTTGGTAACTCGCAAACACCCATAGGGACTATGCCACTCATCATGTTATGCCCCAAATTTAGCTGTTCCAAATGAGACAACCCCGCAAGGCTATAAGGTATTGGGCCAACAATGTTGTTGAAACTCACATCCAACACTTTGAGTTTGTAGAGAAACCCAACTTGCTGTGGCAAACAACCTGATAAGCTTGTGTTGATCAACACAAGTTCTTCCAAAGTGTCAGCAAAGTTTACTATGCTTTCTGGAAGACACCCTCCAAATTTGTTGTTGGCAAAGACAATGACAGAAGCTGAGCTTTGGCCTAAATTTGGTGGAATAGAACTTGTGAAGCGGTTGTTGTTAATAAAAATGGCATCAAATGTTTTGTTGAAGAGTTGAGGAGGCAATGGCCCTTCAAATTCATTGTAACGAATGTCAAGGTATTTGAGCATAGGAAGGGAAAGCACAACCAAAGGAAAAGCTCCAACAAACCTATTGTTGCTAAGATCAAGTTCATAGAGAAGAGTAAGGTTGGTTAAGGACATTGGAAGGATGCCACAGAAGCGGTTGTTACTGAGATGAAGGAGTGAAAGGTCAGAAAGTAGGGCTATTTCGTTGGGTAGGAACCCTGCTATGTCTCCAAAGTTAAGGTCAATGCCAGCCACAACAGTGACTTTAGGGTCATCAACTGATGGAGCACAATACACACCGGTGTAGTTGCAAACTGAAGGACCTACCCAATTGGCAGTGAAGTTAAATGGGTCAGAGTAGATCACATTCTTCCATGCTTGGAGCCCAAGAAAAGCTGTGTGAAGTCTTGTGTTTAAGGCAGGGTTCTGAGTGTGTTGGTGCCTGTTGGGGTGCTTGTGCTGGCGATTGTGACTGTGCTTTGCATTGAGGTTGTTGATGAAACATGACAAATGCAAAAACAGAAGGATCAACAAACAAGTGGTAAAGGAATAAGAAGAAATAGATGAAGGTGAAGCCATTGCTTTGAGAGATTATGGCAATGAATGGTAGTAATGAGTGAATCACTATATATGCAAATGCAAGAGAATAAAGATCTATCTCATTTCACTTTCAAAGGAGAAAGGCGTAGTCTTTTGTTTAATCATGTTGTTTTGTTCACGTTTCAGATTAGCACAAACCAAGATGGTTAGAAAATGAAGCATCCAAAGTTCAAACATTTGTCACAACAACTTGTTAAAGTGACGGTTAACCGTTACAAAAACCTACGAACCAATGTTGAGGTTTTAGGTTCCTTTGTTAGAATTTCTCAATTATTTGATGGGTTTCCCATTAGTCAGTTTTACTGTACGCATTGTAGGAGAACTAGTTATAGGAACTCTCCATCACTCACCTCTCCATGCTGCTATCACAAGATCAAATAATGGATTTTAGTTCATTTATTTGCATAGCTAGTTTAAACACTTATATCATATATTTATACTTTATAACACCTATTTATTGTTTTTTTTTTCCCTCTTTACATGTTACATCAAAGGACACCACACGGTGTCTCTACGACACCTACACCATATATTTTTACATTGTAACATTTATTTAAAAAAATTTCTCCTCTACATACCACTTTAAAACTTAAAAAAAAGGAACACCATTCTAAGTACATATATTTCTAGACGGATTGAATCTGTAACTATTTATTAAAAATGTTAATCAGTATTAAACACTAACTAAAAAATTAAAAATTATTCAAAAGAATAAAATAATTCACTCACTTTAAGCATCCTTCTCTAGCAATGAGTTTCTAGATGGGAGGCATGATAGCACATAAAAAGTCAACAGTGCTCTTGATTCTATTTGCACTTGACTTGACCATGCGCATTATAAGGACTTATCTCCTTCCAATGTAATTTTCGTAGTAGTTTGAGTGGAGTTAGAGAAGGACATATAGAGAAGAAACTCCCTATTAGAAGGAGTTAATGAGAATATGGGTTCCTTTAAACCAAAGGGATAACAAAGAATTTTGCCGTAGATGAAGATTAGCCTCTAATTAATATTCCAAGTCCTATGTGGCGACTACCCCTGCTTCAAGATTGTCCATCTATGCCCGTTGAACTCTTGGACTAAAAAATTGATTGCTTTGTTTATTTTATCATGGAGTAAAACATCAATTTCCCATCTATGATCTTATATTTTCTCTTTAAAATTTGAATCACTAATTTTAATATGTAATTTTAATCTCTAGTTTTGATAACTGTTTGTTAATAGATGAGTAAAAGGGAGTTACTCAGGGTCATTCCCTGGGGATTACTGATCTCAGGTCTCAACCTTCATTAGGTCTCACTCCAGTTCTACACCTAAAGCTCTTGAATGCCTCCACGTTTATGACAAATTATTGAACGGTAACAAAATATATGTTTATTATTTAGATTAATTATTGTGTGACATATAATAAAATTCGATTGAACATCTTTTTATAAAATTATTTTAAATTTATATATATTTAAAATTATTAATTTTATTCTTAGCTACTGATAGATTATGACATAATTAATTTAAATATTGTTACGTATTAATTTCTGTGTTGTGCATCGTTTTCTTGTTAAGACTATATCAGCAAAGAAAATTAAAACTAATAACAATTTTATAGAGATTAAAATTAAATTTTAATATATATATATATATATATATAAGCCAATTAATTTTTTTGTGAATCGCAAAAAATTCAACCATAAATCATTGGTGAAACTATAGATAGGCTAATAATATTTCTCGGTATTTAGAGCTTGAGCCAGTTTTTTGGCATTATTTGACGATAGCTTCGTTTCATTTGTTTCCTCTGGAAATTGAATTGTGAAAAATTAACATGATAAGCTGTCAACATTATATCAAAGACATCATCATTTTAATAAAGAATACAGATAAGTCTAATTTAAGTAATCAGCGATCTTGCTATAAAAATAATATTCTGGGAATTTTTTTATTGAATTATATTTAGAACGATTTATCTATTTATAATATATTAAATTTGAAATGTAAGGTATAATGTTCACACTTTATTATTTTATTGCATGTTTTTTACCTATTAATAAATTAACTTATGAGTCATTTTTTTATTATTATCTTTTTTAGTTGAATATTTTTCATTATACATCAAACACATATACCTTCAATAGCAATACTTATTTAGTTACTGATCATTCACTGCAATTCAAGATATTAGTTATTCACCCTCTCATTAAACAAATATGTACTGTTGACCAATCAGTTCAGAGAATCAGAAATAATAATATCAAAGACATTCTTTTTTTGATATAGAACACACAACTAACATTTCCACCCAAGTTTGACTTTATGATTTATGAGATTCTAACAATGATAAAATGGAGAGCTCTATTCTTCTATTTATTTTAGAAATATTTTATATAAATGGGAATCTATTTTTTAATTCTTCATAATTGGTGTTCGTGTGAAGCATGAGTATATATTTAAACTTTCTTTCATAAGAGAAATACTTTTAGTGATTATGTTATTAATTTTGAGTCATATGCATGATATATTAAAGTTCAAGTAATTTTTTTATACTCGCGTTTTTGCTAAACTCCCTCACTTTGTGTGAGTTTATATCTAGTTATATACAAGAATTTAGACACTATTACTCGTTTATTTAGAACATGCTATATTTTAATGTGATAAATTTATAATACTGAAGACAAAACTTTAAAAGCATTCAACAATGAGGATAGAGTAGTCACGTTTATGAATAAGCTGTTTCATGTTGCTTTGTTGTTTCTTCAATGTTAAAACATTACAATGTGTTGTAATTAATTGTTTTATAAAGTTGTACTTTATTTGAGTTAAATGCTGGTTTTATGTTTTATAAGTGAGGTTTAAAATAAGTTTGCATTTTTTTTAATTGAGTGAGTTGTATTTTTAATTAAATTCTATTTTTATAATTAATTTTATTTTTAAAATAGTATTTTATTTTATAACTTAGTAAGAGTGCTCAACAAAAAGAAATAGGTGTATGCCGTAGTTCTTTAAAAAAAAAATTATAAGTATTGTACCTAAAAAAATTTAGAGTAATAAAAAAGAGAGACATGTCAAGTTAAACAAAATTATTATATATAATCTATTTAAAGTTATATTATTTGTTATATAGTTATATTATTATTATTATATTTTTTATAAATTTTTAATTTCAAATAAAATATAATTTATATTAAATTTATTTAATAAAAAATTATTATATTTGTTATATTTAAACAAGTTGGGAAGCAATTAAATTTTTGAATAAAACTAAGATGCAATTAAAATTAAACTAACTAAAATTTTTAAAAAATAATAATATTATATTAATATATCTCTATATTTTTAATTTTATAATTATTATATTAATATATTATGTTATCATTATTTTTTATTTATAATAAATAAAAATTATATTTTATTTGAAAAAATAAAAAAATAATAAAAAATTAAATATATGTATATATATATAATAAAACTATGTAACAAATAATATAAATAATATAACTTTAAATAAATTATATATAATAATTTTTTTAACTTAATATGTGTCTTTTTTTATTAGTCTAAATTTTTTGAGCATGATACTAAAAAATTTTGCAGGATACCACATAATTTACTGCATTATTTAATTAGAGTTTTTCTAGCTTTAATTGCTCACATTAATTGTTTAAATTAAGTCACTCACCTCATATTTTATTAAATAATTAACAAAAAATGTAATAAATATATAATATATCATTATTGTAGACAAATTTACAATATATATATATATATATATATATATAATTAAACAAAAAACTTTTATTATATACTATTCATTTTTTATTAATTTATCCAAATCAATAATGTGTATATTATTATTATTATTTGGATAAAATTTGGGAAAAGCGACTAGATTTTGAAGAATTGAGAAATCAGGAATATTAAAATGTATGAGTACTTTTTTCTGTCAATAAAATGTGCGAGTGCTTAAATGGATTGCAAGTAATCTAGCCCAACCACAACTCAGATTTAAAAAAAAACACATATTACAATTATTTAGAACTTTTGTTTACTTGGACTTCTTTATTATTAAATTAAAACTTCTTGTTAAATTATAAACATAAAAACTTTAAGAATAAAAGACATTTTTTATTGAGTTTTAGTTATAAATATAATAAACATTAATAATAAGTTGTTAATACAGGAATATGCTAATAAATTGATAATTTTGTATATATATTATAAACATATTAATTACTATATTACTAATATGACTCTGAAGTTTTTCATTTTAATCTGTAAATGATTTTTTAGAAAAAATAAAAGTCCTTGGACCAACTTTCAATAGATTAGTTCATAAAAAGAAATTAACACGTACAATAGATCGGTAGGCTAACCTAACCCAACCCGACATATATTACCTATAATGGTCTGTTACCAACGGATTGAGCCTACTCAAATTGACCTATCGAGCTAAACGTACCTTTTCTATGGTCCAAGTTTAGGCCCAATCCTTAACGGATGAAAGACTCACTCACCTTCACCATACCTCGTCTGCTGTCATGTCGTAGATTGAAAATACCCAAATTATATGAACCAATATGTGAGAAATACAGCACTCTCAGAATAGGAAAACTCATCAACGCAAAAATTGGTATAACCATTAACTGATCTAAATTTAATATAATAAAACTATCACACGACAGAATCGCATTTCAACAACAGATGAGCAATCAAAAACGTCTTAATTATTTCGAGCAAAAGGGGTCTCAAACTCAAAAGATTATAAGCTAAAAGACATGGAACAAACAATGAAAATTCTTGTTCGCAGAACTATGGTATCTCAATATCAGGGTCCTAAATTTAGGAAAAACATCAATACCGAAATTTTTCATCCAAAATTATTCAAATCATATGGGAATCAAGTAGTTATCCCAGGAAATTGTCGTCATCATTTAGCCGCCTCCGCCAGAGCCATATTTCTTTCCAAACAAAATGAGCTGCAGCTTGTCATAACCAGCAAGCACACCAGCACCTGCAACAGCACGTAATATGTTTGCACCAGCACCTTTGAAGAGTGACTTAGCACCCTCATTTGCAACGATTGTTTGGAATGCATGTAAAGAACTCCTGTACTTCACAGCTTCTCCAGAAGTCATCATCATCCTTCTACGCACAGTGTCGATGGGATAAGAAGCCAAACCAGCCCCAATTGTGATTCCCCATCCCAAAAGGAAACTAGCAAAGAAACTATCCTGTTAACAAGAATAATTCACTGGGTAAGAACAAGTATAATGATAACAAGGGAGAAAAGGTAAGAGTCAAAAAAATAGAACAACAAATCCACAAATTTAATTTAGTACAGGCAAAGTCATCATGGATATTATCCATCAGAATTAAAGAATATTTAAGATAAAGTTTATGTAGGCACAACTAAAAGTAGCTGACTAGGCACTAATATGCTGACAAGTGTCATTAAATCCATAGAAGGGATACAATTAACAACATTAACAAAGCTAACATATTCAAACTAGTAATTTATATTCAACGAAATAACAGTTAACAAATATAAATTAAGAGTGAAATGAGCCAAAGATGAGTTGTGCTAACAAAATACTAGTTAAAAATAGCATATTTTGGATTCAAATTTTGTAGATACCTGCAACCCACCAACCAAAACAACTGGTTTCAGAGAATCATACATTCCAAAATAAAGACCACGATACACTATAATCCCAACACATGAGATGTTGAATCCACGATAAAGGCCAGCAACACCGTCAGACTTAATAGTTTTCTTGTAAACATCAATCAGGCCATTAAACTGCCTCTCACCACCCTTTTTTGCAGCCTTTGCATCGTTTGCTAAACGAGTACGAGCATAATCCAAAGAATAGACAAATAAGAGGGAAGAAGCCCCAGCAGCCCCACCAGACGCCAAATTACCAGCAAACCACTTCCAATAGCCATCTCTATCCTTTTTAAAGTTGAAAAGCCTCTTGAAGTAATCCTTAAAAGCAAAGTTCAGAGCCTGGAAGGGAAAGGAGCAAATTATAAATTACAGAACAAAATCGCAAAGTCAAATACCCTGCTATCAAATAAAACAGATAAAGTCTCTCTTTTATGGAGGGATATAACTGTAAATTGCAAGAAAGTTATGAATAGATGTATCTAAAATCCTTGCCCTTACAAAATACAAGCTAATCTAACTAAAAATAGATCGATGCAATTGGAAGAGCACCTAGAAGAGATAACAAATAGGCATAATCGTTACATAGCATGTAGACTTCGGTATTGATGCAACACTGCACAGATCTAGACAAAAATCTCATGATACAGAAACAGGAGTGAGACTGAATTTTCATGTGTGATGTACAAAGAATTACAGGCAATGTAAAAAAACCATGATATTATAAAAGGTTGACTATTAAAACAATTAAATCAGATGTGACATGTTTAAACAACAAAATAACTCAACCCAAAATTTTCTAGTTTCAACAGTGAATCTACTTTTGAAGAAATGTTATCACACGCATTATTTCTAGAAGCAAAAGTATAAATGAAGGTAGCCATAACTCTTTAAAATCATTACATAAGTTAGATTATCACCTGAGTTGGGAAGTATCTGATGACATTAGCAGTATTTCCTCTCCAAAGAGAAATTACACCCTCATCCTTCATGGTTCGAGCAAAACAATCTCTGATTCCCTTATATGGCTCAGATAACCGACCACTCTTGATCATTTCATCCTGATTTTGGATAAGTAATTTAACTCGTTCAATTGGAGCAGCAGCTGTCTTGGATACAGCAGCAGACACTCCACCCATCAAGAAATCCACTAGAAAAGCACTTGCTCCTTTCTCAGCCGGAGCGTGAGCAGTGACTGAAGATACAGGCGATACAACAGCCAACCCAGAAGGGTGCACTCCTCCATTGAAGTAAGGACCACTTGTAGTGTAATTCCTGGAGTTAAAATTAGGGCTAAGCCTGGACACCAGATAAGACTGTCCAGCTAACTTCTGAACAACTGATGGATGCTGCAGTCCATCAGCCATGATTGCAGTCTAGATGGTGACCTGTAAGCATTTAACCATAACAATAAGTCACTATTGGCAGCAGATTCTATAGAAAACACCATTTTGAAAGAAAATCAAATGCATTTACAGTTTTATACACATCAACTAGAACACACACTTGGCAACTCTGTTTAATATTAAAACACGTTAACACAAAATACTACACAAAGCATTCACAAAATGTACAAACCTACATTAAATGTTGTGAAAACATAGCAAATACAGATAAAAGAAATTCACTATCAACCCCTTTTCTCAAACACACTTGAGAGCATGCATTATAAACCCAGTCTAAGCACGCAAGAATCCAACATCACTACTTAAAAGGAAGAACAGTAAAAATCTCCAAGTAAATCGGTCGCAGAATGCGAGTATGTATCTGACAAAGCATGAAGCAATCAGAAATACAAAATTCTATAACAGTTGATCTCACTCTCACCAGTCACAAACTCCTTATAGTAAAACAGATCGCAAAGGCAAATCGAATACAAAACAAAAACGAACATAGAACACGGAAATGAAGAAGGCGAAATGACTATGAAAGAAAGAGGAAAGAATGGAAGAAGAAAAACGGAATACCCGAAGAGAGGCCTCCTCCGTTCAGATCGTGAGGGAGGGGAAGGATATGAGAGTGAGACTATAAATGGGAGCACCGAATGAAGGCGCTAGGGTTTTATCTGTAATGACGGATTTGCCCCTCGCTTTTTCTTTTTGTCCCAACCATTTTCTTTCGCCCAAAGCGTCTGCGCCCGACATAATCGCCGAATATTTTGTCAGCAGCCCAATGAGTGTCGTGTCACCCCAAAAATATTACATCTCCAAATATTTAGCATTTAGCAAGCCAACGATTCAAGTTGAAAATACTACCTCCCGACCAACAAACTAAAAAAAGTAGAAAATACTGTGTTTGTTATATATACACATCAATATTACAACTAATATACATTCTGTATAGTTGTAATTGTTAAAAATAATTATAAATATCATGTTTAAATTCTGTATACTCGTGTTAAATATATTTTTAGTATTGTATGATATACTAAGTAATAAATTAATATAAAATTAATAAAAAATCAAAGTAGATGTGATTTTTAAATTGGTATAAAAGGGTCGTAATATATTATTATAATATGAATTTTCAATATTAAAATGTTAAATAATAATATTTTATATGTGGACTTTCTTACTTGAGTTTTTAGCTATCTAAACATTTTTAAAAAAATAGAAAAAACATTTCTAAAAGATCGATTCATATTAATTTTTTGTTGCTAACCAATTTTGAATTAAGTTGATTTTTTACTCCGCCAATCTTTTAGGTTGTCCAGACCAATGACTTGATCCGTTGATTTGTTTTTTAGTTGTCAACAATGTTTTTTTTTTTTTTTACCTATGTTTTTTATTTATATTAATTGGAAAAAGGTTGCAAATTTTTTAATCCTCTTATTTCCCCACTTTCCTGTTATTTACCTCTTACTTCTATATCCGGAACTCTAAAGAATCCACTCAATAATGTTTATTTTCATATATACATATATACTATGATACTTTTTAACATTAAAACCTTTCAAAAATTATTCATTTATTGCATGTGCATACATAGAACACGGTCCGCTGGAATTCTGATATGATTGTAAGGTCACGCACTTCCATCTTTCTGCGGAAAATGCAAATTAATTTCAAATACTATTTAAGTCCCTAGTGTTCATATATTTACACATATATTGAAATTCACTTAATATCCATCTTTCTCAGTATTTTTTTAATCTAAAAGAAAAACCATATTTATTTTCCTTATATTGTGCTTGATCGTTGAGAAACTGCAACATAACGACCGAACATATAAACACTGAAACTTACAATGAAACATATTAGGCACGTCCCAAACCTACACTTTACACGAGCCAAATATTTTTACCATATTCCGTTGGTGACCTTAACAGGGCTCGTCCATATTGTTGACTGAGGGGGGCGGATAAACCCGTCCATATTTTCTTGACTCCTAAGCGCATGACGAGGCATATCAATTTTTAAGATCAGGTGATGGGCCATTTGATTGATTGCGTTGAAGTTAGGAAATTTTTTTGCATAAATTCAGTGCACCCAAAGTGGACGCACTTAGTTAATCAAGTTATAGACATTTCCTTAATTGACTATGATGGTTACGCATTTTAATCAGGTATCAATAATTTATCGACCTATTGCACCTAGCTTGACAGTTACATGCACCAAATTTAGGCCAGAATCTCCCAAATTGAGAAACGCTGACATGTCGAATTGGTCCATATCCATAAAAGCCCTTGACAGTGGGAGCGAAAATTCGAATCTGAATTCTGATGTAATCTTTAGATGAGGCAATGAATGTAACATTACTATGTCTGAAGAACCTTCTCAAAACTGTCCAGTAATATATCATGTAATTTCCATCTAGCAACATAGAGCATATAAAAACGAAACAAAGTATCACAGAACTCAACCAAATAGAGATTTTAAAGAACTCATAACTATAAAGATGACTTGAACATTATCACGCCCCAGACAATAAACAAAACGGCAGATGAAACTGTCATACCTGATTACAACACGTTGCATATAAATACAACGGCTTATTAATTTGGACATGTATGTACACCATTACTTAAAACTACACAACTGTCATACCCGTCAAATTTCTGACCTTAACTACAGAAGACAAGAAACAAAATATATTAGAATTGCAAAGCCTAACAGGCTAATACACAAAGTGAGCCAGTCTCTATGGTGGATAAGAGTATATCCACCCTTCATTTAATTATAAGTGCATTATGATATTAACTCACTAAAACTTTAGGGTGAGTACACTTTTGCTTGCACATTTTAGAGACACTCACTTTACAGGAGTCTTTTCCCTAATTGAAGAGTATGTGCATAGAAACCTAAACCCAAAAGGCAAACATACTTTACCTTCTACATCAGTCTTTGATTGCTTGCATTGTACATCTGTTTACTCGTCTTCCATTAAACCAAGAATATGATAGGCACTTAGTAGCGGCAAGATTGTTATAACAAAAGTGGATGTGTAATGATCTTAAAGCATTATGCGGAACACAAGGAAGCCCTTTGTTTTGACAGTAACTCCTTTAGTTTCTTTATAAGCTGCGGATCGGAGCCCATATAGTCCTGGAAGGGCTTCTTCAAGTCCTGCAGCAACCCTTTATCGTTGTCGTGGGGGTATTGGTTTAGCATCTTAGTGAAGAAAGTCTTCCAGAGCTCAACATTCCAATAACTGTTTGATTCCACAAGCAAAATATCAGAATGAAAAAGGAAGTTGAAAATAAAAGGAATGGTGAAAAGCACTTCAGTTCTGGGCTTCTGGCATTAAAGTTTCCAAATTGATTTTTCAGTAACTGGAAAACTGGAAACAGAACAATTTTTCATATCCTTTATAACAAATCACAGCGCTAAACAAACGTAACAATTGCATACAAAATAGAATGAGGAATATACCGTTTAAAGGGTAGTCTAGGAAGATACACATAACTCCCATCAGATTGCTCTTTTTTGACAATTTCCATATAGGTATTATGCAACATCATATGGACAATAGCACAAAGCCCGTATGCGTCTACCTGTTGGCAGTGATAGAGAAGTTGAAATTTAAAGGCGGTAAATAATGAGCTTCATTGCATTTGTTGTGTAATTTAAGAAGTGACTTGCCTGAAATTTCCATGGCTTATCCTCCTGCATCTCAATGCAGCGAAAACCAGAAGTTCTGCAATCTCCCTTAAATAGCGTTTGATCTGGAAAGAGATGCAGATCAATCCCTCTTCCCCAGTCAACAAGGCAAAGACCCTGCAGATAAAATATATGTACTGATTAATAATGAAACCAACAAAAATAACTCAATGTATCATTGGGATAAAAACTTACCTGATCGCACCATGTACCACTTCGGTCCAAGAACCCATCTTCTGTAAGGTTACCCCTGAAAAATAGCAAGACATGTAATGAGCACCATCCACAAATGCAAATCATGTAAGCAACTGGACACAATGCATGGTTATTAGAGGAAGCATTGCTCATCATGCAATGCGCATTAAGCAATAAACTTTCAGGCATTTGCAAGCAGGTTCTGTTGGTGAATATAGGAAGTTATATTTATATAAATGATTATGCTTTCACTCCAGCAGATGATGCTTTTGTACTTTCAGAGGAACTTTGTAAACCCCACATTCTTAGATTCAAAAGTATAAAATAACAAGAGAGGTGCAACTAATGGATTGAAAATATCCCTACTTTAGATACATTAGTCATACCCTCATAAATTAAGAATGGGGAAACAGCTTTACAATTAGTCATACAAGGTACAAACAAACAAAGGAAAGCAAAAAATGGATAACTTGAGAAGAATGGGAAAATTTTGAAGTATTATAATTCTGATTGTACAAAGCATGAACCACAACAATGCTTAAATTTACCTAGCATAGCGAATTAGCAGATTATCAGGCTTGAAATCACCATGAATCAAGCCAACATTGTGCAAAGTTTCAACCATGCGTAACATTTCTATTGTGTAATAAATGCATAACACTTCTTCCATGGATTTTCCTATGACAACATATGAGTTTACGACATCCTGCATAGTATTTTCAGTAGACAATTAATACCAAAGGATACAGAAGATACTAAGGAAAATCAAAGGAAATAAAATAGCTGACCTGTAGCGTTCCATTAGCTAAATAGTCACAGATGAGTATGCTACAGTCAGAATAGAGATGAATTCCATGAGCAAAACCATAATTTGACCTCTGGTAAAGCATGATGTCAAAGAACTCAGAATAAGCAGATGTTCATAGAAAAGGAAGGTCGCTGGTATTGATGATGTCAGCATAGTGGCATACCTCTCTATCTGAGATGTGATGATCAAGCTGACGATACATGTAAAATTCCCATGGGAAAGCTGGCTTTTGCATCTGCCATTTAAGGTTCAAAATAAAATCTAATGAGCCAATAGGTTTACCTTTTATAGAAAAATGATTTGAACAGTCATCATCCATCACCTTTAGTGCAACCACATCATCAGAATCACCGTTAACATATGCCTTATATACTTGCGCAAAACCACCCTGCCCAGCACAGCCCTTGATATGGTACTTCATTCCACCTTTAATGTCATGATAAGTACAAACAAGAGAAATAGAGCAGTTAGTAATAAAATAAAGTGAAGCCACCATACAAGAAAGCAGCGTATAGAGAAATAAGTAAATAAATAAACCTAATTCTCGTAGAAACTGCTCTGAAACATGATTAATTACAGAAGACAAGCTACAAAAACTGGAGAGATGTAACGAATTCATTCAACAAGATCATCAGTCAGACAACTACATTCAGATTTTGACTGAAACACTATTTTTGTCCTCCAAACTCCAAACATTCAGGGTAGGATACATTAGTCCCTGAAAGATGAATATGTCCTTCAACAGTGACTAATGTGACCGATGCCAAATTTTTCAAGGACGAAAATGGTATTTTACTCTCAGATTTCTGATAATAAATATGATTAAAACTTAAGAGTGTACAACCTATCTCTATAACTTTTTTCCTTGATGAATTCTTGGAAGTAGATAAGGCCACTTTTCCTGTGTAAGCTTTAGTGCTCGAATGATACCCCTGAAGTGAGTTTAAAGAAGCATAAGCGAACTGAATCTTTGTCAGGTGTGATAAATCAAAACATGTATGTCGATAACAAAAGTTTAAAACATCTCACATCAAATTTCACAATTAAAGGATATATCTTCTTCAACAGGCTATCCATGGTGGTGGAGTCCCAAGGATTAATGCCGTTATTTTCCAATTTCGTGGATTCTTTAAAATCAACCTAAAACCAGAAATTATATAAGAATTCTTAAATTAGTGGTTAGAAGTATCAAGATTGAACAGATATAAGAGACAGACAAAGACCATAGAGAATAACAGTAAATAAAATTTGGCTTAATTTGTTTAATTGTAAGGCAATGTTCCAATATGCATACCTCCTGACTCGAAGCAGCATTCCATATTTCAGAAATTCTATCAAGAAACAAGGTCTGCGCCTTCTTCAACCACTCAATTGGCTCTGCTTTCCTATCGAACATTGACTCAAAAATAAAATCAAAATTAATTCTTTTTATTATTTCAACTTGCAATGTCAACAACACCAACCTCGAAATGCCAAGCTTGTAGATGGTGAGGGCATCACGCAATCTTCCCTTCAACTCAAAAAAACTTGCAGACCACACATAAAGCGAAGAATTGTTGGCACATACATTACAGCTCAGCATTTCTTTGAAAACACCATCAAAATCCGCACTAACTCCCATCTGCACAAAAAAACCAACCGAACCAAGTTAGGCCTTCCAAAGTCTCTCAAAGCAACAACATTCATTCCACATCACATCATCGCTCGCAAACCGTTCAAACAATTAACATAGTCTGATACTTAGTAACATAGTCGTCACATGCATGCAACACAAGTTGTTATGTTAGTTGCAATGTCAGTTAGATTAATGCATTAAACTACTGTAATTATTAGCAGCATTAACCACTGTTACATTTCGAATTGTTAAAAATTTTATATACGCATACCCTAGGGCATGAGTTCAGCATCAATGAAACCATTTTCTTTCGTAGAAAGAGTAAGAGCGAAGGTTACATAGAGGAGCCAAATCTTGAGAAATCTGACGTCGTTTCGGTACCGGTCATTGCTCTTGAAGTTTCTGATGCAATCTCTGAGTAAATTACAGAGATTCAGAGCAGAATTGTTAGAAGCTTCTAGGGCTTTTCTGATAGACCTGAATTCACAAAATGCGGAAAAATGATGAGATTGGGAAACTTCGTGTGTGAGCGAGAGTGTGAGAGAGAAAGAGAAGAACCAGAGAAATGGTAAGAGAGGATCGTGGTGAGCGTCGACGGCGATTCTGAACGTAGGTGAATGGCTAAGCGTGGCCATTGAGTTGGAATCTGAGAACAGAGAAGGGAAGCGCGGAAACTGCACCATTTTGAATCTACCTGTTCTTTGTTTTTTATTTCAAAAAATTGTGTTTGGAGCCCCATGATTGGGATGCTCTTCCCTTTAAATTTACATTTAATAACTTTTTTTAAAAATATTAACATTTTATTAAAAATAAAATAAGAGGTATTTTAATTTGTTATATCTATGTAAAAAATTAATAATATATATCAAGAGGTAATTAATCTAATTTACATGTATATACAATTAATTGAGTGTAAGAATTTTTAAATTTATATTCATGTGAAGATTATTATTATTATTATATATATATATATATATATATATATATAGAGTATAAATTTTTAAATAAGAGTATTTTTTAAAAAAGTTTAAATAAAAATATTTTTTGAAATTAATTTTTTATTATTATTACATTGAGTAATATTTTTAATATTAAATATTTATTTTTGTAATTTAATATTTATTTAAAATCTGAATTTGTTATAATTTTTTAATTATTTATTTTTAAAATTCATTTTAATTTAATAATACTTGTAAAAATTATAAAAAATTACTAGTTCATATAATTTATATTTAATATATACAATTAAAGTAAAAGTACAATCACTACTACAAAAAATTGTTTTTAACATAGGTTAAAAACAACATTTAAGTTTAGACACAATTAACTTAGAAAGTCAACAAAATTTTACAAATTTTTTACATTTTTTATATAATTGATGTAAAAAATTCCAACTTTCAATGCCAATTATAAATAATTAATTTAAAAAGTGTTATCATATGTCAATAATATTAATGTAAAATATATTTTTATTTACCAATAGTAAACAAATTTTTAATGGTCTCAATTCTTTGTTAACATTCATAAATATTTACCTAATATTTAATTTTCTTTTCCTTGTCAATGAAAATTATGATGTATTCATTTTCAATTTTTGTTAAGTCTATAAAAAAAAATATATAATATTCTTTAATGTTATATACCAATGGATTAATAAAGAAATGACACAAAATAAAACAAGATAAAATTATTGACATACTTGATAAGAATTTTTGTTTGTCAATGTTACAACAAAAGACATTAAGAGAAGATTGAAAATATGAGTAAAAGTTAATGTTCATCATTTTTAATTTATATTATGTTGCTAAACGCGCGTGTTTCCCAAAAATCATGTTGCAAACAATTTAAAAAAATAATATTTAATAAAATTAAACATTTCACTAATATTTAATATATAAAATAATATTATTCCTCATATTATTGTAAACTATACTATTACAATTATTTTTTATTTCTTTTTTATACTGAATTTCACATATACTTAGTAATGTTTCGTATAAATTTTCAGATAAACATATATTAGTATTAAATCATCCAAACACTTTAATCTCATGAAAGTATTGTAATGTAAAAATAGTTGGTGTACCTCTTTATCTTTGACACATTTAATGATTATGATGTTTTATATTTAGTTTATCTTATATTTTATAATAGGAAATGCATTTTGGTGTTTTAATATATTGTTGAAAGGATTAGCAAAAAAATATATATATATATTGTTGAAAGGAAATTTTAGAAACATACAGCATTAAGTTAAAAAAAAAAGAAAGTGTTAAACATGGTATTACCGACCTAATGTGAAAGACTTGGAGCCACGTTAAGGGAGAGAGATACACAATAGATGTTCGCAAAAACAAAAAAATAAAATATCTATACAGTTATTTTATTTGATCTTTTAACAATAAAAAAAATTAAATTGTTATTGATCGATGCTGATTACTGATTAAAAAATGAATAAATAATAAATTTTATTTAAAAAATGTATGGAGATGTAATAAGAATTGTGAAAGTGGGCTATTTTTATACTTTTTAATAAAAACAAATTTTTAATTAGTGTCTTGAAAAATTTGTTATATTTTAAAAACATATAAAAAAACAGAGAGAAAGGTGTAAAATAATATGATGAATGTAGTAATGAATATTAATTTCAACAATTTAATATATAAGTAATATAATTATTATGATGTTGATATTCACGTTTATATTCCCAGAAATTTGTACGTAGGTAACTATAATTTAATGAAAATGCCTTGTTCATTTTCAGTAATTTTTATGATCTTTCATTGAGTATAAGTTTAATTGTTATATCTACTTTTGCAATATGCTGATGTTATGTTAATTAATATTATTTTTATATTTATTTATCTATTTCAAAAATACAATTATTTATTTATGCAAAATTTTAAAATAGTATTAATTGTTATACTTTTATTAAAATGTTTTTATATGTATTTTAAGTATATTATTTTGTTTTTTTATATTTTATTAATATAAATTTGTATACATTATCAGGCATTTAAAGTAACTATGAAATAACAAAGTAGTAAAAGTTACAGAAAGATAATACTAAAAAAATTGATTTGAGATGATTTTTAAAGGTGTTTTGTTTAAGAATGAAAAATTATATTTAATATACTAACTTGATTATTTTATTGTACGCCTACTATTAAATTAAAATAGTTTTTAAAATAAACAAATAAAGATACTCGCTTGATTATTTTAAAAAAATATTAAATTAAATTAATAAAAATTACATACACTCTTACATTATTTAATTTGTTTTATTAGATAATTTTAAATTAAAATTAACATTTAGATTAATTTTTTTATCATATAAAATATTTATGAAATATTTTAAATAAGTGAAAATTTATTATTGTCTCGTTTCGTGTACACCATACAAGAAATGTTTCATGTTTAAGTGTGATAAAAATGTATAATTTAATAAATAAATTGTTTTGTACAAGTAAAATTAAATTTTTGTTGTAATAAATTGCAAGTAAAATTATAAAATATAAAATTTTATTTAAAAATTATAAAAAAATATATTTTCTAAGATATATTTTATGATGAAATTATGTTTTAAAAATAATCTTGATGACAAATAAGATTTGTAAACTATTTTGTTTTTCAAAAGTAATAAAATTAATTTTTAAAAAATTGTCACTTTTGTCAAAATAAGAATTTGAACTTAAAAAAATAGTATAATAAGTCATTGATATAGACTTATCACAACCTATTAATTAACAAAAATTGAAAATTAAATAAATTATAATAAACTATTATTATATGTTGTCATTTTATCTTGACAATCAACTTAAATTAATTAAAATAACTAAAGGAAAGGATATAATAACTCAATCTTACAGACTTGTTATGATATCATGTTGATTAACAAATATTAGATATTTTTCATAAAAAAAAGCACTTGATATTTAAATAGAATTGAAAATGTTTTCCTATTATATGTTCTTATTTTATCCCCTAAATTTCCCAAATGAATAATATTTTAATTAATTAAGAATAAAAATATTTATATTAACAATACATTAATTTTTTCTTTTAAACAAAATTATTCTAACTGTTCAGACAAACTTTAAAAATCAAGACAACAAATTAAATACAAAATAACAATTTGTAGTAAAAAAAAAAAAAAAACCTTTTCCTCAGACGAAACACCTCTATATAACTTAACCCACGTAAAAATCACCAAACACATCGAGCAACCCACAAAACGAAAGCCATCGACACCAAAATCGCGAATCTCATTCTCTTCCTTCTCTTTGGTATTGCTGATCCTTCTCTCGCTCTTCTCACCAACACCGCCACAGAGAGAGAGAGAGTGATTGAACCAGCAGTAGCAATGCCCGCTCAGAAGCGTTCCTTCAATGACTCTCTCCACGATCACCACCGTCACGCCAAGCAACACCAACAGGAAGAGGAAGAACCACAGCAAGAAGAAGAAGAAGAAGAAGAGAACAATAAATCAGAGGGTTAGGTTACTTATTACACGCTTTTACTTATTATTCCGTCTAGAATCTCCTTTCTCATTCTTCTTCTCACCTCTCTTACTTTCTCTTCTCAGATTCTGACCACACCCCTTCTTCTGCCTCTCAAGACAAATCCGAGTACTATCTCTCTCTATGTGTATTTATATATATCGCATGATATGCATTACTTATTAAGTTCTGTTTCCTGTGTCGTTTTGATCGTGTTGGTCGTACTGGGAATTGTTTTTGTTCTCGCTTCAAGGGCGATGCGACGCTAGTAGCTCGTGTCGTTTGAGCTATGAGGCTTGCGTTTTCTGAATTCCCCCAATTGGATTCGTTATGTGTCGTTTGCATGTTCTTCTTCGTGCTTGTTACACCTTCGTTTGTGTTTTTTGGCGTGGGTTTTTGTTATTGGGTCCTATCTATGAATCCTACATTTTTAGTGTGTTTTTGCTTAGCGATATAAGCGAAAATCATTTAGCACTGAAGATCTCCTTCATAGTGCGGATTGTGGAGGATCATAGGATAAGTTTTTGGACTCTTTTTTCTACCTTAAGCAAAGTATCATTTGTGAGTTTGCATGAAGTTCTGGATTTGTGATAAAAAAAAAGTGGTTATACTTGTGTGAGGGAGTTGTTTATTTTTGTTTTTATAGCAGGTTATACACTTAATACTATTGGATCCATCACTAGAATGGTTTTGGTCACATCCTTCGTGATCTCTTAGTTTTTACTACAAAGAATTGCATGATGATTTTGTTATTGTTACCCTCCCCTTTTAGTCGAGTGAGGAAAAAAATTAAATCAACGGATAGATCGATCCACAAGCTGTTAGATATTTTAAATTATGTGGGTGGGTCTTCATACTGCATGGAAAGTGATAATTCCCAATATAATGGTGCTATGCTGTGGTTGATGACATCTATGAGAGGCAGAATCAATATCTGTCACTAAAATTAAGTTTCAGAATTTCGAAGTTCTTAGTTGCAAGGAGGTCAGTTTTTCCTAATACAATTGTAGTATAATGACAACGGTATTGTTGTCATCTTCTTTTGGGTCGGAACTTTGAAGCAGAGAAAGATATTTTTCATTTGAATTTTAAGTTTTTTTCCCATCATTGACTTACTATAAAAGTGTATTCAATATCTGGAATTCTTTATTCATAATCGTTAACATTCTTCTTCAAAGGATTGCTTGCATCATTTCCTTTAAAGGGTAAAAATGTCACCAATAATTTACAATTGGAAGTAATCAAATATCTCAAATAAAAAGTTGATACCATGGGTATCTGCAAGACTGCAACTTAAGTTTGAAAACTGCATTTCGGCTCCTTCTGGCTACAAGCATATAGCAACTTAATGTGTTTTTCCTATAGAGCTTATAAATTAAAGGCTTATGCTCTTGTTTTATTTACAGATTTGTGTTTGTAGAACTTCTGGAAATTCGTAAAGAGGTCCAATGTCCAATTTGCCTTGGTATGTGTTTGTTTTATCTTGTTGGATGATTCATGGTTTAACTCTGCAATTAAATTATAAGTGATTTTTATTTTGCTAGTATTGGCGCATTTTCTAAACTTACATTCCCTATGTTCCGTTTTACTCCTGCTTAGTTGGAAACCATGTGTTTTCAAAGTTTTTCCCCACAACTAGTTTATCATTTATTTTCTCTCTCAACCCTCACACTAATACTATGTCATTTGATAAAAGCTTACACTGTAGCATTTGCTCTTGGATATGTTTGATAAGCACATACAAACCAAGGTAAAAAGAGGCTTAGAGTTGACCCTTCTTGTATATTATAAATAAGAGATCAGTATGCAAGCCTCAACAAACAATTTCTATCAACACTCTCGGTTTCAACATTGCTATCTTTTTTGCACAATGTTCCTTTAAAGTTTTATTTAGTGTGTCTGTCAGCACACGCATGTGTGTGTGTGTGTTGCAGAAATGGATGTCACTTTATGGGTCGTCTGGATAAGCTTTGAGAAAAACCATTTTTCTCACAGCTTTTTTTTACTTTTTTGGGGGGGACAAATGTATTCAATTTTCTTAAATTTTTTCATCAATTTTTTTTCTTGAAAAAGCAAAGCAAGTGCACAATATATCACTTTAGAAAGGATTATGTTCAAGCTGTTGAAACTCGAAACAAATTGATGGTCAATATATATTCCATTTTAGTAAATTCTGTGGTGCATGCCAATTGGCTGTTTGGTGGCAGTGGTTCTTGATGGTAAATATATATTCCTTTTTAAGTAAATTATGTGGTGCCTGCCAATTGGCTGTTCTGGTGGCAGTGGTTCGTCTGGTTCACAACTGTTTAGTATGGTTTCTAAACAATCTGATTTAAACATTAGTGACACTTATAAATTATGTGTACCTCCTAAATCTACAACTCAATAAACAGAGGAACGTTGTCACACATTTTGGACAAGATGTGAATGACTTGAAGTGAGTTAGATGTAATGATGAAAATGTATCTGTATTTAGACAGGACCATGTTTCATTGTTAGAATCAGTTTGCTAGGGTCATGTAATTCAGGAACTCCTAACTTTCTTCCTACTTCAGTCTGAGCTGGATGAAAATGACTTAATAGAAAAGGTAAATAAAGGGATAATGAAAATTCACTTGAGGTGGTTTGGTCTCTTTTGAAATATTAATCAATACAGGCTCCAAAGAGAATAATGGACTGAATAGCATATAATCTGATTAAAAGGGGGTTAAGAGGGGGTAACAAAAGACCTAATGAAACGTTAGGAGGAACCATTTTGTAAAACTTATCTGAATGGTTTTAGTGGAAATTCAGTTTTTGATAGATCCCAATACCTGTCATCAATTCTCCTAGCATACTTGATTGATGTTATTGACGACTGTTACATTATCAATGAAAAGGACAAAAGGTGGGTTAAACTGTTAGGGTGAAAGTTGACTTCAAAGTGAAGCTACAATGGAAAGGTTAAAAAATTAGCATAGTGTTGACTTCTCCATTGTGCATAGACATAGTAAAATGCAATGTTTTATACACGAGATAATTCATGTTTAAAAATGAGCATGAGTCATCATAGACATAGTAAAATGCAATGTTTAAAAATTGAACTGGTAATTAAATCGGTGAAAGTATTGGTCCAATGTTTAATGGTTTGACTATGATTGAACTGGGGTCAAACTGGTGGTTATTAAATAATAGTTTTTTATATTATATAATAAATTAAAATGACAAATTAGTGTAGAATTAAAAAGAAAAAACTTAATAAAAAATTTAAGTTATTGTAAAAGAATCATTTTGCAGTCTTTTGGAAAAGACTGGTTGAAACCAATTTTTTGGTACTGGTTCATATCTGTTTTTAACCGGTTCTTTACTCCACCTGTTTTCTGGGTGTTTCGGACCTGTGACTTAGGCAGTTCCTAGTCCAACTGGTTGTACAGCCAGTCTGGTCTGATTTTTAAATAAGGTAAAATGCTAAAATTTATCTATTATTGTGGTGTTTCAATCAGTATGGCTATAAAATTTTTAAAAATAAAAGTAAAAAAAAATTATAAAAACACAACTAAAAGTATTTGAAGGCTCATATAGTGTCCATCATGTATTTATATTTGACAAGGCTATGACATGATAGGACTGTCATTCAGAAGTGTCCATGCTACTTAGATTGGAGCAATCTTGGAATTAGAATTTGTCATGTAAATACAAAAGAATGATTACCCTTGCTGGCTGCTGCAGCTCAAGTTTATTAGCGATTATATGAATCTTTAAACTTCAATTGAATGCGAGGTGAAATAGAGAAAAATATATATAAGGGAAAAAAAGAAGATAAGAAATAGAGTGAAAATATAATGAAATTTTTTTTATGTTTGGTTGAGTTGAATAAAAAGGAAGGAAATAATAGAAAAGAGAATGAAAAGAAATAAATAAATTGTATTAAAAATTAAAATAATTTCTTCCCTGCTATTTCTTACACATCCAAACACATCCTCTTCTCCATTTTACCTTCTTTCCTTCCCTTCCCTCTTCCTTTCCTCCCATCCAAATAGAGTGTTAGTAGTGATTACACCTATCTCTTGGAATCCATATTACTGTGCTTAATTGAGCTTTTAAAACATAAAATATCCAAAAGATTGAAGATCTCAACATTACCTGAATAGGTCAAAAATCAGAAACTCATTTCTATAAGAAAGGCATACAAATTTGTTTGGCATCGGCAATTTTATATACTCTGTTCACTGTACATGTGGTGTTTGTCCATTGCTTTTGGTACCAATAATCTTAGTTGTGATTTACTGGACAGTACTGGATTTTATCTTTGAAGGAAATTTTTTAAATCTGCAACTCATGTTATGCTTGAATTTTAACTCTGAAAAAATGACCAAGTATTTCTGATGCATACTCAAACAGGTATTATTAAGAAAACACGGACTGTTATGGAATGCTTGCACCGGTTTTGCAGGGAATGCATTGACAAGTCAATGCGACTAGGGTAGGTCACATGACTTGAAGCTATTCCAGGCCTTTCTTTTATTTAATTAATATGCTGCTAATATTTTCAACTAAGTCTTCATCTTGCCTATTTTTTTTGTTTATCAGAAAAGCCACTGTTGTAATGTCTATATGCAGTCAGATTTATCATTTATGTGTAATCTCAGGAACAATGAATGCCCTGCTTGTCGTACGCACTGTGCTAGTCGTCGTTCTTTGAGAGATGATCCAAACTATGATGCCCTAATTGCAGCTTTATATCCAGATATTGAGAAGTATGAGAAAGAGGTAAAAGTCAACTTGTTTATTTCTTAATATTTAACAGAGTATACATAAACTTCCACTATATTTAACTAGTCACACACACTCACTGCAGGAGCTTGAGTTTCGTGAAGAGGACAAGAACCGCAATATGCTGGTGAGTACTTCTTGAGTAACCATTTTTAGGTATGCTTCAGCTTTCAGATGTATCATGTAAAATAGTCACTAATAAGGAAGATTTCATTGTCAATGTATGACTGACTGTATCACACTCCTGGATTACAATGGCTCTAATCATAGCCTTTATGGTGAAGGTTCATATTCTGCCATTGACAACCTTTTTATTTTTTTCTGGTTTTTTAAGCTGATTTGTTGACTACGTGCAAGGATAGCAAACCCCCAAATACCTACTTATCCATGAAGTTATATTTTGCTACTGTTCAGACTTATCCTCATTAATTTTAAATTTTATTGGTGGTCAACATTCTCTAAAATATCAAGTCTTGGCATATTCAAGAGTGCTTTTGTTCCTGGTTTGTCATTTAATAGCTTTTCTGGTAGATTCAGGCTTCAATTGCAAGAGTTGTTGAACGACAATCTGAAGCACTGGTTAAGAGACGTAGAGATACACCAGGTTCCTTTGTGACAAGATCACGCCGCAATCAACGAAATGTTCTCTCTAGGAGACCAAACCAAGTGATTGATAATCAAGGATCTGAAGATAACGAGGAGGAAAACAATAATGAAAAGGACTCATCTTCCGCAGAGGAGCGATGCACAGAATTCAGGCAGAGAACGCGGAAGAGGCGGACCAGAGGTCACCCTTCTCATCCCTCATCATCAACTGCTAGTCCTGATGGTGGATGCATGGAAAGTGATATGGATATAAGTCGAGAAAATCAAGGAATTTCTTCTAGGCAGATGCCAAAACCTCAAAAGCTAACATGGGGAAGGGGCGGTTTTAGAAGTCACACACGGCATGGCAGTAGCAATGGTAGCAATAGCAAAAGTGCTCGCAGTAGTCGCTTGGCTAAGTTGGTTGATTATCTCCGTAACTTGGATGAAAACGCTGATGAGGTATATAGGTTACTGCTGAATGATTCTTTAATAATGAATCTATTCTGTTTTCAGTTCGGTTCATTTATAGATGCTATATTTATCTGTGCAGTTTGGTGTCCATCTCATGCTCTTGTCTTTGGACAAACAAAGTACACCAAATTTGCAGAAACCACACCTTATCTGTCGGCCAACATTGTCTGTGAAGCACCTTTGTGAAGTGAGATTCTCTTTGATCACTTGTTTCTAGCAATGATAAGTTGTGGTCAAGTTGATTTTAATGTTGTGACTGACTTTATCGCTTCACCTTTGCTAGCTGAATTTGTTGATATAGGCAATCAAAGAAGGCTTCATTGTAAATTTAAGTTGTTGTGACTGATCGCTTCACATTTTAATGATGAGCCTTAACGATGATTTTCTAATATTTTTATTAATCCTTTTTCTTTCCTCATAGTATGTTGCTAGTCAGACGCCTCTGCCAGTTGAAGAAGTTGAGATATTGGCAGTTAAAGGATGCAACAGTACATTTTGTAACAAGTCAGTTGATGAGGCTTCATCATTCTCTGATGAGCTAACAACGCTGGTTATAGATCCTAGCAAAGATGAACTGGAAACTTTGCAAGGGCATGAATCTTTGGCAGGGCTTAAATCCAAAAGCATATCTAAAAAGGAGCATTTGGTGAGTATTACGATGTGTCTTTTTCCCAAAACTATTATGGGTAGCTCAAGTGATGACTTGATTTTATCTTTTTTCTGCTGCTTCAGATTCTGGCATACAGGCGGAAGGAATGAGCTCACAGTTTTGAAATTTATGAATGCCAAGACTTCTGTATAGGAAAATTTTCAGCTAAAAAACTATATATAAACTAATAGTTTGAACATCCCGAAAAGGTATAGACAGTTTTGATGTCAGAACTTGCTCCCTATGTGTACATAGGAAAAAGTTTCATCCCAAAAACTACAGTTATTTCTTTCTCTCTCCAAGAGTAAATCTACAAGTCTCTATATAAAAATATATGCCCAGAGAGCATCAACATTGTTCTCTACGGAAAAATTGAGTTTTACGGTTCCAGATTTTTTTTCAGTCTTGCCAAGTAAATCTCTCTCTCTCGAGATATTTTAGCGGAAAGAGTTAAAAAAAATTACATTAGCATTATTGATGATGATAACACTGAATAACACTGAATATTAACTCACCGTACCATATTTAAATTAGCACTATTGATCTACCTAAAAAACAAATAGCACTATTAATGATATCACACTGTATTATGGCTTTGCTTACAATACAGATGCCATTATCTTGTTTTAGAAAAATTTACATCAAAGAATTGAGATTTGATAATGAACTACTACAGACTACAGAGACACCCAGGGAGATGTCAAGGATTCAAGAGTTCTTGAACACCGATCACAAGTTGGAATTGAAAAACTTGAGTTCATCTCATGTTAGCGGCAGGACTCGAGATTACGGTTCCATTGAATACCTTTCGTCTCTCCTTTCTATGGACTACACGCAACTTTGGTGACTTGGGTTTCGTCGTGTCCTTCGAAGACCTAAATGCAACATGATGTGAAGATGTATAAGCATCTAAAAAGAAATAAAATAAAAGTAAGTCTAATTCGGTAAACTCATACTTTTGAGGATAAAACGGATGATCAAAATTGGGAACTGGTCTAGCATGAGGCACCATCGTCCTTCTCAACTGTTTCAATGCTTTCTCTTCCTCTATCTGCTTGTTCGTGTTCACAAATTATTATTGTCAAACCATGCAACTAATTTTATTCTCAGATCACAATCAAATTGCATGTTCAAATAAGGGTATCGTACCATTCTTGCTGCTTCACTCTCCTCTCTGTACCGCTTGTACATCATCTCTTTTTCCTTAATCTGTACAAAAAAATGGAGTAGATAAATAATTTTCTGATTTTTCATCAGACTATCATGGCCTGATTCTTTACACAGTAAAATAAACAAAAATGTGGATTTTTTAAGTTACCCTTTCATCAAATTGAGCTCTATCCACAGCCCGATGATTCACGTGTAACTTAAACTCCTCAACTTGTGTGAGAGGTTTGCGGACCTTTTCTGGAACGGGGATTGGGTCCCTGCATTAAATAACATCCACGGAGGAAACAAAAAGGAATTGGTTTTCATCTAACAATGTACACGCACGTTACGTTAAAAAAAGAGTCTTATTTTTGCTCACTCTTTTAAGATTGGTTGAGCCTTAAACTCTCTCATCTGAGCCTCTTCTTCTTCCATTCTAAGTCTTTCTTCCAGTTCCCTTTGCATTTCTTCCTCATGTCTCACTAGGCTCTCCAATTGGAATGGCTCTGGTTTTGTGCATTCCTTGGGTTCAGGTTTTGGTGGAATCTGCATATATTATTATATCACTAACTTGAAAAAAAATTTCAATTATCAGATAGAGACAAAAATAAAAACCACCAAATTGACAAATTTGTGTACCACAGGGTAATCAGTGGTATAAGGGTATGGATTAGCCTTGGGAATCCTTGCATTTTCCTCTTCCCACTGTTTATGCAGAAGTTCCATGATCAGTTTCTTCTCTTTCTCAGCACCTCTTTCCTGCCATACACGATTAAGAATGTTGGCATTGTTAATAGCAGAACTAGACCAAAACACTGCACTGCATGAACCCCTTCAACAAAGGGAAAAAGTAATGAACCTCTGTGTGGAGATGAAATGGATTTGGTATTGTGTTTCTTGGAAGTGGGTTGTGGTCACGTGCAGGTTCAGACTTCAAAGATAGCTGCAAACCCAGAAAAACCAATGACTACAGAATTTACAATCTTCTTTTTATATTCTAGATTGTTGAATCATTTTCATGAGCAGATATTTAATTCTAGATTACCTTGCCAAATAAATCAGCCACAGTAGCAGGTGGGGGAATCCTCTCATTTGTGGCAAAGTGAAATTCTTGAGGCTCGGTAACATGTTTCTTGGTATGGCAGAATACTCCAATATCCCCTTTACTTTCAAAGATCTGAAAGAATTAAACTTGTAGGTTAAATGATAAAATAAAATTTAAAATTTGGTAAACATCTCTCAGTTGGCACAACTACCTTCTTATTTAGAGGTTTTGCCTTGAACTTAGGGATCTTTTCAAGCTCCTCTTGCTCTAATTCTAATGAGCTTTTCACCTTGGGTGGACGGGCTCTTAGTGACGTTTGGAGTACCGGTGTTTTAGGTTCTGTAAGATGAGGAAGCTTCCATGAATTTTCCTGTTTCAAAAAGAAAACAATGTCACTAATGGATCGAAGGGAATAAAAATGACTACTGTTGTTGCCAAAATATACCTTTTGAGATACCTCTGTTGAAGCTATTGAAGCTGAATCTGCATTTGGATGGGCCCTAGCTGAGGTTTCCAGATGAAATTCCTGAAAAAAATAAAAAAAACCTCAATAATTCAACATATCACATTCATCACTTGTAAATATACATTTTTTTTGTTCATTATAACAATCCTCTATTTTTAATGACGGGGGTTTACCTTAAAATCTGGTGGCTGTGGTGTACTTCTGGGAATGGGAGGCAAAGTTGCAGTTTGCAAAATCTACATCATATAATCATAATACAAAAAACAAACATAAATCTTCGCCCATATCAAACAGCAATCAGGCAGGAGAGAAGAGTGAAATAATATACCTTCTTATTCAATGGTCGAGCCTTGAATTTTGGCATTTTGGCCATCATTTCTTCCTCAAGTTCAGCACTACTCTTCACCCTAGCTGGGCGAACCCGCTGAGTTGTCTCAAATTCAGGTTCCTTAGGCCTGGTCAATGTGAGTTTTGGTTTCGTCTGGATCAAGGAACCATTATGAATATTTAGTAAAAAGGTATTCAAAGAATGTATAATAGAAAAAGATAGATGGAGAGGGAGTAAAAAAGTGAATGGTGTCTATATAATATATTACATGAGAAACAGTGCTGGGCAATGACAGGTCTCTCGTACTAGACTGGAATCTTTTCATCATTTCTGCCATTGATACAAATGGTACAGATGCTGGTGTTGTTGGTGTTTCACGAACATAAACCTTAATACAAAAAGTTCAATAAATATTCAATAAAAAAATCAGCTAAAGATTTGAAACAAAAGGGATCTGATTTGATATATGAAACTATGGGACGAAACAAACCTTTCTGTCCTCTTTGTAAGTTTTACTAGTGCTTGAAGACACGTTGCCAGTGGTTAAACCCAATTTTGACTTATTATGAGGCAAAGTTTGATGTTTGACATTCAGAATCTGGAAAGTTTTAAAAAAATATATGAATATGAATCAATTGACTTGAAAGCATAACAAACAGTGAAGACAAAAGTTACCTGTCTAGTTTTTCCTCCTTCCAATTTTTGCCTCTTAATAGCTTGATTCTCTTGGGCCAAGTGAGGAGTCCCCGCAATGTTCTTCTTGGTCCCCGACTGTAACTGAGCTTTTGTATTCGTGGCTATTTTCTTATTCTGTGGCTTCTTGGAATTCGTGGATGATGCCAAGACTTTTTTCTGCAATGTTGGATTTGGGGTGCAAGCATATTTTGCTACTTCAGCACAGGCTCTATCCTCTTTACAATCACTCTCACTTCTTTCCTTATCAGGGCAAGGAGCATCATCTTCCTTCGTTGTCATGCACTGTGGTTGTAGTAAGTTGGTTTCCAGAACTTTATCATCAACATTTTCTGACGTCTAGTAAAACAACAGATAATCAGTTAAAGGAATCAAAATAAACTGCATACATATTATCATCAAAATTTAAGTAACAGTACCTTTTGCATTTTGTCAGCTTCATCTTCCTTTATTTCAGTAGTCAGGCATGGAGGCATTTTGGTTTCCACAACCTTATCATCAGCATTAGCTAAAATCTAATTAAAGTTATTAAACAATAGGCAATCAGTTGAAGTAAACAAATTTAAAGTACATGTGTTATATGTACAATCAAAATTTAAGTAACGGACCTTCTGCATTTTGTCAGCTTCGCTAAAATCACACAAGCTATCTACGGTAATAGATCTAGCAGTCTTGATTTTAGGCATGAATGCTGCAACAATTCAAAAACCCAGAAAAATCAACCAAGTAATTCTTTCAAATACAACTAAGAACCGTGTCCGTGTCTCAAGCTCGAGACTTTGAATACTGTCTGACATAACATACAGAGGAAAAAACCTAATTATTTGAGACCAAGAATCATTCCCATTCACAGCCATAACACACGTAATTGAATCGTGTTAGTGGTGTAAAAAGAGTTTAATTTCAATTTCCTATAAAACAAATTACAGAGTTTGAATCTGAAGCCCAAGCACCGTACGAAAAACTTCAGCTTAAGCAAATAACATAGAACTACACGCAACTAAAGCTGAGAAGCTATTGAAAACAAAGCAACTCCATCATCCTGTACAACAGAGTACTTAAGTAGTAACTTCTGATACAGATACATTAACTCACGCCATAATAGCATCAATTGTGTCATTTTAACAGCATGAACCTTCATCATAAATGTCCTCCACTTTCATACAATTTCACATTGATCAAGGACACGTGTATCAAAACCTAACTTTCTCCACTGCGCCAAAATTTCCAAACCATAGGCATAACACGCAAATCAGAATTTTCAAAGAAGAAAGACTACTTTCGTTCGATTCTAATTCCTAACCCTAAAAACCATTACAAATGGAAAGAAAGCAATTAATGTGGAATAAGAAAGAAACAAGTTTCGCGAGAGAAGAGAGGAACATACGAGAAGGAGCGTAGGATAGAGCGGTGTCGAACCAGAGCTCGGCCTTAAGAGTTTCCTCGTTGGATTCTCCTTTATTGAAATCGAAGAATCGCGGCGCCGAGAACTCATAACTCTCGTCGATCACAGTGCCTCCACCGGTTTCCTCTGCCACCGCCATTCAGAGTTCCGACTAGGGTTTCTGATTTGATGGTTTCCAAATAAAATTGGGAAATGAATGATTAATAAGAGAGGGAGAGAGAGCGTGTGTTATCAGTGCTACTGAGAAGAAGAGAAAGGAGTGTGTTTCTGTGTGAAATGTTCTGTCGAGTGTAACGGTTACTTCGCTAACGGTCAGAAATTTTTGAACTGTACCATCAAATGAACCGACTCCACTGCTTAGGTTCTTAACGGCTATTTCTCATGCGAGGCAGACAATGGACGCCTTCAAACGTGGTCGTTTTGGCTTTACCTGCATTTTTCACTAAGAAAATGTGTTAATATAAGGGCTTAGAGTTAAATTTATGAAATATTTGTTCGTATGAAATTTAGTTATTTAAAATAATATATTTTTAAAAAAATTTAAAAATAAATTGTATGCATACATAAATATATCAAATTTTAATTTACCCCTCAAGTAAACATAACATGCATTTAAATGTTAAATATCATGTGAAAATAACTAAAGCATAAATAGAGTTGTTCTAACTTAATTAACCATCTTAAGTTTAAGTTCTTAGAAACTTAATTGTATTAAGAATTCAAAAGATAATTTTTGTTTAAAAATATAAATAAGTTAGCTCATTCTTTAAAAAAATTTAAAAATTAACCCATATCAAGCTTAATGTTGTATTTAGTTTAGGTAGGAGTGAAAAAAAATTTAAAGTAGTCAATTTTTTTTTAAGGCTCAAAATGTTAACCTATAATAATAATAATAATAATAATAATAATAATAATAATAATAATAATAATAATTTATTGATTTTATATAGTGAAACATTGATTTTATTGTTAAAATTAAGTAAAAATGCATTTGATCTACTAAATGTGATTTCACAATTTAACCAAACAAGCCCTTAAAAAGGCTTTAGAAGAATTTGAAAAAGCTTGTGATTTGATTATAATTTTTAAACTTATTTTAATAAATTTTTTGAAATAACTTAATTATAATTTAGATATACATTAAAGTTTTTTACGTGTAAGTTTAAGGATGTATTTTTTTAATGAATTTAACTTTTGCTGTATATAGGATCCTTTTTTTTTAATTTATATACTATTGTAGAAATAAATAAATAATATTTTTATTAAATGTTATAATATTTAAAATATTAATACATTAAATTATATTTTATGATTTTTAATAAAAAAATTACTATATGTAGATTTTTATTATGGATAATAAAAAAAATTGAATAAAGTTACCTATTATATACAGCATGCCATATCGAGCTTACCAGGGTATGAAATCTAACCCCTATGAATCTGTAGCCGAATTCAGCATTGATTCAAAGGAAGATAGATACACAAGCAATTTGTCAATGCATTTAAGGGTATGGCAAAGGGTGTGGCCATTCAACTTGATATCTGTCGCATCAATTATCTCTGCCTAAAGTGTTACACACATCCAAAAACTGTGCATTCTCTCCATGCCTATATGTTTATTACAACGAAAAAGAAGATACAGATAAATAACAAGGTATTAGTTGTCATTCTGCATGATTCAGTGAATGGTGAACATGTATTCTTAATCAAAGTCAAAAATTAAGTCTCAGACAACCCATGCATGTTGAAGATCAGAGCTTTTAGCTTCGTATGTACGCTACTGATTGTGAGATAGATTAACTAGAGCAATAACTTGCAGGTGTAGAAATCAATGGATTCATAATTCTTTATTTCACTAACTCAGCTTTGGGCAAAACAGATTAAATATTTAATCACGGGTCTTGGTAATAAACATCTTAAAGTACTTAGTTTTAAAAATAATAAATAGTTTTTTAAAAAATTATTAAAATAGTATAATATTTTAATTTTTAATAAAAAAAGTTTTATTTTTTAATTTCTTAAGCAACTAATTATTATTTTCTTTTAACTATTTATTACTTTGCATACTAGTCAACGAAAAGAAAATAGTATTCATGTTCAATTTAATCTAAATACGCATGTTATCTTTATGAGATCTTTATCCTCTTGAGATCAAGTGAATTGTTTAAGAAGCAAGAAAAAATCTCTTGTTTGAATAATCTATTTTATTTTTATGTCACATGAAGTTTGATTATTGGAGAAGGTAAATGATTCATCAGGAAAAAACTAGTTTCAAATGCGTACGATACTAAATAATGTGTACACAGTGATTAAAATGTCTAGAAGCAAAAGTAGTAAGTTCTAGGCTCTAAGTCGTATAGTATCTCAAATCAATTAGGGAACAACTGTTTGAAAGACCCTCAACACCAAGTGTTTTAGTCTTGAGGTCAATTATCATACGATGTGTGATCATAGTTTTTAATTAATAAAAAATATTAAAATTTTAGCATATATTGCCCAATGGTTAGTCACAACTATGGAATCACTTAATTGGCATGATTTCACTGATAAGATTAGTGTTCGTTTACTTTAAAGTTAAATAAATCGAGAAAACGTTTTGACTTGTATCTAAAATTGAGTCTACTTAATTTCTAAATCAAAATAAAACATGAAAGAATCTACCAGCAGTGTCCTTATTATTTAATAATACCAAGAGAGAGAGAGAGAGAGAGAGAGAGAATCCATTTTCTATTTTACAAAACTGATTTTAATTATAATTGTGTTTGAGGTGAAATTGATATACATTTAAAAGCTTCTATTTCAAAAATTAAAACTTACTCAACACAAAAATCAAAATTTTATGTGTTGTTAGACAAGTGACTGTAATATAATGGCCATAGGACCTTTTTTGTTGTTGTTAGAATGGTCATAGAACTGATTTGGTAGTCCATGAGGTTTGATTATGAACTTTAGACCTTTTGGGTCTGACTTTAATTAAATATGAATCATTGAATTTTTTTATAATTGTTTTAAAAGATAAATTTATGATTTTTTCAATTGGTTAATAATAAAAAAATTTGTATACTAATAATCTCTTTTAAAAATTGGATTGACGATTGAATGACACTTAATTATAGTTTATTAATTTGATCATTATTAATTTAGGGTTTTATATATTAAATAACAAGTTAATGCAAAATAATTTAAAATTAAAAGTTAAGCATACTTTTGAATTGACGTAAAATGATCATATTATATTTTTTTTAGTAACAATTCATAAGTAAACTGATCTTTACAACTTAATATTATGTCTTTATTTGGTTAAAAAATTAGTAGAAAAAGACTATATGATTACGGAAGAAATTAAATGACACAGTTTTTTAATCGTCTGTTTACACAAGTTTTAGCAATTCTCATCAATTTATTGAGTTATGTATTGATATTTGACAGAGCCTATGGTAGAAGTTTATCTATGAATGTTGCGACGTAAACTTCAATAGAATATTTGTGTGGTTGTTGTTACATATTTGATTTAGGATAAGACTGCTACAAAATGAATGTGTGTATATAATATATAAAGAAACGTATGAAATGACATTAAATAATGTGTCAATGTGATGCATAATATAAAGTTAATTGGTTTAACAAGGAAATTCGAATCAAATCATACCGACATCATTTAATTTAATTAATTGGTAGAGTGAATGTGTAAATGTGATACAATTGCTAAACGTGGCTCCAAAACAAACAACCTTATAATAGAATATGCATGCATTAATCAGTTTACTATTATGTTCACTATTCAATTTGGGCACATCAAACACAAAGCAGCGATTTTCTTTTTCTTTATTAAAGTCGCCCTTTTGATCAATTCCAAACCATGTGGCTGCTTTTGATTGACTCAGTTGCATTCATATCAAAGCATGCATGATCATGATACAGGTTACAACCACCTCTGTGTAAATAATTCAATAAAATTATTCCATTTCTCAATATAAAATTCTGACTTATGCCCTTACCTACCAAACAGTCCCTTCCCTGTGCATATTCATCACAATGCATGAACCCATTTTAATTTCCTTAAATTTTCCAAGTGAAAGTAGAAAAAGAAATTCCCCTTATCCTCAAAATTATAGCACACTTATCACCTATAACAATCAAAGCTTGAAGCTTTTATTATAAGCCTTAGGCTTATTTGCAACTCCATGATTTACACGACTGTTCATTTTAAAATTAAGTAAAATTATTAACTATCATTAAAATGTGTGTTAAGCATAGTAATTGATTTTTCAATCAAAAAACAAACATGCACTTAGTAAAATATAATGATGTAGATTTTCCTTCTTTGTCATTATTTTTTAAAATTTAATTAAAGATTGATAGTAATTTTTTCATATTATCATATCATTAAAAATTATTAAATTTTATAATAAATTAAAATGTTTAATAAATATATTTAAGATTTTATAACATGGGTACTTCAACACACTTAAAAAAGAATATGATAAAAATTTACATGATTGAGATTGAAAGAAAATTAAACTCTTTTTCCCATGGATGCAAATGGGAAGAATAAACAAGTGGGAAAATAGTAATTATGAAAATAATGGGATAAATGACGTGAAAGAGAAATATGAAAGGAAAGAAAGAAATATCGTCGGCAAGAACGCGTTATTGCGAAAGAACGCAGGTCTTCAAAATAAAGTTGTGGGCAAGTCACGTGCTCAAAAGTCAAAGTTGCCTTATTTATACACTCTTCCTCATTTTCTCTAAGATCTTTCTTTTTCTCCCTCTCTTTAGCATTATAACATCATGACTGGCAGAGAAATCCTCCATAAGATGAAGGTATGTACAAAATAGCATGAAATTAATTATGCCATATTCATTTCAATGTTTCACATGAACTAGTGCAGTGTCGTTTGTTCATGGGCCTGCTTTGCAAATGTAAATTCTTACTATATACTAGAGTTTTGTTGAGGTTATGAATTTGTTTGCAAGTAAGTAATGCAACTTGTTTGTTCTTTCAACTAGTTTTCTGAATAGTAATTGATATGTCATGGTTAATTCAAGTGGTACATACTCAGGTCTCGGTTCTTTGAAAAAAACCTCTAATGAGAGAGCTTGTTTTGTTATATTGTGGATGTTTCTTACTGGAAATATTTGTGGCCTAAATAAATGTAGAGATTCATTTGGAGTGTCCTTAACAGTAAAACTGATGATTGCATAAATGGGGTATGGTCAAGATGGCCGTTGTCATGTGCTTGTATTAATTAAGATATTGATGTGTTGACTTTGTAATTGGGAAACACATCATCAACTTTTTTTTAAATCCGTACTCTTGCTCAGAAGTATGACATGACAGTGTAAAGTATGGCAATTCATTTTTTGTTTTTTACATTTTAATTAAAATTAGGATTCCATAATTTTCATTTCAACTTAGTTCCAGGGTCAAGCTTCCAAAAAATGATACTGAGATTGGCTTTAATCATGTGTCTAGGAGAAAGCAGGGTTTGGATCATCAGCAGCAAACACAGGGAAAGGAAAAGGCAAAATATCAAAACACATTTCACATGGCTTTCACTTGATGAAGGGAAAATCAGGCCATCCTATGGAAGACTACTTAGTTTCAGAATTTAAGAAAGAAAAGGACAGAGAATTAGGCTTGTTTGCCATATTTGATGGCCACTTAGGCCATGATGTTGCAAGCTATTTACAGAACCACCTCTTTCAAAATATCTTGAAACAGGTAAGGTAGCTTTCATATATGTCACTTTAGTTTTGTTACATTTTCATGAAAATTGTTGTTGGATAGCCCCCCAAATGTTTGATAGTTTCCACTTTCCACTACATCTAATGATACCCTTCTTCTAAACCTGCTTCAAGTGGTTCTTCTTGAACTCATACCTCTGTTTTCTATAAACAGCAAGACTTTTGGAGTTTAACAGAAAGGGCAGTAAAGAGAGCTTATCTTGAAACGGATGAGAAAATATTGGAACAAGCACTTGTGTTGGGAAGAGGAGGATCAACAGCGGTAACTGCAATACTGATTGATGGTCAGAAGCTTGTAGTAGCAAATGTTGGAGACTCAAGAGCTGTTATTTGTGAGAATGGAAAGGCTAGGCAACTATCAGTTGATCATGAACCAAGCAAGGAAAAAAAATCTATTGAGAGCCGTGGCGGTTTTGTGTCAAATATTCCAGGTTAGCCAGTTTAGCGAGTTGTTTCTTATACTCTCCAGTAAAATATGGTTTTGTAAAACACAGAAAGTGCAACATGTGCATGTGTTAAAATGTAGGATTTTGGATACTATTGGAATTTATTATTAAATGAGAATTTATTCATGATCTTGATTATGGAGATTATTGGAATAAGTTGAAAGTAAAATCTTTTAATAAGCATCTCCATGAAGTTGATTCAAATATATTAAAAAGAATTTATAAGATGGCACCAAGTCACTCTTATTGAAGTATATTTAAATCTATGCTTTTATTTTTGTTTCAAACTGATTCCCGTTAGAAAATATGTTGCATAAGTGGGTATGTAGAACTTCTAAATTTCTGTTTCTTTTGCAGGAGATGTCCCTCGGGTAGATGGACAGCTGGCAGTAGCAAGGGCTTTTGGTGACAAGAGCCTGAAGATGCATCTTAGTTCGGAACCTGATGTTTTTGTAGAGGAAGTAGATCAGCATGCAGAGTTTCTTATTCTGGCTAGTGATGGAATATGGAAGGTTAGTTTTTTAACCATTTTCTTTCTCTTCTAGTTCATTATATACTTTTCAATAGATGGGACATCCGAGACACTACTCAATCGAAAAGTGGTAGGGAGGGAAAGGGGATTGTGGGGAAGTAACAATTTGATTTGGAAACTATGGCTAGAGTATAAAGAATTTTATCTAAGTTTTGTCTTAAAATAATTATAAAACTTAGATCAAGTTCTTTATATCTTTGCAATCAAATTCTCAAATCAAATAATGACATATTGATATATTTAGAACTATATTCTTAGCAGAGTTTATTTAATGTTAGAAAAGACACCCACGTGTCATTATTTGATTTTGGAATGTGATGGTAAGTATATAAATAACTTAGGAAAAATTAACAAGTGTCACAGGACATTGGTGTTAGACAATAAAAAATAGAAATATTTTATTAAAAAAATGTAAAAATGTACTCTTCTAAGTTTATCCTTTATAAAATCTCAGTGGGTAAAATAAATGGAGCATTACATTTTCTACCTTTGTTCAAAGTTCAGTATAGCACCTTTATTTATAACTGACATTCTTTTTGGCATTGATGTATGCAGGTTATGTCAAACCAAGAAGCAGTGGATTCTATTAGACAAATAAAGGATGCACAGGCTGCAGCAAAACACTTGATAGAAGAGGCCATTGCCAAGAAAAGTAAGGATGACATATCCTGCATAGTAGTCAAGTTCCAATGACATGTCTATGGATAACCCAGAGGCCCTGAAAGTGTATCAAGTATAGCTGATGCATTTATTTCTTTTCTAAGCTCTTGTAGAAGAAAATTTCTCAAGAACAGATTGCATGTATAAATGATCCAATCAAACTTTTACCTTTTTCAATGATATTTTTTAAACTGTTTGTGTCAAAATGAATAGTTTTTTGCTGCCACAATACAGTAGATAATAAGAGTTTAATTTCCTTAGTAAAGTTAATCACTAAAGTTAAAAACAATTTCATTTTGGTGTCTTTAACGAAGTTTTGGAAATTCAATTAATGCAAGAATAAGTGATAGCATGTTGAAGGCATGATGATGTGACTCGTGAAGTTGAAAAACGGCCCATGTTTCAAAATGAAAGCCCAATACTAATCCAGCTTAGAGAAGCTACGTGATGGTGCAAGGCATTTTTCAACATATTATTTTTTAGCACGTTATATATTATTGACTGTGTTAACTTCAGTTTTATGGAGTAATATTAAGGATATATATGAAGAAAAAAATTATATAAAAAATTAAAAATATTTTTTTAATATAATAATTATTTTTAAGTATAACTTTTATTTTTATATTTTTAATACCTATCTTAAAGATTGATATTAACAAACACATTTTATTAGAATTTGTTTGAAGTAAAGATAGAAGTAAGTCTTATCATTCATTTAATAAATTTTACTTATAATTTTGTGAAATTTAATAATAAATAATTTATTAAAAAAGTGTATAGCAATATTACTAACATTTCTCTAAAAGGCAGTATCGACTATCGAAGTTGCCCATGAAAGGTTACTGTTAAGCCTCAAGAACAAAAAAATAAGCAACTAAATGCATGTTAAATGCCAGCATATATTTTCAATAATAATCAAACCGTACTTTCATTAAAAAAAATAGTGTCCTAAAAATATTAATTAAAAAATTTAAAAAAATTATATTGTAAATAGTGCCTTAAATATATTGATTTACATTTAACTTTGACTGTATTAAAACGTTAGGCGACTAATAATTTAGAACAAATCTATATCATATCACAATTCTTATACGTGTCAGTTCCTCTTTTTTTTAAACTTCCGCCCAATTATTAATTATTATTTCTTGCTGAAATGCCCAGTAAAACAAATTAAATTACTCTTTCAAGTTTCAAACTACAGTTCTTTTATAAGGTGAGATATAAAATTTGTTTTATTTTAATTTACATGAAGTAAAACATATATCATATTTGATATTTTTTCTAACTTACACTATTTTAATAAAATTTTGATATTATATTTTAATAATGTGTGGGGTAGAATGGGATGAAAAAGACAAAAAAAAAAGGGTTCTTACTTTTTCTTCATCCCTTGCATGCAATTACCTAACCTTGAACTTGTGTGTTATTTCACGTGGATTTGAGGAGCGAGTCCATTAGACATTGAACAGGTGTCAGGGTTGTCTCTCCATTATTTTGAATGAATATTCTTTCAAGGTTTTAAAAGCAGTGATGGTCCTAAAAAGTTTGGTCCGGGTCATGGTGATGCCTAGGGATTCATTTTCTTTAATGGGCCTAACATTTCTAGTCTTTGATGAAATCAATGGGCTTGGTCTTTGTTTCAAGATAAACTTGAATGTGGTATTACCCTAATTCAATGGAAGACAAATGCTTCATATACACGTTAACTAAGTCAACAATGACAAATACAATCTTTTTTCTATTTTTGAATAAAGTCATCACTCATAAATCTTACTCGTGTACTCTATTTCCTTTTCTGATATATGGTCCAATGTGTACTGAAGAATAATAAGAGGCCAATTTCTATATCTTACACCATTCCTTTTCCATTTTCATTATAGTTTATAAGATTTAGTCAGCAGTTGAATTTAAGAGATAAGCATTTGCCTAATTTTTCATTCAAATTTTCTCTGAAAAGATAACATTAACTTGATGGGATTTCGTTGAAAGGTATATAATTTCACTGAACAAGTTTAATGCTTCAACACTTTATTATGTTGACATACTATAACTTATGTCATAAAAGAAAGTATAGTCACGTCTTGCTTGTAACGCATCATCACGATATCCTATTTCTGGTTGGATTTTGTTAACTTGAGTTTAAACATTCATAAATAAATAAATTTTGTTAAAAAAAATATAATTATTATATTAAAATTAAAAAATACAATAAATACTTTTTTAATAAAATTTTATTATTATTAATTATTTATTCTCAAGGTTACCCTTTCTAATTTGTTAAAAAATTGTCATTGGATCAATTTTCAATTATTACTGCAATCAAGTTACAGAACAGCGTAGCCGGGGCAATTCATGCCTTGGTATTCCTATTAATTATTCAATATAATATTTATACAATTACATACTATTTTTATTCTTTTTAATTTAATTAAAATAAATTTATCAATTATGAAATAAATCAAACCATTTTTATAAAATAAATTAAGATAAAACTAGTATTTCTTTAATTTCTTTTTTTAGTGTTTTTACAAGTTATATATATATATATATATATATATTGATTTTAACTTGAAAAAAAAGTTTAATTAACTTTATTTTTTTATTTCTTTTCTTGACATACCCAGCTATAAAATAAAATAGATACTTTGATCCCTTAACTCAATTATTAGTATACTTATAGTTCACTTCTTCCCCATACTACGAGGGAAAAGGAAAATGAAAAAACTACTATTAAAGCAGCCCATGCAAGGCTTACTATATCCATGTAAATTTTGTCTCCTATCTTTATAAAAAGGAATCATTTTTTTTATTGTTCACAAATATTTCTCTTGTATTTATTTTTCTTTTGTATTATTAACTAATAATATTATAATAATAATACTATTATAATATATAATAAGAATACTATAATAATAGTGAAATTGCTGGTACAAAGTCAAAAAAGGATTTTGGGCTAACACCATTGACGAAAAATTCTATTAAAACATCTAACAAATTCTTATATGATTTTTAGTAAAATCGAAAAACATTAAGTATAAACAAAATATCCAGAAACATCCTTGGAAGTTTTAAGAGAATGAATGTTATTAACAGGTAGGAATAATGGGTTATCAACCCACCCTTAGTACTGAAATGGGTTCTTTACAAGAAAGAATTACTTCTACCAAAGAAGGGTCCATAACTTCTATTCAAGCAGTTTATGTACCCGCAGACGATTTGACCGATCCTGCTCCTACCACGACATTTGCACATTTAGATGCTACTACTGTACTATCAAGAGGATTAGCGGCCAAAGGTATCTATCTAGCAGTGGATCCTTTAGATTCAACGTCAACTATGCTCCAACCTCGGATCGTTGGTGAAGAACATTATGAAACTGCACAAAGAGTTAAACAAACTTTACAACGTTACAAAGAACTTTAGGACATTATAGCTATCCTTGGGTTGGATGAATTATCCGAGGAGGATCGTTTAACCGTAGCAAGAGCACGAAAAATTGAACGTTTCTTATCACAGCCCTTTTTCGTAGCAGAAGTATTTACCGGTTCGCTGGGGAAATATGTTGGTCTAGCAGAAACAATTAGAGGGTTTAAATTGATTCTTTCTGGAGAATTAGATAGTCTTCCTGAACAAGTCTTTTATTTAGTAGGTAATATCGATGAAGCTACTGCGAAGGCTATGAATTTAGAAATGGAGAGCAAATTGAAGAAATGACTTTAAATCTTTGTGTACTGACCCCCAATCGAATTGTTTGGGATTCAGAAGTGAAGGAAATCATTTTATCTACGAATAGCGGACAAATTGGAGTATTACCAAATCATGCGCTTATTGCCACAACTGTAGATATAGGTATTTTGAGAATACGCCTTAACGACTAATGGTTAACGATGGCTCTCATGGGCAGTTTTGCTAGAATAGGCAATAATGAGATCACTGTCTTAGTAAATGATGCAGAGAAGGGTAGTGACATTGATCCACAAGAAGCACAGCAAACTCTTGAAATAGCAGAAGCTAATTTGAATAAGGCTGAAGGCAAGAGACAAACAATTGAGGTAAATCTAGCTCGTCTGCTATTGCTCGAGTCCGTAGTCAATCCTATTTCCGATAGGAGCAGTTGACAATTGAATCCAATTTTTCCCATAATTTTGTATCCGTAATAGTGTGAAAAGAAAAGAAGGCCCGACTCCAAGTTGTTTAAGAATAGTGGCGTTGAGTTTCTCGACCCTTTGCCTTAGGATTAGTCAGTTCTATTTCTCGATGGAGGCAAATGAAGGGGTATAACTCAGCGGTAGAGTGTCACCTTGACGTGGTGGAAGTCATCAGTTCGAGCCTGATTATCCCTAAACCCAATGGGAGTTTTTCTATTTTGATGCCGTGATCGAATAATAATTGAGAATGGATAAGAGGCTCGTGGGATTGACACGAGGGGGGCTATATTTCTGAGAGCGAACTCCAGGCGAATATGAAGCGCATGGATATAAGTTATGCCTTGGAATGAAAGAGAATTCTGAATCAGCTTTGTCTACGAACAAGGAAGCTATAAGTAATGCAACTAGGTATATATATATATATTAGTTTTAACTTGAAAAAAAAGTTTAATTAACTTTATTTTTTTATTTCTTTTCTTGACATGCCTTTCATCTCTGTCTTATCTAATTATATTTTTTATTTTTCTCTCTTATTTCTCTTTTTCTATTTCTTATTTGTCGAGCTTTCTCCCAAAAATTAGATGTATATAATATTCTATATTAAAAGATGCTTTTTTTTTTTCTACAAAGATGTTTAAATAGACTCCACTGCATCTAAAAAAATATATAAAAGTAGAAGGAAAGAAACAATAAATAAGATCAATAATGTGATATAAAAAATAAAAAATATTAAATAAGTGTTATCACTATCTTAAGTGTCATGAAACAAAATTATTCTATATTATCGCATCTTTTTACATTCCACCACTTATTTTAAAGGTGAACCATCAATTATTATTTTGTGAAGAAAATAGTCATTTTCTTGATCCTTTAATATACTATGCATGCATTTATTTTTGTTTTGAAATGCAAAGAAATTAAAGAAAGTAATCCCCAGGGATTTCAGTAGAGAAATTAACAAGGGACAATTAACATAAGTTTTATTTTATTTTTTGATAAACCCAAAGTTGAAAGTCAAGAAAGATACACGAAAGAGGATAAGGTAGAGTAAATGTAATGAAACCAAAGTAAATAAATGAAATGAAACTAACTTTGGAATATTTGGTGAAAACAGAGAAGTTCCCCTATGTGAAGGCTCAGGGCTTGTGGTAGACCCTTGAAGTGATTTAGAATTTTCTTGCTGAGTGTGCCAATTCCAACATAACCCAAAACAAAAGTAACATCAAAAACTTGGCATAGCATATTTCACCAAACCAGCTTCGTAGCACAGTTACACATACCCAAAACTGATGACTGCAACGATTTGTCAAACTGCCACATACCCTCCTTTGCATGCTGATACCAAATGTTATGCAGCCACGCCCATCCTCAACACCTATCTCTATCACCCACTCTCTCTCTCATGAAGACCTGAATCCCCCTATATAACTCACCCCTTATTTTCCTCAATCAATATCCAATTCTCTTTCTCTTTTCACACACTTCAAAACAAAGGGTACCCAAAAACATGAGTAGTGTTTGTGCAGAGCACAAGTTTCAACTTCAACCCTCTCACCAACTTCTCTCCCTCAAGAAATCCCTGAGGGACATTGACATCCCTCCAAGGAAGCTTCTCACCCGCCGCGCCTCCGCCGCTGCCGCCCGTGATGGCGCCGGCGACTTGTTTTCCGATGATACCCTCTTTCAGAAATACCTTCCCCACAATGACCAAGTGGAATCTGATGATGACTCCGGCGACCCTTATGCCTCCGATGACTTCCGGATGTTTGAGTTCAAGGTCCGGCGATGCACTCGCAGCCGGAGCCATGACTGGACAGACTGTCCTTTTGCACATCCCGGCGAGAAGGCCCGCCGTCGTGACCCTCGCCGGTTTCACTACTCTGGGACAGTGTGTCCAGAGTATCGCCGCGCCGGTGGGTGCAGCCGTGGCGATGCATGTGAGTTTTCTCACGGTGTTTTTGAGTGCTGGTTGCACCCTTCTAGGTATAGAACTGAAGCTTGCAAAGATGGTAAGAATTGTAAGCGAAAGGTTTGCTTCTTTGCTCACACTCCACGCCAATTAAGGGTTTTGCCTCTTAATGAGAACAACAATAACAAGTGCAACAGTAACATGAGCAAAAATAACCATTGTTGTGTGTTTTGTCATTGCTGTTCTTCTTCTTCTACTTGTTCACCAACTTCTACTTTGTTTGGCATGTCCCATTTTTCTCCTCCTTTGTCACCTTCTTCTTCTTCTTCCCCTTCTTCTTCTTCAAGGTTTGTGGGGTCTGAGAGTAACCATCCTGGTGTTGTGAGCTATAAGGATGTGTTCTCTGAGCTTATGTGTTCCTTGGAGGGTTTGAATTTTGGTGAGGCTTCTCCTGTGTCTGCTTCTACACCTCACAATTTGTCTTGGCTTGATGTTTCTTTCAACTCTGAGGATCAGCAACAGTTCATTCTTTCACCAACCATCACTTCTTCAATCTTTTCCAATAATGGGAAATGTTCAAGTGGCAAGTTCTCGAGGGAAGAGAATAGAGTTGTTGATGATGTCATTGCCCCGGATCTCGGGTGGGTGAATGACTTGCTGATGTAATGATGATGATGATGCGTTGAAGATTATGATGACTGAAGTGGTGGTGGTAGTAATTGTGAAGATGGATGATTCACTAAGTGTAAATACATGTGGGAACAAGCAACATATCTTTGGCTTCTGTTGTTATTTTTAATTATTGTTTTAAGTTCATTGCTTTCTGAATTTGTTCAACGTTGTGAAAATTCTGTAATTTTTATGCTCATTAATTATATTTGATCTTTTGCTTTGTGGATTGTGTAGAAAGGGATACTGATACTATGCTATGACGAACCTTTTTTTTTTTTTTTTTGGATTTTTCCTTAGCTTTATCTCTTGTTACTGTGATAATTACGTCTGTTAAAGCTCGTATTCTTTCTTTTTTTAAGATTTAGATGAGTTGTGATTCTGTTAGCTCCAACCAAATCCTTACACATGGCAAGCATGCAATGTTTATCGTGGCAAAATTTAAGATATTAATCTTGGAAGAGTTTTTGATATATACAGGTCAGTATCTCAAGTCAGCCAGAAAAGGAAAAAAAAATTGGCCGTGAAACACGAGGTGGCACCCAAATTTGGTAAAGTGATTTAAAAAATGAAATTCTCTGCACACCCAATGAATAAATTTTTTTTTTATTACTGCAAATAAGACATTGGCATAGTACAGATCAAGAATCAGTGAAATCAGCGATTATATATTTACTTGATAAAAATTAATGAATCGAAGCAAAGCATTCTTTTTAAAACTGGAAAGAAAGACCAAGATGAGAAAATAAAAGATGAGCATACCAGTCACTATATATATATATATATATATATAGCACATAGAGTTTATTATTATTTTACTAATTATTGATCGCATGCCATGCCGCGGCATTCTACAATAAAACCTTTTGGATTAAATTAAAGCAAATATCCAGTTTGTTGTACATATATATTAATGTTCATCACAACTCTTGTTGATCAGTCTCATAAAGTTTCAGGTACGATTGGTATGGATGAATTTCAAGTTTATATAACCAGTAGTAACTTATCTTCATTCATAAACATTTCATAAAAGTAGAACCATAAAGTAAATGTCTATATGATGATGAAAAAACAATAGAGTAACTTTAATGGAGTACTTATATTTGTGTTGCAGAGCTGTTCCCTATATAATTTCTTTCAAAGCAAATGCGTTGTGAGTGGAGATCATTGCTCGATATGTTAATGGAGGTCGTTATTAGAGGAATCACATGTACCAAACATTATTTGCCTTGACATGGCCATGTGAGCAGGGGTCTTTGCGTACAAGACATTGTTAGCTTCCTAAGATGGTTGTATTTGTTCCATTTTAGTATGAATAATCTAAATTGGGTTCCAATCACTATTCAAATCCATCGTCATCCTTTTCAAAAGACTAATGCAGTATCCCCTTTAGTCATTATTATCACAGTAATATTATTTACACATCATTTTCATTATACTACTTCTTTAAATGATAAAAAAAGTAAAGCACACATTCCATCACACTTAACTCATTGCCCTTTATTTTTTCCATACTTAAAAAAGCGTTAAAAATGGATACATTGTGGTGTTGAAATTAAAAGTCCTCATTACCATTTATCGTTAATGATAACTGTTTGCGTGCTAAGTTGGGTTTTTTACCAATTAATACGAATTTCATAAGGGTTTATCTGAATTATTTTAAGGAATAAATAGCTTTCTTTAAGTGGACTAATGAAGTTAAGACATTGTATTAAAAATAGTATTATTGTTTTTATTTAATTTTTTAAAGCAAAATCTCATCAATCGATCACCTTAAGATGAAATATATACCTCATTTGGTAACTTAGACAAACACATTTCATAAAAGAACAAGTTGCAAGAATGAGATAAGATTAATTAAAGGTCTTTCAATTTGCATGTGAACTGTAAAACACAAACCTGAAATTGAAGCATATTTGAAGTGGGTATTATGTGAATTCCAATTTCACAAGTGGTTATTTGAATTTAGATCCAAAATGGGTGGGACAATTGATACAGAAGCGTGTTGCTATCCATTACTCCTTATAGAACGACATTAAATCATAGAGCAAAGTGGGATAACGCACCATTCATTGATAGCGTAATATTTGTTTCCTAGGAAGTAAACTTATCTGAAAGACAGCTAAGACGGTGAGGGAATGACCCATAAGGATGTGCATGGAATAAGTCTTATGGTGGGGTTTGTTGGTTTGGTAAGGTACTGGGTTAGGTAGTGATTGCCATAAACTCACACCTAATGGTGTGGGATGGGGGAGCACTCCATACTAAAATGACCCATTGGCTTTGGGGTCCCCTCTATGCCCTTAACTTTGTGTCACAATTTCATGTTCATTTATAGAAGAAATTAAACATAAACTATTGTGGGACAAGCAGCCCATACTCTTATTATGGTTGTGACTTTCTTTACTAGTGAATTTTGGGAAATACTACCGACACCAGTAAAATGAGATTATCTATTGTCACTCTAAAATGTTCTTTAGCATTTTTTAAAAAATAACTTTATACAAAATCCTATTTTTTCTTGATTAATTAAATTTAAAAAAAAAAACTTAAATGAGAAGTGACAATCGATATGTTGAAGTAATAATAGACAATTTCATGTTGAATGGCTACAACTTTATTTTATTTCTGTCATGGGCCAATCGATGCATATATAATGCTACTTACTCAGATTCTCAATGCTCATGCACTTTGATATATTTCAATCAATGCTAGAGTTTCAATTCAATTTGTAGTTGAGATCTGAAGAGAGTTGTTCGAGTGCATTATTATCTTGGCCGATTAATGAGTTGTCTCCTTCCTTCTATATAGCATTCAAATGGTCACCAAATTTGTATGCATCTGCAGATTCGTGTGTTCACATCTATGCACGAATTACTATGTTCCAGAACCTAGCAGAGAATAAAACTGCCACATGAATTTTACAAGTCGTTATCTTGATTTAATAGCGTTGCCATCACCCTAGAGCATATTTTCCTGTTTTGCCAAGACTATAAGCTCTATAAATCTTCTATGTATGCAACATAACCCCACCACTTTTAAGTAGAGATGGATTTTCAGCATCCTGGTTGGTTTGTGTAACTAGCAATGTGTACTAAATAAGATTAGATGTTTTGTAATTTCAGTTAGGAACACATCAAACATCAAATAAAAATTGTCTTTTTATGTGATGATGATAAAAATAATTTTATATAATAACGTCCATAGATAATACCAAAAACTCTTCAATCCAAAATAGTATAATAGCTCAAACCATTAGGATAATCAACTAATGTTGGTTTGTGTGAGAAAAAAATCTGATTTTTTAAAAATAAAGTGCTTGGTAAAAGCTTCTGGTTTGAAGATAGAAAAAGAAAAAGAAAAAGATTCATGGGATACTCTTTAAGATCAACTGAAATTTCTTAGAACTAATAAAATCAAGATTGAAACTTTTTTATCAAAGAACATCACTTTATTGGTCGTATTAAGTTTAATTAATAATATTATTTTAAAGTTTTATATAGACAGAAATAATTTTAAAAAAACAGATAACAAAAAATAGAGGTAATATACTAAAGTTGGCCTTGCAATACCCACCCCTCACAGCTAAGCCTCAGTTTGTGAATTTTAAAAAACCATAACTAATGAAGATAGGTTCTCCAAAAATATTTAAAAAAGAGAGAGAAAATAGAGAAAGGTTATTTTTTTTTTACAAAAACGAAGGCCAAATCCAGCCTCACTCATTTTTAGTTGATTCATCACTGATTGGGCCAACGCGGACTAAATTGGCCCATTTACCAACTCCTAATTTTATGGGAATTTTACTTTTTATATGGTTATAATTGGATGTTGATTGGAGAAAAAAAAAAAGTTTGAATTGTGGGTAAAAGCAAATAATATAATTAAGCCAACCCGATGATGTTATATGATTTCCATTTTCTTGACTGTTCTTTGTAAAGTCACCAGCTTAGAGTTTAATATAGCCCAATGCAAGATATTAATAAATTAAAAAGTAATAGAAATTTGTTAGCATGTCTTTAAGATTAGCTTTAAGCAACTAAAATAAAGCATGGCTATTGAGAAAATAATTACATTAAAAATATAAAGTGTACTATTTTTTTATTCTACATAAAAAAATTTATTTTTAACTACTTAAAATTAAATTTGAAGGCTGATATTAATAAAATTGTTTTCATGCCGAAAAGTGCATTAATGGAGGTTGTAACAGGACCTAAGATAACATTGATCAAACGGAATCTAAGAGGATTTATTTGATTGATTCAACGTATGAAATCACAGAAAATTCCTTCCTTCCTATTGGCGCAAAAATAGGGATCAATTTGCCAATTGATTGGGTTGGGGAATTACTTAGGTAGTCAGGTTCAATACATTTTGGCAATGCTCACTTTTTTAGGTTAAAATTTGGTACACTATTAATATAATTATTTTTATATTCTTAATTAATTAAAATATATTGTGAATAGATTTTTAAAAATAAATATTATAAAAAAAATTCATTATCAATTCATTTTAATTAATATTTTGGCTTGTTTACTAAAAAAAATATCTTAGCTAATAATCCAAGATTAATTCTTTTCAGGTTTAGAGATCACCGAAATGAGTTGTCTCACCTGACAAAGTCTATTTTATATACATGACTAGGAATTGAGCCTCTATCAACATACTTAAGATGCACAGTTATCTACTAATTATACCAAACTATGTTGATTGCAATGATTATGCTTTTAACTAAATTAAGGGTATAGTAATTTTAAATTGATTAAAATTAATTTTAAATTATTAAGCATGATTATGATATCCATTTAAAGTAATATTGATCATAAATTTATATTAAAACATATAATTTTATTCAAATGCGTAAAAATTAATTTTTCTACGTCAAAACAAGCAGAGGGTACGGTCAAGTAAGGATGATGAAACCTTTAAGGTGGGGATCATTGAGCTCTGCCTTTGTGGAGATATAATTATTAAAAATAACTAATTTAAAATATGTTGTG